AACTTCCAAGTTTCGGCGTTGCTACTTAGAAATTAGAAACCCATAGAGGACCAACAAAAGCTTTATACATGTCAGTCTTCCGCCACATATTGTTCTAACGAATAAACAAAGTTTAAACAATCACCAAGTAATGTACAAAAAAAATATTATCTTCTTTTGGGCTACTGGATAGTTTTTACTTCGTTAAAACTCCAACAAAAAGGCTCTAACGAGATGGGAAAGTCTGCGGGAGAAATATTTAACTTATGCCGCAAACAATTTCGAAAACACAATGCGAAATTATGGAATGTTCTAAATGATTCTGGAGCGTTCTAAAAGATTCTGGAGCGTTCTAAATGATTCCTGAGCGTTCTAAATATATATGGAGCGTTCTAAATGATTCTGGAGCATTTTAAATGATTCTGGAGCGTTCTAAATATATATGGAGCGTTCTAAATGATTCTGGAGCGCTCTAAATGATTCTTGAGCGTTCTAAATATATATGAAGCGTTCTAAATGATTCTGGAGCGTTCTAAATATGTATGGAGCGTTCTAAATGATTCTGGAGCATTTTAAATGATTCTGGAGCGTTCTAAATGACTATGGAGCGTTCTAATTAGTTGAGAAGCGTTCTAAATAGTTTTAGACGGTTCAAAATGATTCTAGTGCGTTTTAAACGATTCTGGAGCATTTTAAATGATCCTGGAGCGTTCTAAATGATTTTGGAGCGTTATAAATGATTCTTGAGTGTTCTAAATGATTCTGGAGCGTTCTAAATAATTATGGAGCGTTCTGAATAGTTGAGAAGCATTCTAAATAGTTTTAGACAGTTCAAACATGAACATGACAGCTCAACATGAGCCGCACGTTATTCTTGTTAAATTAATTGAAGCAATAATTTAAAAGGAAACTGTAAAGTACTTAATCTAACTTCCAAGTTTCGGCGTTGCTATTTAGAAATTAGAAACCCATAGAGGACCAACAAAAGCTTTATACATGTCAGTCTTCCGCCACATATTGTTCTAACGAATAAACAAAGTTTAAACAATCACCAACTAATTTACAAAAAAACATATTTTCTTCTTTTGGGCTACTGGATAGTTTGTACTTCGTTAAAACTCCAACAAAAAGGCTCTAACGAGATGGGAAAGTCGTCGGGAGAAATATTTAACTTTTGCCGCAAACAATTTCGAAATCACAATGCGAAATTCTGGAATGTTCTAAATGATTCTGGAGCGTTCTAAATGATTCTTGACCGTTCTAAATATATATGGAGCGTTCTAAATGATTCTGGAGCATTCTAAATGATTCTGAAGCGTTCTTAATGATTCTGGAGCGTTCTAAATGACTATGGATCCTTCTGATTAGTTGAGAAGCGTTCTAAATAGTTTTAGACGGTTCAAAATGATTCTAGTGCGTTTTAAACGATTCTGGAGCATTTTAAATGATCCTGGAGCGTTCTAAATGATTTTGGAGCGTTCTAAATGATTCTTGAGCCATCTAAATGATTCTGGAGCGTTCTAAATGATTCTTGAGCGTTCTAAATAATTCTGGAGCGTTCTAAATGATTCTTGAGCGTTCTAAATGATTCTGGAGCATTCTAAATGATTCTTGAGCGTTCTAAATGATTCTGGAGCGTATAAACAAAGTTTAAACAATCACCAACTAATTTACAAAAAACATATTTTCTTCTTTTGGGCTACTGGATAGTTTGTACTTCGTTAAAACTCCAACAAAAAGGCTCTAACGAGATGGGAAAGTCGTCGGGAGAAATATTTAACTTTTGCCGCAAACAATTTCGAAATCACAATGCGAAATTAGCGAAACCTTATAGCACTCCGGGAGAGCATCTTTTTTTGTACTTCGCCCCGTGTATAGTATTTAATTAACGAGCACAATGTTTAGGGGTTCCTTATTTATGCGAAATTCCAATTGAATCCCCATAGCGTCGCCGTCGCTCGCTCATTTCGCTATCATAATGGCCGTATTTAATGCATCCGAAAGCCAGTGTTCATTTTGCACAGCGGAAAAATGTTTGCCGAGCAATTCCGTAAATTATATGCGTTTTTTTTGCTTTTATCAATTTATAAAGCGGAAGCGCGCTGAATGCTGCACAATTTTTCCATTTCCCGTTTTTCAGATTTACTAAATTTTCCGTTCATCTTAAGCGCAACGGAATCGATTTTAGGACGTTCCTGCAAAAATCAGTTTTCTTACAATTCAATCGAAACTTTGTATACACATACTTATAAGTGTCCTCTATAATAAGGAATTTTTGTCCATAGTCCTTGCGGCAATAAATTTGTGAATATTAGCTTTTAAAATTTGGGTATTTTACATACAAGCACTATCCTGACGGACGTTCAAACGAACCTTTTATTAAATAACAATCGTACTTTACTTACGATTGTTTTGAGAAACTGAGAATCATTAATTGAAGATATAACAAATATCTTTTCTTTAAAAATAAGAATAACAAGCGGTATTCATTTTATTATAAATAACGTACAAAGGTAGTAAATTTTCATATAGTTTTCAAGTTTTCTCATCATCTGAGAAATAACAGATGACTTGGCAACGTTGTACCGCTTTTACTGGTTTTGGTTTAACAAATCTGCCATTCTTTAATCGCGAAGTCGTTATGATATTACCTCAAAATTTTAAAACTTGACAACTGAGAAAGATGGTATTGCCAGATTTTACAAGCGATTAAAATGAAGTCAAATCAACTACTTACCAATATTTACTGATTTTTAATATACAGGGTGTGTCACGACGAGCTTAAACTATCTGTATATTGGAAACTACTTATCCGATTTTAATAAAATTTGGTATACATATGTTATGCAATAAGACGGACCTCTTTAAAATATTTTGATAGTAGTAGAATAATCCCGAAGAAGGAGTAGATGTCCCGAATAATTTCAAAAAAAGTCAGTATTCATTTGACCCTACAAGTAGCGGTGGAACGTCCTTAAGTACAACCGAAAAAATAGGCCGTATTTATAAAAAGAAGCATAACCTTTAGCTTCAAAAAATGAAGTAATTGCTTCGAGGTATATGCATGAAAAGAAGAGGAGGAAGAGAGGTTTTGCTTCGAGGATTCTGCTGTTGCTTTAAAGCAAAAGGTTTTTGTGGTTTTAAAACCTTTTTCTCTTATCTTTTCCTTCTACCTTTAACTTAAAAGTAAATGCTTCATTTTTATAAATATAGAGTGATTTTCTAGAATTTTTTCGAATGGGATAATTAAGAAATTGGGGTTCGTTTTATTTTAATTAGTGTATATTCAATACAGAGCTTTTCAAGGAAACCATCCATTTGAAATTATAGAAGATCCTGAAGAGTAAGAAATCTGAAAATTTAGGAATAAAGAATAATCAATATTGTGAGTTTTTCTAAAATATTTTTAACCATATGTGACTTCCGGTTATACCGGAAGTAGATGTCAACTTCCTTATTTCAAATGGAAAGTACAATTTTTGACATTTTTTGATTCTGTGGCTCCTTTTAACTAGACTTTGATAATAACACCATATGCCAAAAATGAGCCACTTTTTTCGACGACTGAATTTGAGTATAGGCAATACCTATATGGATCGAAAAAGCTTAAAATTATCCATTGCTTAAAGCCTAAAAATACAGGGTGATCCATTTGAAATAACAAAATTATGGCCACTTTAAGTTAGCCAAGTTTGTCAGATAATTTTAAACGCCCTGTAAATAGACCATGAAAACTCAGTTTAGTTTCATTTATTACTGTGTCTGGACATTATCAATACCAAATTTCAAACTTCTAGGTGCATTATTACCAGAGATATCATAGAAAATGCATTCAATCGTTTTTCCAAAAAAATTAGAAAAAAATTAAATAACTCAAAAATGGAGCCTTTTTGGCATATGGTGTTAATATCAAATTTTAGTTAAAAAGAGCCACAGAATCCAAAAATAAAGTCAAAAATTGTACTTTCCATTTGAAATAACGAAGTTGACATTTACTTCCGGTAAAAGCGGAAGTCACATATGGTTGAAAATATTTTAGAAAAACTCACAACATTGATTATTCTTTACTTATAAATTTTCAGATTTCTTACTCTTCAGGATCTTCTATAACTTCTAATGGACGGTTTTCTTTAAAAACCCTTTATTGAATAAACACTAATTAAAATAAAACGAATCTCAGTTTCTTAATTATCCCATTCAAAAAAATTCTCGAAAATCACTCCATATTTATAAAAATGAAGCATTTACTTTGCAATAAAGGTAGAAGGAAAAGATAAGAAAAACAGGTTTTAAAACCACAAAAACCTTTTGCTTTAAACATTGCTAATCCTTTAAATCCTAAACTTTCAGATTTCTAACTCTTCAGGATCACCTATAACTTCTAATAAACGGTTTCCTTGAAAACCCCTGTATAGTTTTCATAAATTCTTATTGCAAAATATGAAGTAATAGCAACGTATGAGCTCTAAAAGGACAAAAAAATTGAAAACTAACGTGAATATAAAGCGTTCTCAACGTCGAATAATGCCGCAGAGCCACTATTGAATGGATCCTGATAATTGAGGGCAATTAACTTTGGCGTGCACTCTATATCACTCTTGTAATCAGTCATCGATCGCGGAATAATGTATTTTGAAGTACCTAAATTCGCGGAGAAAATCGCAAAATATCCCAACATCGAGCGTTGGAATATTGCATTTTCCATTTTCTCTATAACAACCAAGAAACCAAACATCCCGCGAGTATATCCTTGCGAATACAAAAAAAAATAAATCACGGCTCTTATTTACCTTGGCGTTCGCTTCGTAAATACCCTTTAAGGATCACAAAAGGCTTTGTTGGGTTGTTTTATTGGCTCCTACGAGGCAGTAGGAAAGATGAAAAACTGCCAATAAAGCCCACTTGAGGCGCCCAATACGGAGCAATTAAGCTAAAGATATCCATCTTACCGTCGTGTTTCCGATTTGTCGGGTTTCGCCATTTCGACAAATTGAATTAGTAATTTATTTAATTGTTTTCCAGACAGAAACACGCCGATACACCGACTGCCGGACGACGAGGATTCGTTTCCAGTTATCCACGAAAGGGAATTGCATTCGCTACACCGGAACATACCTGCCCTGAGGAGACGGGACGTTGATACAGCGACGATAAAACAACACTATTATCCCGAAGGTTAGTAAATTACCGCATTGTGTCGAGGAAAGATTGCCTCTAATAAAATCCCTTCGCTTATCTTCGCCAAGTCGGAAACTGAAGGGAGTCGAGCAAAGTTGGTAAACAGTGATAAAGGGAACTCGGCTCGACTGGATGAATCATGTGCTCTGTTGATGGATTGCCTAATTTTGTTGATTGTCGCAGGCGGTTGGGGGTGGTTGGTTTGCGGGGCGGCGTTTCTGGCTCACCTCCTGACCTCCGGCATTCAATTCTCCTACGGGCTGCTCTACCTCTACACCATCAAGTTTCTCCTGAAGAAGGTCCAGGACTACGATATCTACATACTCGGCGCCGGTAAGTCGATAAAGGTTGGGCGGAGACACTTGTAAAAAATAGTCGCTTGGTAAAATTTGGGCGATAATACTTGTAAAATATAGACATTTTATAAAGGTTGGGCGAAAAATACTTGTAATAAATAGTCGCTTGATAAAAGTTGGGCGATAATACTTGTAAAATATAGACATTTTATAAAGGTTGGGTGAAAAATACTTGTAAAAAATAGACATTTCTTAAAGGTTGGACGAAAATAATTGTAAAAAATTGATGTTTCATAAAGGTTGGGCGAAAAATACTTGTAAAAAATTGATGTTTCATAAAGGTTGGGCGAAAAATACTTGTAAAAAATTGATGTTTCAGAAAGGTTGGGCGAAAACACTTGTAAAAAATAGTCGCTTGGTAAAAGTTGGGCGATAATACTTGTAAAATATAGACATTTTATAAAGGTTGGGCGAAAAATACTTGTAAAAAATAGTCGCTTGATAAAAGTTGGGCGATAATACTTGTAAAATATAGACATTTTATAAAGGTTGGGTGAAAAATACTTGTAAAAAATAGACATTTCTTAAAGGTTGGACGAAAATAATTGTAAAAAATTGATGTTTCATAAAGGTTGGGCGAAAAATACTTGTAAAAAATTGATGTTTCATAAAGGTTGGGCGAAAAATACTTGTAAAAAATTGATGTTTCAGAAAGGTTGGGCGAAAACACTTGTAAAAAATAGTCGCTTGGTAAAAGTTGGGCGATAATACTTGTAAAATATAGACATTTTATAAAGGTTGGGCGAATAATACTTGTAAAAAAATAGACGTTTCATCAAGGTTGGGCGAAAACACTTGTAAAAAATAGTCGCTTGATAAAATTTGGGCGAAAATACTTGTAAAATATAGACATTTTATAAAGGTTGGGCTAAAATACTACTTATAAAAAAATAGACGTTTCGTAAAGGTTGGGGAACGCTATTAAAAAAATAGAGACTTGATAAAGGTTGGGCGAAAAATACTTGTAAAAAAATAGACATATCTTAAAGGTTGGACGAAAATAATTGTAAAAAATTGATGTTTCATAAAGGTTAGGCGAAAAATACTTGTGAAAATATAGACATTTCATAAAGTTTGGGCTAAAATACTTGCAAAAAATAGACGATTCGTAAAGGTTGGGAGAATACTAGTAAAAAGGTAGACACTTGATAAAGGTTGGGCGAAAACACTTGTAAAAAATAGACATTTTGTAAAGGTTGGGCTAAAATGCTACTTTTAAAAAATAGACGTTTCATAAAGGTTGGGCGAAAAATACTTGTAAAAAATAGAGATTTCATAAAGATTGGGATAAATTAATTGCAAAAAAGGTTTCGTCAAGGTTGATAGAACACTAGTAAAAAATAGACGATTAATAAAAGTTGGGCGAAAATAAATAGACGCTAATGATTTTTCTAGCATATTTATTTTAAATATACTTTCATGCAAACAAATAACAAATGAAATTTACAAAATAACAACAAAACAAATAACAATTATTAACATTTAAACGAATTCAACCAAATTTACGTAGCGTTACGTTACAACAATCGGCGAAAATAAAATCTAATCGATTCTCAATAAACCATCGATATTGTCAATTAATTTGACATCGTCGCATTTGCGAATTTTTCCGTGTTCCCTTAACTTCTTCTCGAGTCCCCCGTCAACTTTTTTAAGTTCTCTGCAGTATTTGGACTGTTTGCAACGTTTCTTCTCTCTTCTGCGACCGTCATGTTTGCGTTCATTCTCTCCGCTGTCTTCCGAAGAGTCCGTACAATCCTCGTCCGATGAATCACCTGAAGAATCATCGTCATCATCGTCATCATTAATTTCGCATCTGCGGAGTTTCTCCCTCTTGATCTTGTGTAAGGCGACGCGAATATCTTCGTTTAATTCGGATGCAGCCAAAGCATCGGGATGGAACAATCGAGTCTTCAGATCGCCGCTGATTTTTCTCAAAATCTGGCTGAGGTTTTCGGTGTTGTTGTTGCGTATGGTGGTGTTTACGCGGTCGATGTTGTTGATGAGTCGCCTATCTTCGGATTCGTTGTATCTTCCTCCTCGGTTTTGGTTTTCCCGTAGAGAAATTAGGAGTCGTTTGAGTTGAGTGCAAGATTTGCGGTTATTTTTCGGGTTGCTGGATGCGACGCCTTCGACGCAATTGCTCTTAATGTACTTCTCTATTATAGTAATGGCATGTTTCGTTTCGATTAATAGTTTTAAAGAAGTTTCTTCCGATCGGTCGCCTCTTTGTTGCTTTCTAATCAGATCTTTGATAGTTGTTAGAGCTACTGGAATTTCATGTAGATTATTTTGGCCGGCGTTGTTATTATCTTTATCTCCATTTCCTCCTTTTATGATGGTAATTACGATTCGGATATTTCCAGGTAATTCATTATCTTCTTTTTCATTGTATTGTCCTTTCCTGTTTTTCTTGTTTTCCAATAAAACAAGAACTCTTCTTAAGCTATCACAATTTTGTTTATTCTTCTTATCAGAATTATTATCGTTTGTTTTGCATTTCTTATTGATAACTTCAGTAATAGCAGGTATCGCTTTATCTACAGAACCCAATATTTTGGCAGCAACAGCAGGATTTTGTTTATCACCATCTTTTTTCTGTTGTTCAATACCTTCGGCAATTGTAACTAATAATTTCTCCAAAGATTCTTTATCATTATTAGAATTTCCATCTCCATTTCCTCCTTTTACGATGGTAATTACGATTCGGATATTTCCAGATAATTCATTATCTTCTTTTTCATTGTATTGTCCTTTCCTGTTTTTCTTGTTTTCCAATAAAACAAGAACTCTTCTTAAGCTATCACAATTTTGTTTATTCTTCTTATCAGAATTATTATCGTTTGTTTTGCATTTCTTATTGATAACTTCAGTAATAGCAGGAATCGCTTTATCTACAGAACCCAATATTTTGGCAGCTACAGCAGGATTTTGTTTATTACCATCTTTCTTCTGTTGTTCAATTCCTTCGGCAATTGTAACTAATAATTTCTCTAAAGAGTCTTTATCATTATTAGAATTTCCATCTCCATTTCCTCCTTTTATGATGGTAATTACAATTCGTATATTTCCAGATAATTCATTATCTTCTTTTTCATTGTATTGTCCTTTCCTGTTTTTCTTGTTTTCCAATAAAACAAGAACTCTTCTTAAGCTATCACAATTTTGTTTATTCTTCTTATCAGAATTATTATCGTTTGTTTTGCATTTCTTATTGATAACTTCAGTAATAGCAGGAATCGCTTTATCTACAGAACCCAATATTTTGGCAGCTACATCAGGATTTTGTTTATTACCATCTTTCTTCTGTTGTTCAATTCCTTCGGCAATTGTAACTAATAATTTCTCTAAAGAGTCTTTATCATTATTAGAATTTCCATCTCCATTTCCTCCTTTTATGATGGTAATTACGATTCGGATATTTCCAGATAATTCATTATCTTCTTTTTCATTGTATTGTCCTTTCCTGTTTTTCTTGTTTTCCAATAAAACAAGAACTCTTCTTAAGCTATCACAATTTTGTTTATTCTTCTTATCAGAATTATTATCGTTTGTTTTGCATTTCTTATTGATAATTTCAGTAATAGCAGGAATCGCTTTATCTACAGAACCCAATATTTTGGCAGCTACATCAGGATTTTGTTTATTACCATCTTTCTTCTGTTGTTCAATTCCTTCGGCAATTGTAACTAATAATTTCTCTAAAGAGTCTTTATCATTATTAGAATTTCCATCTCCATTTCCTCCTTTTATGATGGTAATTACGATTCGGATATTTCCAGATAATTCATTATCTTCTTTTTCATTGTATTGTCCTTTCCTGTTTTTCTTGTTTTCCAATAAAACAAGAACTCTTCTTAAGCTATCACAATTTTGTTTATTCTTCTTATCAGAATTATTATCGTTTGTTTTGCATTTCTTATTGATAACTTCAGTAATAGCAGGAATCGCTTTATCTACAGAACCCAATATTTTGGCAGCTACATCAGGATTTTGTTTATTACCATCTTTCTTCTGTTGTTCAATTCCTTCGGCAATTGTAACTAATAATTTCTCTAAAGAGTCTTTATCATTATTAGAATTTCCATCTCCATTTCCTCCTTTTATGATGGTAATTACGATTCGGATATTTCCAGATAATTCATTATCTTCTTTTTCATTGTATTGTCCTTTCCTGTTTTTCTTGTTTTCCAATAAAACAAGAACTCTTCTTAAGCTATCACAATTTTGTTTATTCTTCTTATCAGAATTATTATCGTTTGTTTTGCATTTCTTATTGATAACTTCAGTAATAGCAGGTATCGCTTTATCTACAGAACCCAATATTTTGGCAGCTACAGCAGGATTTTGTTTATTACCATCTTTCTTCTGTTGTTCAATTCCTTCGGCAATTGTAACTAATAATTTCTCTAAAGAGTCTTTATCATTATTAGAATTTCCATCTCCATTTCCTCCTTTTATGATGGTAATTACGATTCGGATATTTCCAGATAATTCATTATCTTCTTTTTCATTGTATTGTCCTTTCCTGTTTTTCTTGTTTTCCAATAAAACAAGAACTCTTCTTAAGCTATCACAATTTTGTTTATTCTTCTTATCAGAATTATTATCGTTTGTTTTGCATTTCTTATTGATAACTTCAGTAATAGCAGGAATCGCTTTATCTACAGAACCCAATATTTTGGCAGCTACATCAGGATTTTGTTTATTACCATCTTTCTTCTGTTGTTCAATTCCTTCGGCAATTGTAACTAATAATTTCTCTAAAGAGTCTTTATCATTATTAGAATTTCCATCTCCATTTCCTCCTTTTATGATGGTAATTACGATTCGGATATTTCCAGATAATTCATTATCTTCTTTTTCATTGTATTGTCCTTTCCTGTTTTTCTTGTTTTCCAATAAAACAAGAACTCTTCTTAAGCTATCACAATTTTGTTTATTCTTCTTATCAGAATTATTATCGTTTGTTTTGCATTTCTTATTGATAACTTCAGTAATAGCAGGTATCGCTTTATCTACAGAACCCAATATTTTGGCAGCTACAGCAGGATTTTGTTTATTACCATCTTTCTTCTGTTGTTCAATTCCTTCGGCAATTGTAACTAATAATTTCTCTAAAGAGTCTTTATCATTATTAGAATTTCCATCTCCATTTCCTCCTTTTATGATGGTAATTACGATTCGGATATTTCCAGATAATTCATTATCTTCTTTTTCATTGTATTGTCCTTTCCTGTTTTTCTTGTTTTCCAATAAAACAAGAACTCTTCTTAAGCTATCACAATTTTGTTTATTCTTCTTATCAGAATTATTATCGTTTGTTTTGCATTTCTTATTGATAACTTCAGTAATAGCAGGAATCGCTTTATCTACAGAACCCAATATTTTGGCAGCTACATCAGGATTTTGTTTATTACCATCTTTCTTCTGTTGTTCAATTCCTTCGGCAATTGTAACTAATAATTTCTCTAAAGAGTCTTTATCATTATTAGAATTTCCATCTCCATTTCCTCCTTTTATGATGGTAATTACGATTCGGATATTTCCAGATAATTCATTATCTTCTTTTTCATTGTATTGTCCTTTCCTGTTTTTCTTGTTTTCCAATAAAACAAGAACTCTTCTTAAGCTATCACAATTTTGTTTATTCTTCTTATCAGAATTATTATCGTTTGTTTTGCATTTCTTATTGATAACTTCAGTAATAGCAGGTATCGCTTTATCTACAGAACCCAATATTTTGGCAGCTACAGCAGGATTTTGTTTATTACCATCTTTCTTCTGTTGTTCAATTCCTTCGGCAATTGTAACTAATAATTTCTCTAAAGAGTCTTTATCATTATTAGAATTTCCATCTCCATTTCCTCCTTTTATGATGGTAATTACGATTCGGATATTTCCAGATAATTCATTATCTTCTTTTTCATTGTATTGTCCTTTCCTGTTTTTCTTGTTTTCCAATAAAACAAGAACTCTTCTTAAGCTATCACAATTTTGTTTATTCTTCTTATCAGAATTATTATCGTTTGTTTTGCATTTCTTATTGATAACTTCAGTAATAGCAGGAATCGCTTTATCTACAGAACCCAATATTTTGGCAGCTACATCAGGATTTTGTTTATTACCATCTTTCTTCTGTTGTTCAATTCCTTCGGCAATTGTAACTAATAATTTCTCTAAAGAGTCTTTATCATTATTAGAATTTCCATCTCCATTTCCTCCTTTTATGATGGTAATTACGATTCGGATATTTCCAGATAATTCATTATCTTCTTTTTCATTGTATTGTCCTTTCCTGTTTTTCTTGTTTTCCAATAAAACAAGAACTCTTCTTAAGCTATCACAATTTTGTTTATTCTTCTTATCAGAATTATTATCGTTTGTTTTGCATTTCTTATTGATAACTTCAGTAATAGCAGGTATCGCTTTATCTACAGAACCCAATATTTTGGCAGCTACATCAGGATTTTGTTTATTACCATCTTTCTTCTGTTGTTCAATTCCTTCGGCAATTGTAACTAATAATTTCTCTAAAGAGTCTTTATCATTATTAGAATTTCCATCTCCATTTCCTCCTTTTATGATGGTAATTACGATTCGGATATTTCCAGATAATTCATTATCTTCTTTTTCATTGTATTGTCCTTTCCTGTTTTTCTTGTTTTCCAATAAAACAAGAACTCTTCTTAAGCTATCACAATTTTGTTTATTCTTCTTATCAGAATTATTATCGTTTGTTTTGCATTTCTTATTGATAACTTCAGTAATAGCAGGTATCGCTTTATCTACAGAACCCAATATTTTGGCAGCTACATCAGGATTTTGTTTATTACCATCTTTCTTCTGTTGTTCAATTCCTTCGGCAATTGTAACTAATAATTTCTCTAAAGAGTCTTTATCATTATTAGAATTTCCATCTCCATTTCCTCCTTTTATGATGGTAATTACGATTCGGATATTTCCAGATAATTCATTATCTTCTTTTTCATTGTATTGTCCTTTCCTGTTTTTCTTGTTTTCCAATAAAACAAGAACTCTTCTTAAGCTATCACAATTTTGTTTATTCTTCTTATCAGAATTATTATCGTTTGTTTTGCATTTCTTATTGATAACTTCAGTAATAGCAGGAATCGCTTTATCTACAGAACCCAATATTTTGGCAGCTACATCAGGATTTTGTTTATTACCATCTTTCTTCTGTTGTTCAATTCCTTCGGCAATTGTAACTAATAATTTCTCTAAAGAGTCTTTATCATTATTAGAATTTCCATCTCCATTTCCTCCTTTTATGATGGTAATTACGATTCGGATATTTCCAGATAATTCATTATCTTCTTTTTCATTGTATTGTCCTTTTCTGTTTTTCTTGTTTTCCAATAAAACAAGAACTCTTCTTAAGCTATCACAATTTTGTTTATTCTTCTTATCAGAATTATTATCGTTTGTTTTGCATTTCTTATTGATAACTTCAGTAATAGCAGGTATCGCTTTATCTACAGAACCCAATATTTTGGCAGCTACATCAGGATTTTGTTTATTACCATCTTTCTTCTGTTGTTCAATTCCTTCGGCAATTGTAACTAATAATTTCTCTAAAGAGTCTTTATCATTATTAGAATTTCCATCTCCATTTCCTCCTTTTATGATGGTAATTACGATTCGGATATTTCCAGATAATTCATTATCTTCTTTTTCATTGTATTGTCCTTTCCTGTTTTTCTTGTTTTCCAATAAAACAAGAACTCTTCTTAAGCTATCACAATTTTGTTTATTCTTCTTATCAGAATTATTATCGTTTGTTTTGCATTTCTTATTGATAACTTCAGTAATAGCAGGAATCGCTTTATCTACAGAACCCAATATTTTGGCAGCTACATCAGGATTTTGTTTATTACCATCTTTCTTCTGTTGTTCAATTCCTTCGGCAATTGTAACTAATAATTTCTCTAAAGAGTCTTTATCATTATTAGAATTTCCATCTCCATTTCCTCCTTTTATGATGGTAATTACGATTCGGATATTTCCAGATAATTCATTATCTTCTTTTTCATTGTATTGTCCTTTCCTGTTTTTCTTGTTTTCCAATAAAACAAGAACTCTTCTTAAGCTATCACAATTTTGTTTATTCTTCTTATCAGAATTATTATCGTTTGTTTTGCATTTCTTATTGATAACTTCAGTAATAGCAGGTATCGCTTTATCTACAGAACCCAATATTTTGGCAGCTACAGCAGGATTTTGTTTATTACCATCTTTCTTCTGTTGTTCAATTCCTTCGGCAATTGTAACTAATAATTTCTCCAAAGATTCTTTATCATTATTAGAATTTCCATCTCCATTTCCTCCTTTTACGATGGTAATTACGACTCGGATATTTCCAGATAATTCATTATCTTCTTTTTCATTGTATTGTCCTTTCCTGTTTTTCTTGTTTTCCAATAAAACAAGAACTCTTCTTAAGCTATCACAATTTTGTTTATTCTTCTTATCAGAATTATTATCGTTTGTTTTGCATTTCTTATTGATAACTTCAGTAATAGCAGGTATCGCTTTATCTACAGAACTCAATATTTTGGCAGCTACAGCAGGATTTTGTTTATTACCATCTTTCTTCTGTTGTTCAATTCCATCCATAATAGTAATTAATAAGGTCGATAGACTTTCTTCATCGTTTTGATTGTTGTTATTACTGTTACCTTGACCGCTGTTGTTAATTTCAATCTGTTTTTGAATAGTAACTTGCAGTGTATCAAGCACTTTTTTCAGTTCTGCGTCCTTTTGTTTATCTGTAGCACCATTTCTGTTTATCTTCTCTTGTACCAATCCTTCTGCAATCTTGGCTTGTTTGCAAACATCGGTATCTTCTTTACCGCTGCCGCAGCTTTCTTTCTGGAACTCTTGTAGTATTTTTACCACAACATTTGCATCAATCACTATTTCTACGTTTAGTGATGATGGGTTATTACTGGTTATCTGCATATTGAGTTTTACACTTAAGCGTTTGATCATTTCTTCAAGAATACTGGCTATATTGTCCCCTGTCACTTCGATTTGCGTTGCACCGTCTCCACTGTTTTGTTGAACATTTACGTTAGTGTCCAACGGAAGTCCGTTGGTACTAAGTACACCTGGAAAGAGTTTTTATTATTTTATTTTACTCGCGTTTCGGTAGAATTTAAACAGAAGGGTAAGAATTATTCTTTGTAAATTTCGATAAATTTAGTAAATATTTAATTTTTGAGCTTACCAAGTAGTACCACAAACACGGGGATCTTCATTCTTGGTTGAACAGTCGGGTTTCGTTTGATTCTGAATTTTCGAATTCCGTTATTTATATTATTATAGCAGACTATTTTTTTACATAATAAGGTGATAAAAAATACGTACCTATTTTCAAATTTTTTATACTCAATAATTTTGCATACATCCATTTCATATGCATATTTTACGGAATGAAAAATAAGATATTATTTATAACGTATCTTTTGGAATTGATTGTTTGTTCAAAAGAAAAATTCCACCGGGATTTAATTTAAACTGAAAAGTTAATTCATTAAAATTTTATTATACAGGATGTCCAAAAAGCATGGAAACGGTCGATTTTATGGCAAATTAAGATAAAAAAAAAATTTAAAAATCACGTAATCAATAATTGTTCAAGGGCTATCCATTGATATCAATATCAAACAGCTACCATACCCCTTAAGGGGGGTTACTTTAAAAATTTTGCAAAAATTAGCAAATTTTGTCTGAAACATTTTCCAAAATTATGCTAAAAAATGCTAAAATATTTGAAAATTTAATTGTCTTAAATGGTCGTAAATTCACCATACTGTATAAACAAATTAAGATTGATGAGTAAAAAACAATTTATTATAAGTTCAATAATTTCTTAAAAGCTATCTCTCGACGCTAATAACGACCCTTTTCACACCATCCTCTTAGGTTGTGTCAGTGAGTGGCTTCAATAAATTGAATTTTTAGAAAATTAAATTTCCAAGTTTTTAGCATTTTTTTGATAATTTAGAAAAATGTTTCAGATAAAACTTTCTTATTTTGATTCCGAATAGGGTTTCCATTTAATGTTTCAAGTTCCCCCCTTCAGGGGTGGGCTTGGTATTTGATATTGGTATCAATGGAGAGCCCTTGAAAAATTATTGATTACGTGATTTTTTAATTTTTCATTCGGACCTAAATTTCCCAGAAAATCGACCGTTTGCAAACTTTTTGGGCATCCTGTAAGAAAATAAACATTATCAATAGTCATTTCTAAATAGATTTTTATTATTTAGTTGTTTGTATGTTTATTGCATAGATAAATATGTGGCGAATAATAGAATTTTACTATTTTCTTCAAATGCATGTTTTCGATAATAATCACGTGTTTTTCCAAAGTTTATTTTTAAAATTATTTAAAAAAAAAAACCTATCGCCATTTGAATATTATTAGTGATTGACGTATGTCGCATCTTAAATAGTATTAAATGAATATCTAATAAATCGCGTTGAAAATTTATAATGTATAATTAATAATACATTCTAATTTCGCTGCTAATTATCTTTTAATTAATTTTTAATTAATTTTTAAATGTTGATAAGATACCTTAGGTACCTTGAGCTTTCACTTTGAAGATATAAATAGTACTTACGAGCCTCTTTAATATCACATAAATCAAGTGGTTCTATTTTAACTAAAACGTTAAATTTTATTTTGCTATTTTCGGCTCGCCACAACCGTAATTATTTCAATTAGCATAGCCGTTAGGTTTAATAAAACCATTTAAAAATTACTCCTTATCTGAAGGATTATCATTAACTATATTATCACCATGTTAACTATGGCTTTTTAATTGATATTAACGCCCAAACCAAAATTAAAACAATTCATCATTTTCTTTCAAATTTTTGCATGTACAATTTCGCATGAAACATTTACAAATGAATATTCTTTGCAGCTTGGATGGGAGCCCTTTGCCTGTGCGTGTCATTCCTCACATCGCCTCTAATCGTCGCAATCTGCAGAAGAAAATCGGCCCGATTAGCAGCCTTCCTCGGCGGATTGATAATCTCATTAGCATGCTTGTTTACCTCGTTTGCAGTGCAATTTCACCAGGTAAAATTATACCAATCGCCAGAAATATCTCCGCTCTTTATTGGTGAATTGCATTTTCAGTTGAACCTTGTCCCAATCTTTTTGCGACACCCTGTATATGAGTACATCTTTTTTATTATCCTACTCAAGAGTAGAGTGAAAAGTTCTCGGCCTGATACACTAAGGAATACAATCAGTAAAAAATATTGTTTCCACTTCGGGACATTTACGTATAATTATTTCTAGATCTGTCTAGAACCATTTAGGAAGCTCCAGAAACATTTGGATTTGTTTAGAACTATTTAGAGCGCTCCATAGTCATTTAGAACGCTCCAGAAGCATTTACAACTGACTAGAACCATTTCGAACGCTCCATAGTCATGAAGAACGTTCCAGAAGCATTTACAACAATCTAAAACCATTTAGAATGCTTCAGAATCATTTAGAAGGCTACATAGTCATTAAAAACGATTCATAAGCATTTAAAACTGCCTAGAACCATTTAGAACGCTTCATAGTCATTTAGATCGTTCCAGAAGCATTTAAAACTGTATTGAACCATTTAAAACGTTCCAAAAGCATTAACTATCTAAAATCATTTAGAACGCTCCACAGTCATGTAGAACATTCCAGAAGCATTTACAACTGTCTAAAACCATTTAGAATGCTTCAGAATCATTTAGAAGGCTTCATAGTCATTAAAAATGATTCATAAGCATTTAAAACTGCCTAGAACCATTTAGAACACTTCGTAGTCATTTAGATCGTTCCAGAAGCATTTAAAACTGTATTGAACCATTTAAAGCGTTCCAGAAGCATTTAAAACTGTCTAGAACCATTTAGAACGCTTCATAGTCATTTAGATCGTTCCAAAAGCATTTAAAAATGTAATGAACCATTTGAAACACTCCAGAAGCATTTTAAACTGTTTAGAACCATTTAGAACGCTTCGTAGTCATTTAGTTCGTTCCAGAAGCATTAACTGTCTAAAACCATTTAGAATGCTCCAGAATCATTTAAAACGCTCCACAGTCATTAAAAAGGATTCAGAAGCATTTAAAACTGTCTAGATCCATTTAGAACGCTACATAGTCATTTAGAACGCTCCAGAATCAGTCAGAACCGTCCAGAACTAAAGATTTCGACTTAATAAGAAGAATATTGTAATTTTTCAACTGAAAATCAGCAGCCTCTTTCATTGTCAGCCCGAGAACTTTTTACCCTAACCTCGTATGCGTATCTAACAATTTATCTTTCAAAAGGCTTTGTTAAGTTACGGCGTCGTGTTGGGAATCGGAGCCGGTATAGTGAGAGAAGCCTCGACCTTAGTGCTGGGGCATTATTTCAAACGAAGAAGGGAATTCGTGGAAATGGTGGCGCAATCCGGCGCCGGCGTCGGGGTGGCTTTATTTTCCGTTCTTTATAAGGAGGCGATAGGGTAAGATATTAGGCAGTATTCATAAAAAGAAGCATTACTTTTTGCTTCAAAAAATGAATGAATTGCTTCACGTTATATGCGTAAAAAGAAGAGAAGGAAGAGAGGTTTTGTTTCGAGGACCCTGCGGTTGAGTTATAGCAAAAGGTTTTATCGTTTTAAATCCTTAAACAAAGGTTTTAAGGCCGCCAAAGTACGCCCTCAAATTCGTAAATCGTGGGGTAATATAGAACTATTTTTGGTTAAATTTTTCCACAATAGATGGGATGAGATTAGTTTAACTCACTAGTAGATGTTCCGTGTTTGATTACACTTGACATAAAATCAAACGTACAAGAAAGTAAAATAAGAAATCCTTTTCAAAATATTTTAAATTCAATTCTTTTCCCTGCAATTTGAAAAGATAAAAGTAGGGTTTCAAAAATACTCATTAAAGTGCTCTAAAAGTATTCCGGTGAACTGGAAATACCTTATTTCATATTACCTGCCCTTAAAAATTTTCAAATTATCCAAAAATATCTGAAAAACGGAAACTACAGACACCGCTGTAGTTAGTCAAATTTGCAAAATTGTTCTGTGATTTAACATGTATGTCAAGCGACACCATAATTTACAGGATCATTTACATCTATCATCATCATTGAAATACATTAATTAGTTTTTTTCAATTAAATACAGCCCTTGAATCAATATAAACTAGGAGACATCGTTCTGTAATAAGTATTCTTCATCCTACTAAAATTATTCACACATTCGTTCGAGGAAACTCGAGTCTTACTAGAATTACGTTTTGTCATTTAAATAGCATTGCAAATAAATGGCAGTTTTTGATTGCAATTTTCTTAAATATACAAAGTGTTTCATTGGGAAAGGGCAATATTTTAACCCTATATAGAGGTAACCCAGGGGAACATAAAAAACCCATATACTATGGGTCTTGCGCCCTTTATAACCGAGTTTCAGGGTGTTTTTTTGAATCACTCAGTATATTTTTTTGATATTTGACATAGATATTCTATACCTTTAGGACAATTTATTGCCACATTAAAAAATTACAAAATCCAAGTCCGGATTTAGAAAAACTATTAAAATTTGACCGACCCTAAAACCACACCCTATACATCACATTTTTAAAAATTGAATTTCAAATTTAGAAAGAGTATAAAAAACTGAATGTATTCATCAACTTTTTATTTTCCCGCATGCCGTTTTTCTACCAAAATTTAAACGTTAAAATGTACATTATGAGATTTTTGGTCCATGTAAAATGTAATTGAAGGGATTTTAATTATTTTTTCTTTAATAAACCAGATTTACTTAACACTTTCATGGAAATTCCAGAAATAGACCTATTGAACTTGAATTAACATTCACATAAACCAATAAAAATTACAATTACAAATCCGCACTTAATAAAATTAAAATTAAGTTTTGAATTTTCTCATGTAGAAATGTAAAAATTGATTATTCAATGATTAATTATTAAATGAATTGAAATCATTTTAATTCATTCAATTAGATTTTACATGGAACAAAAATCTCATAATGTACATTTTAACGTTTAAATTTTGGTAGAAAAACGGCATGCGGGAAAATAAAAAGTTGATGAATACATTCAGTTTTTTATACTCTTTCTAAATTTGAAATTCAATTTTTAAAAATATGATGTATAGGGTGTGGTTTTAGGGTCGGTCAAATTTTAATAGTTTTTCTAAATCCGGACTTGGATTTTGTAATTTTTTAATGTGGCAATAAATGTTCCTAAAGGTATAGAATATCTGTGCCAAATATCAAAAAAATATACTGAGTGATTCAAAAGTTATAGCTGTCGAAAAAATGGGCCAAATTCAAAAAAACACCCTGTAACTCGGTTATAAAGGGCGCAAGATCCATAGTATATGGGTTTTTGTAACCCCCTGGGTGACCTCTACATAGGGTTAAAATATTGCCCTTTCCCAATGAAACACCCTGTATAATGAGAGGAGAGATTAAAAATGGGAGATATCATTACTTGGAGTCTCTATATTAGGTATAAGAATGATTCAAATCAATTGATGAAGCCAAATTTAAATCTTACTGGAATTACTGAACCTATATTTTCCCATTTAAAAATACCCTAAAGTGGCGCCCTTAAAACCTTTTCCTCTTATCTTTTGCCTCTACCTATAACTTCAAAGTAAATGCTTCATTTTTATAAATATGGACTAATGGCCGGAATTTCCGCTCGTTTTCGCTCAAATTATCTTCGCTTTACCAGCAAATTAGGTTGGAGATTAGGCCTGCAGGCGGTGACTGGCTTGTTGTCGCTGACCTTCTTCCTGCCCATCGTGTACAGATCCGCCAATTTGTACCATCCCCAAAGGCGGGCGATAACTCACTTGAAGAACCAACGGAAGAAGATGAAAGAGAAGAAATCGCACGCGAAGATACCGAAACCTCCGATGTTCGATTTCAGTCCGCTCAAAAGCAAAGGGTTAAGAGTACTTATGATCGCCTGTGCCTTCGCTGCATTAGGAATATACGCGCCGATTTTTTATCTGGTAAATTTTGGTACCTTAAGGGCGGGTTGTACCACCGAAGGTTAACTTCGGTTCAGCTTTAAACTTGGTTCAAAACGAAAAAGTGCGTGGTACAACGGTATATCAATATTAAACAATGGTTTAGGAATGCGATTAGAATTCGTAAAGTAGACATCATCAGTAGAAAATCAACGATGGAGGAGTTTCTAGAAGAGCTAACTGATGATGAAGGTTTTTTGGGCAACTGTACAAATTTTTCTTTGACCTTTTTTTGACCGTGGTCGAACCTAAGCAAATAAACGGTGGTACAATTCGACAAAACTTAAACTCAGTTCTGAATTGATGAACAGTTCAACTGAACTAAAGTTTGCCAATCAATCGTCTTGATTTTACCAAAAGGTTTACCAAGGCTACAAGGAAGGGCTGGAAGACAGCGGATTGGTCGTCCTGCAAACCTTCATGGGCTTCGCCTCGGCTTTAGGTTGCGTAGGCTTCGGCTTGGTCATCATCAAGCCCAGCACGCAGTGCCTCATATCGAGGCAGTACCTCTGCCAAACGGCCATGGTCGGGATGGGTAAGCAACCGCCGCAAAGAATTTTATAGCGTTTTCCATTGGTAAAATAGTGCACATTGCCAATGGAAATCAAAACGTCCGCACAGTCCACCAAATGAAACAAAAATTTTGAGTGGACTTTTAGCGCGCACCGTTTTACCAATGGAAAACGCCATAAAACCATTTAGAACGCTCCAGATTTGTTTAGAACTGTGTAGAACAATTTAGAAAGCTCCAGATTTGTTTAGAACTATCTAGTACAATTTAGAACGCTCCAGATTTGTTTAGAACTATCTAGTACAATTTAGAACGCTCCAGATTTGTTTAGAACTATCTAGTACAATTTAGAACGCTCCAGATTTGTTTAGAACTGTGTAGAACAATTTAGAAAGCTCCAGATTCATTTAGAACTGTCTAGAACAATTTAGAACGCTCCAGATTTGTTTAGAACTATCTAGTACAATTTAGAACGCTCCAGATTTGTTTAGAAATATCTAGTACAATTTAGAACGCTCCAGATTTGTTTAGAACTGTGTAGAACAATCTAGAAAGCTCCAGATTCATTTAGAACTGTCTAGAACCATTTAGAACGCTCCAGATTTGTTTAGAAATATCTAGTACAATTTAGAACGCTCCAGATTTGTTTAAAACTGTGTAGAACAATTTAGAAAGCTCCAGATTCATTTAGAACTATCTAATTGTACCTACTGATTTATTAAAGGCATTTCGCTGCTGGCGTTGAGCGCCGTCCAAGGGTACCACGGGTACGTCCTGTTCGTCTGGCTGTACGGCATCTGCTTGGGCGGGTACAACTACGCCTTGAAAATGTTCACCCTCGAACGGATCAAGGGCAGGCACTTCACCAAGGCCTGGAGTTTTATCCAAGGCGCCAAAGCCATACCAGTTTTAGTCGGGATTCCCATTACCGGTTACATTAACCAAACCTACCCGAAGGCCGGCTATTACTTCAGCTTCGTGACCACCATCATAGGTAAGGATTTTCGTTCGTTGTCGAGTGTACCGGTAATAAACCAGCCATGTATTTGGTGTAGGAGCGAGCCTGATGTTCCTAGTCGGTACCCGCAAGGAGCACCATCAGCTCACCAACAGCAATTCGACCAACTGCAATCTGAACAACTGCGCCGTCGCCAACATGAACGAGTGCATCTGCGGCCTGGGGCCCTACAACCCCATCTTCGCCTCCGACGTGTCGGGCTACAATTTCTACAGGCCCGGCGCCAACCACTACGAGCGGATATTCCCGAGTTGTCCCGATCAGTGCGAGAAGACGTCGCTGCACCGGCACTCGTTCCGCCACCATCGGAGGGACTCCCAGCATCGGCTGACGCTGCCGAAGAGCCTCTCGTACGCGGCCAATATCAATCATTCGCCGTATTACGCGCCGCCTGGCGGGTGCGTTCGGTACGCCAGTTTGCCCAGGGCTAAGAGGGGCGCGCTCAGGCCGAGCAAGAGCGTTCCCGAGGGATTGGCCCGGTGGGAATACTGCGGGGCTTATAGGAGGCCCATCATTAGAAACGTGCAGGTGATTGAGCAGATTACCACGTCTGTGTAACGAGATTTGTTGCGCTTTGTTTAGTTATTTTTTTTTCGTCTGGGATTCTCTTCTATACCATTTCCAACTGTATTTCAGAAAGAGCATAGACCTATTAAATTGCTCAGTAAAAAAATAATAAATCCTCAACCCTATTCTACCATAAGCTACCCTCCTCTACCCCAGCTACCTTGCATTTCTGAAAACGTAACTCACGTGGTCTTTTGCTTTCTTACTATTGGCTAATGCATTGTCCAATCTCTCATTGCCATATGCCCAAACTAGCTGCATCTCTCTCATTCATCGACAACACTACCTCTTTGTCTAAACCGCGTCCATAGTTAATAAGTCTATAAGAAAGAGTCAGGTTCATTTAGGAATGCGTCAGGTTCATTTAAGAATGCGTCAATTGAATTTCAGAATAGTCACATATATTTCGGAAAGTATCAATTGTATTTCAGAATAGTCAATTTGATTTCAGAAATCACCAATTGAATTTCAGAATAGTGAATTTGATTTCAGAAATCATCAATTGTATTTCAGAATAGTCAATTTGATTTCAGAAATCATCAATTGTATTTCAGAATAGTCAGGTCGGTTTCGGAAACGATCATTTGAATTTTAAAATAGTCAAATTCATTTCAGAAATCATCATTTGTATTTCGGAATTCTTCAATGTCTATAGCTTTTCAATCTCAATTTCAGAAAAAATTATAAAAGTATCAGTTCCAGAAGAATAATTTCGATTTCAGAAAAAAATATTTCAATTCCGAAGAGAAGTTGTTTCAAGTCCGAAAAAATAATATAAATTGTGGAGTGGATCGAGTTTTTCTTCTTCCTTAATAATTGTAATAATAATTGTCATATGATTTCTGCATTCCAAATGGGACTCTGAAATCCTTTTGACGGTTTCCGAAATACGAATGACACTTTCCGAAACACAAATGATAATTTCTGAAATCAAATTGACTATTCTGAAATTCAATTGATGATTTCTGAAATCAAATTGACTATTCTTAAATTCAATTGACGCTTTCTGAAATACAACTGGAAAAGGTGTAGTTCACTTTGATGTTAGCTTACTATTGAACGGTAATTTCTTGAACCTTTTTAATATTTAAATGAAGTGTACAGGGGAAGAACGACAATAGTCCATCCTAAAGATTTTCGAAAAACATTAAAATACCAAGCGTCCAAGGTCGAGCGCTGCATTCCTCCGCCGATTCATCGCACCGAAGCCGCGCCTCTCCTCAGTTCGGATTCTCTCTTTCTACTGATTGCAGCGCAAGAACTTGGACGATCGGTATAAGTTTACTTATTCGTTAGAAAGTGAAATTAAAGGTGCGTTAAATTTTTACCATTTAACGATTTTATTATCTGATAGTAACTACAAAATGCTATAAAAATAAACTTAATTTTGCAAAAAAATGGACTATTGTCGTTTTTCTCCTGTAGTTTTCAAATCTTATTAGTCGAGACTGAAATAAAAATTATTTATATGTTAGATGTATTTTTACTCCTGTTGAATATTTATGTTAGTCGAGCAATATTAAGACGGTTGTGATTTAATTCTGTAGATAATTATAATAATAGATTCGCTCTATATTTATTTATGAAATGCACAATACATTATTCCAATGGAATGTTTTTTGTGTAGATTCGGGAGTGTTTTTCTTGGAATGTTTTTTTTTCATCGTTATCGCTGATTTGGAATATTTAATAATAAAATACATCGGTATTGGTAACCGGAAAAATTGTATATAGTATGTAATTGTAGACCTTGAGGGAACAATTACACTTAATAGGAAAATTTCCTAGGCGTGTATAAAGTTGTAGGTAAGTAGGTAAGTATGCAAATTCGTTTATTAGAGAAAATTGGTTTATTTACCAAAAAATAATGGTTGAAATAAATTAAAATGTTTTAACGGCAAATTTATAGTAGGATTGTGAAAATGATCATCTTCTTAAAACTAGAATAGCAAATTTTACAAAAAAAAAACTCAATTATTTCGTACTTTTAAAATTAAAATGTAAGTAGATTTTATCCCATCGAAATTAGAATTCTATAAAAACAAATTATTGAATGTATTTGGACGTTGCATTAAACATTTAAGTGATTCTGTGATATAAAAACAATTAAATTAAACATGTTGATACGAAATATTCAAGTCACAAGAACACCTCTAGTGTTAAGAAAACTTCGTATTTTATGTAAATTTTTCTTCTAGAATTAATGCGTTTTCACACGGTTCAAAATATTGCAGCAATTTATTGCAATTTATTGCAGCAATATTGCATTGCAGTTAAAATACCAGCCTTAGAGCGTTTTCAGACGATGTAATATATTGCTGCAATATATGCATTAGTGCATTAGTGCAATATATTGCAGCAATATTGCATTGCAGTTAAAATACCAGCGTTAGAGCGTTTTCAGACGATGTAATATATTGCTGCAATATATGCATTAGTGCATTAGTGCAATATATTGCAGCAATATTGCATTGCAGTTTTTATACAAGCGTTAATAAAAATTATCGTATCGCATACTTAGGAAAATTACGCATTTGAACGTTTGTATTTTAACTGCAATAAATTACTGCAATATATTGCACAGTGTGAAAACGCTCTTAATAAAAATCTCATCGCATACGTGTGAAAATTATATTATTTATTTGTTACATTTACATTGCTTTTAAATTATTTTCATTTACATTTATTTATTGCTGCAATATATTGCACCGTGTGAAAACGCTCTCTTTAAGCAATGCAACAAACAGCAAAATCGTTTACTTTCGTAGAATAACGAACCAATTGTAGGAATTTAAATTACCATTGTACAGGGTGTTTTATCGAAATTATACGAAGCATTTAAAAACAACCTCTTGAGTACTGATCAATTTGTTTATACTTTTATTAAAAGTGTTTATAGTTATGTAATGTTTAGATTTATATGTAGTGTTATGTAGTACTATTGAACCAAAAATATCTTAAGACCACTTTAGATCATCTTAACTTCAATGCGATTTTCATTACAAGAAGAAGCTGTACTAGAAGTTTATTTTCGCATTAAATTTAAAAAAAATATAGAGCATGATTTCGATTTGTAATTCGTGATTTTTGTGTAAAATTTTTATTATATTTTAAATACAGGGTGTATATTAATGTATATTAAAGTTTTTAGTTTTCGGGCTACAGGGTGTTATAATTTTAGAAAAAAAATTAATTTTCATCATAATTTGCCTTACTCCAGATATTTTCATGAAATTTTGTACGCACTTTTTAATTGTTAAGGAGCATTTTTTGAGGCATAAGATTTTTTTAAATTTTCACCAGTGACATCCGTACGGGGTGTAAACTGAGTAAGTTTGAAAAAAAAAATGGTACGCCACTGCTTTTTCTAATGACCAAAATTATTTTAAAAATTATCATTTATTTTGGAGCAAATTCGGTACGAAGACTTACTTTCGTACGACGCACCATTTTTGCGTAAAAAAATAAAAACCAAAACAATTTCTTCCCAAGTTCATCGAAACTGCTTTTGATATTTTGTTGAAATTTGGTATACGCCCACCTTGCATGGAAACACTTTTTTTTTAACAAAAATTAATTGGGAAATATACATATGGGAAACTTTTTTATTTGTAATGTTACGAAAAAAAGTTATTTTTTATAAAAAAGTTCTGCATGGTGAATAAAGTAAAAAGCAAATGTCAGATGTCATTTTTTTCAAATCGTATACGAGGTTTGTCAAAAAATATGAATTTGATACAAGAGTAAAGTACTTTTAATTTTTACAATATCGAAAACTTTAATTATGAAAAGTTGTTCGAAATAGAAAACTATGCTTGAAAATGCATTTTTGCTACTTTTTGAAGTTCAATTACTGACGTTTTCAATTTTGATTACATCAGTTACAATTACATTTCAATTTCAATGCACACTAACTAGATGGAATGTATTATTTATTTCTCGAAAGCATTTACTAGACTGACTGTCGGTAAGAGAAATGTCATTGTCAGAGCCACCTAGATAATAAATTATTTGCATTTATTTTTGCGTATTACCGTAAAAAATACATTATTCTGTTGGGTATTACTTATTTATTACCGATTTAAGTTTATTGCTAAAATATTTCAAAACAACAAATAAACATTTGAGGTTTGTTGACTTGTTAAATAAGATAAAATTTAACGTGTTTCGCAACTAAAATTTGAAAAAAATTAAGTTGAAATTAAAGTGGTCAAAATATTCCTATTAAAATTTAGCAATTTTTGGACACTCTGTACATCTAATATCAAATGGAAATACCAAAAATATTATTATTTTTGAAAGCAGAGATTTTCATAAAGAATATTTTTTTTCGTAACACACAATAAAAAAGTTTCCCATGTGTTGCCAACACTTTCGGACATACTGTATATTGATATAAACTTTTTTCTTAAAATCAGCCAAATATACACACCCGGAAATATCGGCACTCAATTATTTAACACCCTGTATATTTAAAATATTTTATAAAATTACGATCATCTAAAGTAGCCTATAATATAATTTATTATTTATTGAAAAACCGATATAGTTTATATTTAATAAAATTATTTCAAATAAATTATCCATTGTTTTTAATAAACTTGCCTTTTATTGTCATGTATCCACATATTTTCCAAAAGTAAATATTCCGAATAAAAAACAATTTAAAATTTAAAAATCACAGAAAATCCCTTACACGCATCACACACAATCTTGTCATGACGGAATTTTTGTCAAGACTTTAGAATGACAATTTAATCAAATGAAAATTCTTAAATTGTAAAGTTGGATTTTAAAGTTGTGTTGTATAATACCGTTCGAAGCATCATGAATCAACTCAATGGAAAATACGTGAATGTCGTCCTTTCCATAGAATGCGGCAGGGGAATGGACTTTTTGAAAAACAGCGTCTACGTTACCGCCAATTTCAACGGCAGAATATTAGGTATTTACACACCCAATACTCGCAAGTTCACCCAAATAAATCCCCTAACGTTTTAGAATCCGACCATCTACCGCCCGAAGAATGCCCGCCCTTCAACACCGAGCTCGTATGGGAAATCGAAAAGAAAGAACTCCGCAAAATCCGATCGTCCAACATTCCGCTCCGCGTCGAATGCATCACCATCGATACCCAAAGTCGCAAAGAGCGCATCGGCTTCGCCCTGTTGAACCTCCGCAGCGCCCAAATCGTGCCGGAATCGAAGAGCAACGAGCCGATCGCCTCCGCCTGGCACAAGCTCATCGGCTGCCAGGCGGACAAGAAGAAAAGCCACCCGGAATTGTACCTATCCCTCTCGCTCAGAGACCACATGTTCAACGAGCAGCCCAGCGCTGAGAATCCCAACAACGCCATGCCGTTCATTCTGGAAGAGGACGTCCAGAACATGGAAGATTCGCTCAAAGGCGCCGACACGTTCGCTTTGAAGTACTTCGAAAACGGGCACATACAAATCGGCGACGAGGAATCGGCCAACGAGCCTTTCGTGTTCAATTTGCTGATCAAAAGCGTGGTGAATCTGGACGCGCTGCTGCCCGAGGCGTTGGTGTTCCAAACGAACGCCGGCAGTTACTTTCTCACGTTCAAAATACTCGGCATCATCGTGAAGACGAAACCGTTCCAAAGGGAGATGCACACGCACCTCAAGCTGAACGAGAAAATCGTCGTGCATTTGCTGTCCAATAGAGACACTTTGGAGAAATTCCTCGGCACCCAAACGGTCACCGTCAGCTTCTATCACGGCTACGACAAATTGGGCGTCACTAAATTGAACTACGACGAGGTGTGGGATCGCAAAGAGGGCAAGTACTATTTCAAATTCCCGTCGCCCAACGGCATCGTGCCGTTCGGCTGCACCGAGCAATCGCCCTACATAACCCTCGAGACGTGGATAAAAGAAGCCGCCGACGAGGAGGAGGCATTGATATCGCCCAAACACCCCCAAACGCCGCGCGCCGACGAACCGTCGGAGAAACCGAAAACCAAGAGCATCTTCTCGAACATCTGCAAAAAATCGAAGACCCCCAACGAGCCGGACGTGGAGAAGATGAGCATCGAGGAACCCGATACGCAGGACTCGTACAGATCGCCGAGGAACGACATCGATCTACTACCGTTCGTCACCAAATCCGTGGATACGGTGGTGATCAACGATCCCCTAACGCCGAGGCCTCACGCCGCCTCCGATCTGTACGAGAAATTCGTGCTGATCGTCAGCTTGAAGACGCTGACGTGGATCGCGCCGCCTCCCGACACCAAGATCATGTTCAAGTTCCTGCATCCGAGGGCGGGCAGTTGCACCACCATTTTCACGGAGATCAGCAACGCGGTGCAGCAGGAGATCGTCCTCAACAATCTCTACGTGCGAATCGGTTACATATCCACCTACGACAAGATCGGCAAGCTGCTGAAGAACTGGTATCCCAAGCTGGTGTTGGCCAACGAGCACGAGACCTACATATCGGATCAGAAGGCGCTGAACGTGAATTGCTCCAACACCAAGTGCAAGAATTACGACATCGAATTCAAGAGTTTGAGGACCGGCGCGACGTTGACTCGGATCGGCGTGAACGTTACTATGAAAGTGACCGATCCGAAGTTAGAAGACGATTACGAGAACCTCTATTTACTGCCGATAATATTAGACGAGATAATCGTGGTGAAAGAAGTGGCCGATTTGATGGCGTGGAAGCGAAACTTCAAAGAGCAATTCGAAAGGCAATTGCAATTGACCAAACAGGACGAAATCAAACGATTGGACAAAGAGTACCAACAGAAGAAAGACGAATTGGAGGAGAACGTGAACAAGACCATCGACAAATGCAAAGAAGTCCAAAACGATCTCAGAAACAAACTAGCCACGTTGAAAATCGAACGGGAACTGAACAAAATGGGCACCAACGAGTACAAATACGACGACATCTACCAAAACAACTGTAAATTATATTCGAAGAACAACACCCATGAGGTCATCGAGCTGTTGAGCAAAACGCAACGGGACAATGAATGTTTGAAAAAATTGCTGGCCGAGCAGAAGGAAAAGTTTTCCGAAATGGAACAAACCGCCATTGCGAAAGTCGAAACGAAGAGTTTGCTGGAGGAATGGGACGTTCTGGAAGCCAAATTCAGTCAAATTCAATGCGTAAAAAACAATTTTGAGGAGAAATGGAAGAAAACTACCAATACCACCGCCCCTAATCCTAGTATTAATGCTAATAGTAATCCAATGAACGACAAAGTTAAATCAGAGGAAAATTCTAATTGTAAAAACGATAGACTTTTTTTAGATATACAGGGTTTTTATAATGATCAGTCTGATGATATTGAAACTATAGGCAGTACCTGCGACAATGTTGACGATAATTTTTAATAAATACTATTATTTATTATCGTGTAGTTCAAAAACGATTTATTACGTACAAATTTACAATTTTAAACAGTTCCAAACGGTCCCGAACGGTTCTAAACCATTCCGAACAGTTCTACAAATTGCAACAATAATAAATAACATTAAAATTTACTTAAATAGATTATATACATTACATAAGTTGCAGTTAATATATTATTACCAATCACTTCACTTCCTACCATCGTTTAATCGGATCACATCGCTTTATCTTCATCTCTCGCATACGTAACGTTAGCGCTATTCTTCTCTTCCTCCTTCATATCGACATCGCCCCAACCCCAAACGCAATCCTCGTGGAACTTTCGACCGTCCTTTTCCTCAGCTTTCTCCTCGCCCGAACTTTCGCGAATCTCCCACGAGCCGTCTCCCGTCCGTCGCGCCCTCTTCTGCACCATCTCCCGCGACACCGTCTTCAGATCGTACGCCTGTCCTATGTACGCAGCGAAATCCAGCAGGGCCGTGGTCAAATTCATCCTGTAGTTGCCCAATTCCGCCGCCTTGTAGTCCCAGGGGAACGTGTGGTGGTAGTTGTGCCATCCTTCACCGAAACCTATGGTCGAGACGAACCTGTTCTCCGTTGGGTTTATAGTACTGGAATGTATTTGAATTAGAGGAGTTGTGGTTGTAAGAGATGAGAGAGTTTACCTGTCGTAGGGTTTGTAGCCCCACATGTGAGCTGCGCTGTTTACCAGCCAAGTGCCGTTCAAGGAGAGCACGTATCTGAAGATGCTGATGCAGAAGGAGTAGTAGAATAGCTCGCCCCAGAAGTATACAGGTGCGTACGTTGGTATGATGAGAGTCAACAGCAGTATTAACGGTATGTAATACCTGGAAAAACGGTTTGTTAGATGGGTGGTTGTAGGGGTAAATCGGGGTAAAGTGCTCTAACTTTCTCTGCCACATGACGACCGGGTCGGCTTCCACGTCGCTCAGATCGATTTTTTTCCCTTTGAGCGCGACGTCGGGGTGTTTCTTCATCAGCAGCCAGCCGACGTGGCAGAAGAAGAAGCCGCGCGTCGAATTGTGCGGATCGGCGTCGGTGTCGGTGAATTTGTGGTGGGCGCGATGGTCGCGCACCCACGTGTAGATGTCGTTTTGCAGGGCGCCCGTTTGGCCGAGCATCAGCCATATTCTGAACGGCAGCTTGGCTTTGTAGGTTCTGTGGGCCCAGAGCCTGTGGGCGCCGCCCGTTACTCCGGTCGTCGTGAACGAAACGTAGGCGATGTCTGGAAAAATTTATACTAATGGTATGGGTTTGTTCCAGCAGCATGTTGTTGAGCATAATGGCATTCGGAACTCCTTTTTGTGAGTTACAAAGTCTCTTTAACGTAACCAATGACCAATGCCCATTGTTACTCCATAACAACCAATGTAAAACTGTCAGTTGAAAGAATCTCCCTAGTTACTCCATAACAACCAATGTAAAACTGTCAATTGAAAGAATCTATCAATTTGGGTTTAAATTGTATTTCCGAATATAGGTTAATTATTAGGTTATGTTGTTTGTTGTTTTTGTTTGATATTTGGTGAATATGCAATCAATGTAAAGACTGTTCCATCAAGAAATCAGAAATTTGATTACACCACTCAATCATTAACCGCGCATATGAATCAGAAGAGTCAGAAACTTATTGGTAACAAAACAGTGACTTTTTGTAGGAACAAACCTAATGTAAAACTGTCAGTTGAAGAAATCTCCTTAGTTACTCCATAATAACAATGTAAAACTGTCAATTGAAAGAGTCTCCTTAGTTACTCTATAACAACCAATATAAAACTGTCAAATGAAAAAATCTTCTTAGTTACTCCATAACAACCAATGTAAAACTGTCAATTGAAAGAATTTAATTAGTTACTTAATAACAACCAAGGTAAAACTGTCAATTGAAAGATTCTCCTTAGTTACCCCTTAACAACCATTGTAAAACTGTCAATTGAAAGAATCTATCAATTTGGGTTTAATTTGTATTTCCGAATATAGGTTAATTATTAGGTTATGTTGTTTGTTGTTTTTGTTTGATATTTGGTGCATATGCAATCAATGTAAAGACTGTTCCATCAAGAAATCAGAAATTTGATTACACCACTCAATCATTAACCGCGCATATGAATCAGAAGAGTCAGAAACTTATTGGTAACAAAACAGTGGCTTTTTGTAGGAACAAACCTAATGTAAAACTGTCAGTTGAAGAAATCTCCTTAGTTACTCCATAATAACAATGTAAAAGTGTCAATTGAAAGATTCTCCTTAGTTACTCTATAACAACCAATATAAAACTGTCAAATGAAAAAATCTTCTTAGTTACTCCATAACAACCAATGTAAAACTGTCAATTGAAAGAATTTAATTAGTTACTTAATAACAACCAAGGTAAAACTGTCAATTGAAAGATTCTATCAATTTGGATTTAATTTGTATTTCCGAATATAGGTTAATTATTAGGTTATGTTGTTTGTTGTTTTTGTTTGATATTTGGTGAATATGCAATCAATGTAAAGACTGTTCCATCAAGAAATCAGAAATTTGATTACACCATTCAATCATTAACCGCGCATATGAATCAGAAGAGTCAGAGACTTATTGGTAACAAAACAGTGACTTTTTGTAGGAACAAACCTAATGTAAAACTGTCAGTTGAAGAAATCTCCTTAGTTACTCCATAATAACAATGTAAAACTGTCAATTGAAAGAGTCTCCTTAGTTACTCTATAACAACCAATATAAAACTGTCAAATGAAAAAATCTTCTTAGTTACTCCATAACAACCAATGTAAAACTGTCAATTGAAAGAATTTAATTAGTTACTTAATAACAACCAAGGTAAAACTGTCAATTGAAAGATTCTCCTTAGTTACCCCTTAACAACCATTGTAAAACTGTCAATTGAAAGAATCTATCAATTTGGGTTTAATTTGTATTTCCGAATATAGGTTAATTATTAGGTTATGTTGTTTGTTGTTTTTGTTTGATATTTGGTGCATATGCAATCAATGTAAAGACTGTTCCATCAAGAAATCAGAAATTTGATTACACCACTCAATCATTAACCGCGCATATGAATCAGAAGAGTCAGAAACTTATTGGTAACAAAACAGTGGCTTTTTGTAGGAACAAACCTAATGTAAAACTGTCAGTTGAAGAAATCTCCTTAGTTACTCCATAATAACAATGTAAAAGTGTCAATTGAAAGATTCTCCTTAGTTACTCTATAACAACCAATATAAAACTGTCAAATGAAAAAATCTTCTTAGTTACTCCATAACAACCAATGTAAAACTGTCAATTGAAAGAATTTAATTAGTTACTTAATAACAACCAAGGTAAAACTGTCAATTGAAAGATTCTCCTTAGTTACCCCTTAACAACCATTGTAAAACTGTCAATTGAAAGAATCTTCCTAGTTACTTCATGTCAACCAATTTAAAACTGTCAATTACGTCAATTACGTAATTAATGTCTTTAACGTAACCAATGACCAATACCCATTGTTACTCCATAACAACCAACGTAAAACTATCAGTTGAAAGAATCTCAACAACAATGTAATACTGTCAATTGAAAGAATTTCCTTAGATACTAACAAAACAACCAATGTAAAACTGTCAAGTTAAACAATGCCCTTACTTACTTCACAACAACAATGTAAAATAACTGTCAAATTGCTCTCTAAAATCTATAAAATCTAGTAAAAAAACCTCCAAAAACCTCAAAAAATCGTCAAATTAAGGGTTTTTATTCAAAAATATGCGTGCGTAATACTTACTAAAAACTATCGTTTGCCACTTTAAACTGCCAGTAATCATGTACCACAATCCTTGTAGCGCTATTAAATGTAAAATGCCCATGATAAGAACATTTCTCCAAACCCAGTCCTGTTTTGTAACTTCGGGTTGTGGATTATTCGTGCCATTTTCTTTGGTTTGATTCGAATCGTCCAGGAAATCGATGAAGCCGAGCTTTGAAGATGGTGCCATTTTTCTATATAAATTTCTAAAATGATTAAATTAAACTAGGTTATTTAATCACTTACCCTTTTAATCGACAATACCATACTAAACGTTCGGTTCGCTTCTTCTTAAATAAATATTTGAAACGCCAACTCCACCTCCTAATGGAACGAAATTGTCGAAATCGTGTACCCATTGTTTTTTTACTAAAAGCCCATTTGATTGTTACATATTGTATTTTAAATTTACCTTGGGCATTAATTTGCGTAATTTGATTTAAGTAATTTAATTAATTCGGAAAATTAATTGGAAAGGACGTATTTCCTTGCAGGACTACTTGATGTTTATTTGATAACATGCCTAATTATTATACGTCTCATTAATTGGTTGAATCGTAAAAAAAATATTTACACAAAGTTGCTTTTAATTGGTAACAATATGAAGCCTGCAACAAAAAATTTTTCAAACAAAAAGAGAAAAAAAAACATATTTTTCATGAAAAGAAATTTATTTTTTATTCAAATTATGTAAAAAAAGGTGGGGTTCACCGCACGAAATTTCAATTTATATTCTAGAACTCCCCATTATACAGGGTGTCTCATAAGTTGATAAGTACTTTTTTTAACTGCGTATTGATCTTTTAATTCTAAGCAACTTTTTCAAGTAAATTTTTTTAATATTCTGGAAAATAAAAAAAGATAAAAATTTTTAAAATTTCTTTAAATTTCGAATACGTAACTGCCATTACCATACAGGTGTTAAAAAAATAATGAATAATTAATTACAAAAAATTAATTTTTCGATTGTTGAATTGAAAATGGCTTATCATTATACAAATATTGAATTGGTGGACATGCTGATTATTTATGGAGAGTGCTTCGAAATTGTTTCCAAAATTTTTAGCAGTTCCTTTAACTATTAATGAACAGAACCGTATTAACTAACTTTTTAATAATTAAAAATTGAAAAAAAAACATGCTCTCTTATTTTCCAGAATATAAAAAAAATTTACTTCAAAAAGTTGCTTACAATTAAAAGACCTACACGCAGTTAAAAAAGTAGCAACTTATGAAACACCCTGTACTCAGCTTCCTTCCAGACTGAATCATCTAAAAATCTCGTTGAACATTGACTTTTATTATCGAATATTTATGAAGTTCCGCGCGTCTTAATGACAGTTTCACAAATCGATCGAATACGAACTAACAGCAAACCCATCCACCATGTCCGACGAAAGTATCACGTTCAAAGAAGACACCGAAGATTTGCTCTACATAGCAAAGAAGATCGATGTGGACGAATTCACCTACGTGGAGGAGGTCAGTTGGGCGCGCGAATCGCTCGATTCGAAGGGCTCCCTCACCACCAACGCCATCACCGAATCCGAATCGAAGTTGATCAACAAGAAGAAGGACACCGAACTGGGGCCGGACATTTTCAAGGACCCCACCGTTCTGCTGAGAACCAGACCTTTCGTATGACTTCTACCTAGTAACCTTGTACTTAGTATTCAATCTTCGTTCCTGTTCAAGGATTTCATGTGGACGTACGGGTGCAATCCCAGAGTGGATATATTAAACCTCACCGATGCTGTTAATCACGAGATTCTATTCGCCAGCGGGCATTTGCCCATAATGTACGACTACTGTAAGAAGAAAATGCATTACTTGGAAGGCCACGTGAGTATCATTCCTTACCTTCCAATACTGCTATATATTTTCTTCTATTCGCAGCATTACTCCGTCGTAGCTTTATCAATCGACAGCAACGGACAGTATTTGGTTACCGCTGATAACGGTGAAGATGGCTTCTTAAACATATGGGATTGGTCCTTGAGAAACACGGACACGGGAAAAGTGTGAGCGCAAATCAGAAAAATCACTAATGCCCGATTTCACCAACCAGTTCCTAAAGTTAGGTAATACCTAAACCGGATTTGGGAATTCCTAAGTACAATTTGCGTTTCACCATGCACTAAGTAATACCTAAAGGTAATAGGAAATGCCTAAAGTTAGGACAGTTCACTGGGCTTGCCTAAAACATTTAGGAAATACTTAACCATACTTTTCATGTGATTTCATGTGACTTAAGTCTTGACTGTCTTTAGACTTTTTAGATGAAAATTTAAAATGGGAGGAGAGTTTTTAGAAACTGGACGAAACTGATTTTTTTTCGCCTTTTTCGATATATAAAAATACGGCATTACAAATATTAGAATGAATTGGAGATGATTGATAATTTGATACACAGGAAGTTTTTGGAACTATTGACCGTACACATGCATGTAAAGATCCATTGTCCTGGAGGAGAAGATATAGAAATATTTTACAAATCGGACAGGTTATTTTTCTAATAATGTACAGACTACATCTTCAGCAGATTTAAAAATAACTAACATAGTTTAAAGATGGCCCGGATCATCAAAATCTCTTCTTTTCTCTCAACATATTCAATTTCGATCTCCGCTTATTCGATTTACACGTCAAAATTAGGCAATGCTACCAATAAAATTCAAAAAATTGTCGAAATCAAATTTTTACCTACGGTATTTCTTAGTAAGGGATTTCTAATGTTGGTGAAATTCGATTTAGCTAAGTATTCGATTTAAGTAATTCCTACCTTAGGAATTACCTAGTTAGGAAATACCTAACAACATGTTGGTGAAATCGGGCATAATTTGATTAAACCAACGCCAATTTCCAGCGCTCCCCTTTACTCCATGTACTCGCTTTACGAGAAATTCGGCATCAGCACGGCCGCCATAAGTCCCTGCGCTCGATACATAGTAACAGTCGGCGGTATAAAGGAAGATGTTTATTCCATAGATATGTGGCTGTGGACTTTAGGAAACAAGTCATCCGATGGTTGCACATCGAATGTTACTCTATTAGAACGCTAAACACCGCTAAATATTTCAGGATCCGTCCGGGTGCCGTCCACTCACGGAACACCGATCGCAGTCCGATACAATCCCGACATCACCGAGCACATAATGATCCTATTCTCCAAGCAAGTGCTCCTGCTATGTTGGGTAAACCAAGCGCTATCCATCACGCGAACGCATCGACCAGCAAAAACCATTTCGAACGGTTCCAGGACAACGAGCAGAAGAAGTTCACGCTGGCCGAAACGCCGCAGATCCGGCACATGACGAAGATCGGCCATCTGACGGACGCCACCTACGTGGAGGAATGTCACGAGTGCTTCGTGTCGAGCTCCAAGGGGTGCATCTTGTCCTTCAGCAACGCCCTCTACTCCAAGCCGTACGAGGAGGGCGAATTGGACAACAACAAGATCTTCAGGAACGCCTGCAAGATATCGGACGGCTCGATCGATTGCTGCAAATCCACTGAAGGGTAAGGAAGTTGGAAACTACATAAAATGTCACAGAAGAAACGAAAAACGTGGCGCTTTTATAGGTTGATTGTAGTGGGCGATGCCCGCGGGCGCATCTTCTTCTTCAACAAGCGACTGATGTTGATGTATTGGCTGACGGATTTCAATTTGGGCGCCGTGGAATCCGTAAGCTTCAATTTGATACCGAGGGTCAAGCGGAAGCGCAGCAATTTGTATTACGTCGGTAAACCGTCGAGTTCTGATAAGTAAATTTTAGAGATGTGTATAAAAATTGGAAATTACAGCTCCGACCGACGAGGACGGTTTGTTAACGTGCGACTTCGAAGACAGAGTGGAGGAATATGAGGTGTTGCTCAAGAATCAAATACCGCACGATGCGACGATCAATCGAGCGCCCTTCATTACGAAAGATTTTTTTGTTTGTAAGTACATGATTAACAGTGTTAACGAGCCCCAAGTACCTGTCCTCCTAAGAAGTTTCTACTAACAGCAACAGTTCTAGTTTCTGTTATCGAATTCCATTTCATTAAAATCTTCTGCCAACGTATCTTGAATTTAAAACCTACTTTCCAGCGACCGGTCAGAGCAACATCTATGTAGTAGATGTTATCAAGCAAAAGTGCGTGGCATTGTTCCCCGTGGCAGATGGAAACGTTGTAGCGATCGAAACTCATAAAGAATCGTAAGATCCTCTCGAAATTGTATTAATTTTTTTTGTTGCTCTTACAACTGCACCGTTGAATTAATTACAGCGATTACATAATCATCGCCTACAGAAGCAACAGGATGATTTTGCTGAATTACATAACCAACGAGGTGCTTGCTCAAAGCTGTCTGCCCAAAAGCGAGGAGGAGTCGGTGATAAGCTGCTTAAATTACGACGCTGAATGTGCGAATGAATAAAAAAATAGTATTCGATGATGGTTAATTGTTGCTTTTCGCAGCTTTGCATTTAGTATGCGGTAAAACCAACGGAGAGATTTGGGTGCTGGAGCCCGTTTTGTTGACTCCTAAACAGTCGGAACCGTTCCAAATCACCAAACACAAAGTGGTGAAGTGTTTGATTTCATCGCAGCCTTTTCAATTCGCCTATTTTGTAAGTCGATATACAGAGGATGTTATTACAATTTATTATACACTGTTTAGTTTAGATGCTTACTTATGGTATAAATAATAATATTATATAATTATATATAATATTATAATTATATAATATTATAATAATTGTGAAACATTACCTTAAAAACAAAATTTAATGACTTAAAGTAATCCCATTAAAAAAAACTCAGGTGTCGTTAGGTCTGGTGATCTCGGTGGCCACTCAATAGGACCTCTCCTTTCAATCCATTTGTTCGGATAATTAGTATTCATTCAACCAGTTCCTAAACTGCAGCTGCAGAGTGAGGATGTGCTTCATCTTGTTGGAATAAGTGCAGCAAATCTTCGTCTAGAGCTAGATTGACTTGGTCGTTCCTTTGGTTCTCTAATTCAAGCACAATTAATGGTTCGATGGTGTTCTCAATTGTTATTTATACCATTGGATAGCATTTTTATAAGCTTTTCAATAATGTACACAAGTTGGGGGTTGATATTTAAATTTCTACAGTTGGGGTATGTGGGGCATAAGGAGTTGATGGGGGTAAATTCTTTTTTATGTCTTTTTAGTTCCCTCTTTATATCCTAGAAAAGGTTTTAGGCATTTTTTGATATCATCTTTTGTTTGGAAGATATAGCCACTGTAAGTTTTAAAATGGTCTTACTGTATATTCGATTATTTCAGGATGATAATAGAACGATAGTGATATTTCAATACAACAAAAACGAAGGGAAATGGGAATTTAAAGGGAAAATTAGACCGCATTACGGAGACATCACCGATATATTGTTTTTACCAGACAAGGTTTACTCGAAACTATACAGTATCGCAGAAGACAGACACATAATTGAATACAACAACGATAAATTAGAGTAGGATTATCGGATAATTAGAATTTCGTCCAAAACACTTTCGGTATTTTTTGGTGTTCCAGCACCGAATCATTCGCAGTGAAAATCTCGGAGAGAGTAGAACAAACGGCCATACCGAAATGTATGATCTATTGGGTGACCGAGAACGAAGAAGGCAAAAAAGTGGGCTATCTTTTGGTCGCAGACGATCACGTAAAAACTGGAAAAAAATCAGGCAAATCGAATTATTAACTCGTTATTTCCACAGCACAAGTTGAAGTTCTTGTACTTGACTTCCAAAGTGCCGAAATCGACCGTGCTCGCGCCGGCGTTCGGTTGCTTCAAAAATCAAATTATGAAGAAAATGCAGGTAAAAAATTACTTTTCTTGATCCTTTTGGATTTAGAAGACTGCGCAAATTTCTTTTTTACTTTTTCAAAACATAAAATTTTGCTGTATTTTAGTTAATACCTGGTTACGATGCAAAGTTTATGGCATTTTCCACGACCAGGCATTGCGGTATTCAAATTTTACCGCCTGATGGAAACCCATACACTTACGTAGGATATTTAACGCATCCTGTTAAGGTACAAATAATTTTTTACTGGAATTAAAAATAATATACAGGGTGTTTCACAACTTATCCGACAAATTTTAACCACATATGCAGTGTTACGAGAGAAGTTAATTTCCCAAAAAAAATGTAATAAAAGTCTTACAGAAATCGAGATAATAAAATAATAGTTTAACAGTTCAATTACTTATACAAGAAGTTCAAAATTGTTCATATTTACTGCAATGCAAGCTTGGGTGCTTGTTTTTTTTGTTTTAACCATTGTTTTGGTGCAACATTTGCTACAGTAAAGTATTAAGGAAAAATTATGAACGCAAAATGCAGTATTTATTTTTCATTTTTTTATTTAAACTCGGGTTTATAATTTTATTTCTGTAGGACTTTTATTACATTTTTTGAGGTTTCTCAAAGAGAGAGAAGTTGATTACTCAAAAAAATTTAATAAAAGTTCTACAGAAATAAAATTATAAACCCGAGTTTCAATAAAAAATTGAAAAATAAATACTGCATTTTGCGTTCATAATTTTGCCTTAATACTTTACTGTAGCAAATGTTGTACCAAAACAATGGTTAAAACAAAAAAAACAAGCACCCAAGCTTGCATTGCAGTAAATGGGAACAATTTTGAACATCTTGTATAAGTAATTGAACTGTTAAACTATTATTTTATTATCTCGATTTCTGTAAGGCTTTTATTACATTTTTTTTGGGAAATTAACTTCTTTCATAACAGTGCATATGTGGTTAGAATTTGTCGAATAAGTTGTGAAACACCCTGTATAATTCACATTAAGCTGTATTTATAAAAAATAATCATAACCTTTTGCTTTCAAACAATGAAGGAATTGCTTCAAGATATGCATAAAAAAAGTGCGACGGAAGAGGTTTTGCTTCGAGGACCCTACTATTGCTTTAAAGCAATTGGTTTTAAGGTTTTGAAACCTTTGTTTAATATTATACAACCTTATCCTCTTACCCTTTCCTTCTACCTTTTACTTCAAAATTATAAATGCTTCATTTTTGTAAACATGGACTATTATTTATAGTTGGAAGATTTCGCTTTATCCAAAGATGGAAAGTACATCTTTACCTTCGGTTCCAACGATCACTGCGTTTTTAAATGGGGAATAGAAACTAAGTAAAGCATAATACTCACATCAACTGCTTGATATTAATAGCAACTTGTTCCAGATCCGTGGAGATCATGAAGTGCCTGGGAGGGAAAGAACTGGATCCGTTTTACTGTCTCATAGAAGGCGGCTACCACGGCTGGTTGTTCCACGAAATAAAGGATTTGTTCTATTACATGCAAATATTGCAGCAAGAGAACATCGATCTGCCACGCAGAGTGTCGGATTCGATTAGTATCAGCGAAATACCCGATTTGTTTAGGACCATCGGGTTCTATCCGTCGGATTTCGAGGTAATTTTAGGAAGATTCCACTACTCTTCATCACACGACGATTCATCACGGCGATGATACATTACTACCACTATGCATCTCACTACGACTATTCATCACACCTACTTAAAAAAATGTCAAATAAATCAAGACTTTTGAGGACAAAATTATCCCATGGTCGTGTTTTGTGATGAGGATAGAAATTAGTTTTTATTCGTTTTTTGGATTCATTCTTAAACATTTCAATTTTAATATTCATTTCATCACACATTTCATTCTACATGGTTGAGGTAGAGTGTAGAAACAAGTAAATACTTGCTTGAAACACTCAGGTTTTTAGCTATAGCTGTAGCTTTGTCAGGATTCCCAATGCAGCTAAAGTATTTTCCTGTATATAGCTGGAAGTGCCAAGAAGTTGATATTTTAGTTGCGTTGAGCATCTTGACAAAACTACTGCTACAGCTGAAAATGCTTGAAAGTAAATATTTTAAGCGAGTATTCACTTGCTTTTCTACACTCTATATCAACCATATGTAAATAAATGTGTGATGAAATAGTTAGTTAAAATTAAAATGTTTAAGAAAAAATTTACAATTTTTAGTTTTTAGTCGGTTTTTGGATTTATTCTTAAACGTTGTAATTTTAAAAATCATTTCATCTCACATTTCTTTCTACACGATTGGAGAAGCATAAGAAATACCTACTAGAATACTTTCATGTACTTATAAATACTTACTAGTAGAAGAAATACTTTCATGTTTTTAGTATAGCTGTAGGTTTGTCAGGATGTCCAATGCAGCTAAAATATTTTCAACTTTTTGTCACTTCCACCTATATTCCAGAAAATAGTTTAGCTGTGTTGGGCATTCTAAAAAAGTTACAGCTATACTAAAAACCTGAAAGTACATATTTCAAGCGAGCATTCACTTGCTTGTACACTTTATCTCAACCATTTGTAAATAAATGTGCGATGAAATAGTGATTAAAAATTAAAATGTTTAAGAAAGAATTCAAAAAAAACGAATAAAAACTAATTTCTACCCTCATCGGAACACGACAATGAGAAAATTTTGTCCCCAAAAATCTTGTTTTATTATTTAACATGTTTCTTTAAGTAGGTGTGATGAATAGTGGTAGTGATGAATTGTAGCCGTGATGAAATGTCCGTGATGAATCGTCGCCGTAATGAAAAGTCGTGAGATGAATAGTCTTATGCCCGATTTCACCAACATGTTGTTAGGTATTTCCTAACTAGGTAATTCCTAAGGTAGGAATTACTTAAATCGAATACTTACCTAAATCGAGTTTCACCAACATTAGAAATCCCTTACTAAGAAATACCTAGGTAAAAATTTGATTTTGACAATTTTTTAAATTTTATTGGTAGCATTGGCTAATTTTGACGTGTAAACCGAATAAGCGGAGATCGAAATTGAATATGTTGAGAGAAAAGAAAAGATTTTGATGATCCGGGCCATCTTTAAACTATGTTAGTTATTTTTAAATCTGCTGAAGATGTAGTCTGTACATTATTAGAAAAATAACCTTTCCGATTTGTAAAATATTTCTACATCTTCTTCTCCAGGACTATGGATCTTTACATGCATGTGTACGGTCAATAGTTCCAAAAACTTCCTGTGTATCAAATTAAAAATCATCTTCAATTCATTCTAATATTTGTAATGCCGTATTTTTATATATCGAAAAATGCGAAAAAAAATCAGTTTCGTCCAGTTTCTAAAAACTCTCCTCCCATTTTAAATTTTCATCTAAAAAGTCTAAAGTCAGTCAAGACTTAAGTCACATGAAATCACATGAAAAGTATGGTTAAGTATTTCCTAAATGTTTTAGGCAAGCCCAGTGAGTTGCCCTAACTTTAGGCATCTCCTATTACCTTTAGGTATTACTTAGTGCATGGTGAAACGCAAATTGTACTTAGGAATTCCTAAATCCGGTTTAGGTATTACCTAACTTTAGGAACTGGTTGGTGAAATCGGGCATTAGTGTAAGGGAATGTCGGGATATACGATTGGACTAATACCGCGGTGTTTTCCAGCTCGAAAATATACTGATCGACGCGAAATATCGCAATATAGACGAAACGAATCGAGCGAACGACGATATTTCGTTCATCGAATTCGTGAAGTTGTACTGCAATCACAAGCCGGTGTACGGATACTTCCTGGACGATCTGAAAGAAGCCTTCAACAAAATGGCACTCTGTTCTAATGAAAAGAGATCCAGTGTTTTTACCAAAGTTGACATTTCCAGAGATAATTTTATAGAAATTTTGACTACGCAAGGTAATTGTCAAACACTTACAGGGTGTTCCAAGATTCGGCTGATATAAGGTTTGTTCCAGAAGCATGTTTTTTGTTGTTACGAATATTGTGATCATGCGCAATGATTTTAAAACTACCGTTATTTGGTGTTCTGAGTAACTGTTTGTTGTTCCGGTAGAATTCGTTTTTTGTTTGGATCATGTTAGAGATCTGCCAAACTGTTCTCGTTTGAAGTGAGAACAATTAGAACAACTCGAAAATAAGTATGGTTATATTAGTTTGTTGTTGGTCATAAATACTGTTTAGTTACAATTTGGTTTTAAAATATGGAAATTAATGACTTATTTGATGCTATGGGTGAAAGTAGTTATGATGAATTATCGGAAGACGATTTTGAAGAATTGATGGAAGAAACGCAGAGGCCAAAAAATTAAAAAATATATCGAGGAAACCGTTCTTCAATATTTCGGAAAAAGAATTCAACGAACATTTCCGTATTACAGGATACCCAACAACTGCTCGAGGTGTTCCAGCAAGAAGTGTTCCAATCTTATACCAAACTTTTGTATACATATCTGATACAAACATAATTTGAACTTGCAGCTGGAACAAACCTATAGTATACTAAGCAATGCATAAATCAATTGAATTTTTCACTACATGCTTTAGCGTAATATCCTTCGATTGATTCTTAGGGGAGAAAATACCGCATGCGAAGGCGCTTCAGTATTTCAGAACGTTAATGAGAGTGGAACAGACTCAAGAAAATTTCGATTTTTTGCCAGAGGTAATACCGAAAATCTATCTATTATCTATTTATAATATACAGCGTGTCCTACGACGAGTTAAAACTATCTTAATATTAATATAGAAAAATACTTATACTTATGGATTTTGAAAATATTTTAATTAAAAAGAGCGTTATCAAAAACTCAAACCCAGAAATTTTCATAATTATACTACAGTATTTTTCCATATAGTTTTAACCCGCCGTGGGACACATCGTTTATACAGGATGTACCACTATTGGTATACAGGCTGGTCCTTTGAAAAGGAAACAGAGTTGTTTTCAGGTAAAAAAAAATGATTTTAGGAAAAACGCCCTGACTCGTCAATTTTTATATCGAGGGAGAGATCTTTTAAATTCAACATTAGAAAGGTTATTTTTTTCTTAAAATAACAAAAAAATATTAAAATCCATCGATTCGTTTTTAAACCTCTGTTTGAGACCACCCTGTATAGAAAACTAGGCATAATACAGGATGTCCAAAAAATAGATGTCAATAATTTGAATGAATGGATGAATAGTCCTGTGATATAGAACGTCGTGGAATCTAAACTGCTCCACAAAAGTTAAGGAAGTTCGCAAATTTTGCGATTATTTTAAAAGTTACAGACTTTATGATCACCAAATTTTCAAATATGCGAAATTAAATGTTTTCTCTCATATCTGAGTGGATTTTTTGCCCCTACCTCTACAACTCACACTAAATTTGGCGATCAAACAACCTGCAACTTCTAAATTAATCTCAATATTTGTGAACTTCCTTAACTTTTGTGTAGCAGTATATTTTGATGTCATCTATACGCTTATTCCGAATTGTTGACATCTAATAAATTTTCTGGACACCATATATACATTTGATTTATACTTCAGATAATAAATTTCGAAACGTTGTTTGAAGACATCCTTGGCATCGACATGGAAAGGGAACACGTTTTAGAGCCGGAACAATCCAGCGATGAGGAACAACAGCCCGATTCTAAGTCGTCACAACGCGCCGAAGGCACCTCTAAAAGTGAAGAAAACTGAACAATTTACTTATTTTTATGCTTACTTATACAATGACTATATGGGTGATTGGAAAAAGGTTAAAATTCCAATGAACAATATCTTTGGTAAATCAAAAAAAATACTTATTTGTGGCTAAACCGGTAATTTAAGAACGCTTCAGAAACGTTTAAAACGCTCCATAATCATTTAGAATTAACTCTCCAAAACCATTTATAATAGCTATGATATAGACAATTTTGTAGGTTTTCAAAAAAGCAAACTGCTACTTTTTGACGAATTGGCGTAAATTCCCCCTGACTATAATGTTAAATATTGTTAGATAATAGCCTGGTCGATTAGGTCAAAAATACACCGAATCGTATCACAAGCAAACAATCGTCCTGTTGAAATGATTAAAAACTTTTTATACAGGGCGTGTCATTTGTAAACTGTACTTTTATTCGTTATCTACACCGTGCTTCATTCGCGATTGCAACATGAGCATTTTTATGAGTCGAACAAAGAAAGATTATTAAAATAACAGTTGTCAGAATGAAAAGTTGGGATGACATAATATCACTATTACTTTTTCCTTTATAAGTGTCTAATTGAAGTTGTCTCTGTTGCACCCATAGCCTATGTTACAATGAAAAATGGAGCAATCCGTATATGATTGAATAGGTGATTGGAAAAAGGATTAAATTTCCAGTGGACCTTAATTTTGGGAAATCAAAAAAATACTTTTTTCGTCACACTATTACTATTGGTCAATTATAAACTGTGACAAAGTACGTTTGATGCCAAAGTTTCAACGGTTTATAATTCTTGGGTAACTAGCTATTGGTATTTGAAAGTACAAACATTTTATCCTGTTTTCACTCAAAATCCAAAAAATAGTTAAAAAAAAGTTAGAACTTTTTTTTTCAACATCTTTGTCACTCTTTGTGAAGTATTGATCTCATCCAGCTTTTGAAATCAACTAGCTATATCGGTATTAATTAGCCGCTTTACTTGAAACTTTGGGATTAGTTTCTTGGAAAAATGTCTGTCGCAGTGAATAAAAATATATCTATATAACCTCGGATAGGAAAATATTAATGAATTACCTCAAATCTGCCATTCATGCTCAGCACAGTTAACAACCTGGTTAAAATTCCAGGAATATTATTCTTTTTTCCACTCCACCAATTTTTTCGCTCAGCGGGAAGATAAGAGAAATTAGAACAAAATGACTATCTCACTTTAATTCGCCAAATTTTTGGAATTTTATCCTTTTCCAATCACCCATTCAATTGTTTTTGTTTACTTAAATTACTCCTCACTCTTGTCCTTTTTATAAGTAATAAAAAGAAACGAACAATTAGAAAATTAATTTATTGAATATAAAACTACTTGGTAACATCAGTCTAAATATCACTCTGGAGATTTAAAAAGTAAAACTTAACTCAATAAAAATACAATCGATTTTTGAGCAAATCCTCAAAAAAAAATTACGCCAATTTATTTAAAAACGAAACGCTAAATAATAAAAAAAACACAACGCTTTAACTTAAAAAAATAAATATACACAAAACGGATATGCAATTATTTACCAACCAATTCCAAACCGCAGGAACATCCCTTACCGATCTCGCTCTACCGTTAAACATTAAAAACTACAACGTTAAAGCGTCGCAACTAAACATAAATCAAAATCAAATTCAAAACTAGTGGTGGAAGAAAAACGTTTAATCAAGCTTTTTCTGTCCAACTTTCGATTTAGCGTTCTCCACCAAGTCGCTAAAAATCTTCGACAAAATCTCGGTGCCCTTCTGCAGGAAGCCGTTGTAAATCGTACCGGGCAACAGCAGCACCATCACCACGAACAGGTACGACAATAGCAGGTTGTTCACCGCGTTTCCCAACCAGGCCAGCGCAAACAGCCCCGCAATCGTAATACCAAAGTACTGTAACAAAGTTTAATTATGTTACTTAAATAGCCACATTTATAAAAATGAAGGCTTAAAGCCTTGTCAGGTGAAATTGATTGATTGATTTGCGAGAGAAATAAACAAAGTTTTTGGGGCATTGGGAGGTAGAGCTGATTAAGAAAATCAAGCTCTTTTATCCAGGAAAGTTCGTTTTTTTTTTCGTAATTCGATTTTAAAAGTGAATAAAAGTGAAATTTAAAAGTGAATAAAAGTGAAATTTTTGACGTTTCTAAATAAATTATTTGATGGACGTTGTCCGTTCGTTTGTTTAAACGGAACTACACCGAAATGAGAAACTTTTTCGTTATTTAGATAATTTCGCCGCTTTTAATGGACGAGAATAAAAGAAATTACAATATTTCGCAAAATTATATGTTTTTTAATCATTTATATAATTACTAAAAAGCAAGAAATGATCGAATTAATTTCAAACAAACTGACACTAATGACAGCGGCGAAGAAAAAACTTCGAACTGTCAAACTTGTCATTTCCGTAACTATAGATATTTTCACAATTAATTTGATGTGCAGGGTGTTTTTTTCATTAAAGAAATCGGAAAAATTTAAATACACTGGCCCATATTCAGCGCCTCTGTTTAACTTTAGAGTGACTCTAAAGTCTCGTCTTTAATTGACAGATTTACATTGTTGTTATGGAGTAACTAGGGACTCGAGACGCGACTTTAGAGTCACGCTAAAGTTAAACAGAGGCGCTGAATGTGAGCCAATGTTTTTGTTTTTAAAGCGAACAACTATTGTATTATACAAGGTGTTTAAAGAATGTCACAAAATGAAATAGGTGGTAGTAGGCTGACCAAAATATGCAGAAAAGTCTTAATGAATAAAAATGTGTCCGCAAATAAGCCGTTTGGGATGTAGAGCAATAGAAAGAGTGACCATTTTAAAAGGAAAAATGCCAATATGAGATGTATCGACATTTAAAATAAACGCCCAGACACGTCAATTTTAGTTTTTATGGGAAACTTTTTTTCCTAATTGCAACATTTTTGAAAAGGTTCTTTTCAACATTTTTGAATTTAATGGAGAATTCAGCAATACCCATGTTGTGCCAAATTGTAACTTTAGGGCCCTCTGGTGGTAATAAGTATAAGTATTAATGCCCTTCTGATGTTGTCATTTTCTTATTTTTTCGTTAATTTTTATGGTCTTTTGTTTATCTTGGTCCAAAAAATCGCACGATATTTTAAAGTGATGACTTCCGGGATATTTTTGGACCAAATAATAATTACTATTAAGTACTAAGTTTAGCATTATACGTATTATATTTTATTTATTTATTTATTTATTTATTTATTTATTTATTTATTTCTATCTTTCTATCTTTCTATCTTTCTATCTTTCTATCTTTCTATCTTTCTATCTTTCTATCTTTCTATCTTTCTATCTTTCTATCTTTCTATCTTTCTATCTTTCTATCTTTCTATCTTTCTATCTTTCTATCTTTCTATCTTTCTATCTTTCTATCTTTCTATCTTTCTATCTTTCTCTTGGCGAAAAAATTATCGTCACGTAAATCACGATAATTTTTCCCCCAAGAGGGCGCTAAAATTAAAATTTGACAGGACCATATTGGAATGCTGAATTCTCCATAAAATTACCTTTTCAAAAATGTACAACACTTTGTACTTTCCTTTTTAATTTTCCAGGGTTGTTACCCAACTCTTGGAGGGTTAATGCGTTATTTCTGCAATTAGAACACAAAAGTGGCCCCTTAAAAACTAAAATTGACGTGTCTGAGCGTTTATATTAAATGCCAATACATCTCATGATATTGGCCTTTTTCCATTTAAAATGAAAACTCCCCATTTCATTTTGCGACACATTTTTTTGAACACCCCGTATATCGATTGTCCAACGAGACCTCCCACTGTGTAGCGACATCATTACAACCTTCGGTATATATGCTAAGTCATAGACATTTCGTAACAATGACAACTCACTGTTTTCGAATTGGTGATTCTCATTCTGCAGTAGGACGTGACTAGTAGTTCGAATTTCGTTTTGTAGAGAACGATATTGGTACAAATCTCTTCGTACTCGCTCTGCTTATCCGCCGTCCAGTTGTCGCTTTTGTACAACGAAGCAATCAACGTGGGTAGAATGTAATCTCCGATGGTGATCAGCAAACCGATGGTTGAAAAAACGGTCAACACCGTCGGGTCGCTCAGCCACAATAGAGTGAATAGTACGGTACAAGCTGAAATCGAACCAATTACAAACCTTCCGTTAACTAACGCTGAGGTTAAATGTTTAATCGTACCTGTTAGGATAGCGGTGGGATACCATTGTTTCTCCCACAATAAAACGCTGTTTGCACTGAGAATTAACTCCCTATACTCCTCCATCGATAATCTCAGTTTGCGTATTTGAGACTCCTAAAATGTAAAAGTGGGTTAGAGGACGGGTGTATTTTAACAAAGGGTATACCATGGTGGGAGCATAGGCCATTTTATAATCGCTTGGGGCGGATACAGGGACATTGTCGTTGTAAAATCTATTGAATTTAGAGGTATAAGGATGGAATGAGTCGCCTATAAATGATGCTTCCAAGGTTTTGTTATCATCCTCCTTAAAACGGTTAATAGGGGTAAAATTGGAGTTAAATGCGTTGTTTACTTACAATTTCGGAACTGAATGACATGATCCCCATAAATAACTACTATTTACTTATAAAATTTAGTGCGATTTAATGATTTTGACGAGCTGAACGTTACATTTGATATTTCGACAAACACAACACTGACGTTGTCAGATGTTTGATGTTTCGCTAATAACTGAAATAATAGAATTTTATTTACTAAAAATTTCCTGTTATTAAAATTTAAGAACGCTTAGATAATAAAAACATCATTTTATGTACGATAATAGGTAGAATTCCAATACATTGTTCATTAAAAAGTTATACTTTATTAGTAAATTGCAAAACTGTTATTTAATTTCTTGTAATAAACCGAGGATGTGGCAACAGTGATATCGACCTTTGTTTTGCAAGGAATGTTGCCATATATTCAACTATTGCAGTCTCTCAATTTAAAAAATAAGGAGAAAATTATTTATTGTTAGTCACATTTATCGCTAATCTAGTAAATATTAATCACACTTGCAAATAATGACTAATTAATTGTTTGTAAATGATAAAAAGTCTACTACAATACAGATAAATATATTCTTAAATATAACATTTTCTTAGGTTCTTCAATAACATTGGCATTTGACAACATCGTAAAATGATTCGTATTATTTAAATAAGTACTCTTCTTCAATAAGCAAGTTAAATTAGGTACAAATAAATGAAGTCTACTTGTTAATTATCCTTTTTTGTATTTATATAAAAGAAAATATAGGACTCGTCTAAACTCTGTTCGCTGATTGGTGGAAATTTGAATTTTACCCGACTTTTCTGACAATTGGCAGTTGACAGCCAAAGTGACAGAAAGAGTCAGTCTGACATGTTCCTTAAGAATGCGTGAAGTTGTTATGACGATATTTTAAGGCATTTTTGGTAGAATTGTTAAGGTTTTTCTGTTAAATAGTTGTGATATTTTATATAATGGCTTCGACTGGAACCGTAAGTAATCGAACATGCACCTCGAACGTTAGTTACAACCGTTTATACGTTTCAGATGTCAAATAACGTAGAGAACCTCTCCCCACAAATTATCCGAGGGGTTGTAAAGGAAATGCAAGATCTAGTCAATAACCCACCTGAAGGAATCAAAGTTCAAATTAACGATGAAGACGTAACCGATATCCAAGCGTACATTGACGGCCCGGCAGGTAATTACGCATTTAATGAATAACCGAGCTGATTGTGATGGTTAAAGCTTGCAAAATGCATGTGAAGTGCATACATGCATGTTTCCCCCAAAAATACAAAATGCATTCGCAAAATAAATCATTAAAATACGTTAAACTTAATAACGAATGATAAAATAGAAAGTTCTAGACCGTTTTAAATATTTCTAGACAGTTCCAAATGAATCTGAAGAGTTGTAAATTGTTCTAGACAGTTCTAAATGAATCTGTAGCGTTCTAAATACTTTGAGACAGTTCTAAACGAATCTGGAGGGTTCTAATTTGTTCTAGACAGTTCTAAATGAATCTGTAGCGTTCTAAATACTTTGAGACAGTTCTAAAGGAATCTGGATGGTTCTAATTTGTTCTAGACAGTTCTAAATGAATCTGGAGCGTTCTAAATTGTTCTAGACAGTTCTAAATGAATTTGGACCGTTCAAAATTGTTGTAGACGTTCTAAATGAATCTCGAGCGTTCTAAATGGTTTTAGAAAGTTCTAAACGAATCTGGACCGTTCTAAATTGTTCAAGGCAGTCCTAAATGAATTTAGAGGGTTCTAATTTCTTCTGGATAGTTCTAAATGAATCTGAAGCGTTCTAAATCGTTCTAGACAGTTCTAAATGAATCTGGACCGTTCTAAATTGTTCTAAACAGTTCTAAATGAATCTGGACCGTTCTAAATTGTTCTAGACAGTTCTAAATGAATCTGGAACGTTCTAAATGATTTTAGAAAGTTCTAAATAACTATGAAGCGTTTTCAGTGGTTCTAAACAGTCTTAAATGGTTCTGAAGTATTTTAAATGGTTTTAGAGAGTTCTAAATGATTCTGGAGCATTCTAAATTGTTCTAGACAGTTCTAAATGATTCTGGGTTTTAATTTTTTTATTGATCATTAACGCAGGTATAAATCCACATTTCGATGGTTTTTAGTGCTTATTTGCATGAATATTTTCCCATTTTTTTAGCGTATTATTTCCAAGCTCTATTGATGGTGTTTTTTGTCGTAGGTACACCTTATTTCGGGGGTGTTTTCAAAGTCAAGCTCACTCTAGGCAAGGGATTCCCCACCGAACCACCGAAGGCTTATTTCTTCACGAAAATTTTCCATCCGAACGTCGCTCCGAACGGAGAAATTTGCGTTAACACGCTCAAGAAGGATTGGAAGTCAGATCTCGGAATCAAACATATTTTATTAGTAAGTATACAGGGTGTTTCTAAACATCGTGTACATCCAAAAGGGCGTGATTCCTTGGGTTATTTTATGACTAAAAGTTTATGTAAACGTGGGTCCGAAAATGCTTCATTACCGATCTACAGGGCGTTAAATTTCAATTTTTGTTTTGTTTTTTCTTTGTAGCTTCTGCAGTTTTTGAGATATTTAGCTCAAATTTTAAATCTAGATTGATTTATAGGGCACACATTATTGGGTATGTCGGATGGTTGTTGAATTCTACAGGGTGATATTTTTTTCCCCGAATTTTTTTGCTATGCGCTGTTGGTAGATTCTAAAATACAAAATAAATTGTCTGTTCTATTTAGAAACTTTTTTTATTTTTAAACTTTTTTCGTTTCTGTGACCGTTATCGAGGAAAAAATTTAAAAAAAAAATCTGTGTAAATGATTTATTTTACAATACAAAATCCCTAAATAATAATTATTAAACTAGATTATAACAAATGTTGAAAGTGACCCCCTTCTAGTCAAACTATACTCTATACCCTATATCATATACCTAATTTGAACAGAATATCTGAAAAACTGCAGGAGCTCTAAAAAAGAAACAAAAAAAATCTTGAAATTTTAATACCCTGTAGAAAGGTAATAAAGCGTTTGCGAACCCATGTTTATATGAACATTTAGTCATAAAATAAGCTAAGGAATTACACCCTTTTGGATGTATACGATGTTTAGGAACACTCTGTATAACGATTTCTAATCGTAAATTTAACATTCTAATATTTATCAATTTCTAGACCATTAAGTGTCTTTTGATCGTCCCGAACGCGGAATCCGCGCTAAACGAAGAGGCCGGTAAACTACTTTTAGAACATTACGAGGATTATTCCCAAAGGGCGAAAATGATGACGGAAATCCACGCGCAGGTATTTTTTTTTTATTTATTACCCGGAAGAGAGACTACGATTTCCGTGGCGCCGCGATTTGACAAATTTTTTTAGCGTAATTGAGCCAAAATAAAGCGAAAATTAAGAATAACATTTTTTGATATCTCGATTTGTTTTCGAGATATCGATGCTTGAAGTTATTACCAAAAGTTAGTTCCCTTAGTGTATGGTAGGGTAGGTATTTTTTATTTATTTATTTATATTTTTAATTTATACAATTTTTGAAATTCATCATTAAATTCACCATTTAATTCACTTCCGAAGTATTTATCAATACAGGGTGTTAATTAATTGAGTGCCGATACTAAAGGATGTGAATATTGTAACACCCTGTAGCTCGAAAACTAAGAGGTTTAGGACATAATTTGACATTAACACCCTGTATAAAGCAAAAAAATATATTTTCAACTTCAAGTATCGATATCTCGAAAACGGAGCGAGATACCAACAAAAAATATTCTTCATTTTCGCTTTATTTTGGCTTAATTAAGCTAAAAAACGTTGTCAAAACGCGGCGCCACGGAAATCGTACAGTTTTATTTAAAAAAAAGGGTACAAATAATAGAAAATGACATTGGCCCATATTCAACGCCTCACTTTAACTTTAGCGTGACTCTAAAGTCACGACTCGAGTCCCTAGTTAACAATGTAAAACTGTCAAGTTAAAGACGCGACTTTAGAGTCACTCTAAAGTTAAAGTGAGGCGCTGAATACGGGCCAATGTCTCTTTCTATTACTTGTACCATTTTTTTTTAATACAACTGTACTATTTTGTCTATAACCCCAAATCTGCTAATGGTATTAATTTATAATAAATTTCAGCAACACAAATCGAAATGTTTGACTGCCGACGGTCCTCTAGCCAAGAAGCACGCGGGCGATAAGAAACTGACGGCCGAGAAGAAAAAAATACTAAAAGACAAAAAGCGAACTCTAAAGCGTTTATGAGGACATGATTAATTTGAAAAAGAGTTTCCCCGAGGATTCTTTTTTTTTATTTGTAATAATTAGGTAGTTGCATTTTTGCTTACAGGACTGAATATTTTTTTACTTGCATACTTAAATAGTTAATTTCTTTGGCGGTAATTCTCGACTCAAATTTAGTTCAATGCAGGAATGAAATATTCATGATAATCCATCACGTGACATTTCATCACGGCGACAATTCATCATTAGTACAATTATTCATCACACCTACTTAAAAAAATGTTAAATGAAGCGAGACTTTAGAAATTAGTTAGATTCTTGAAATGTGAACTTTCATGTTTTTAGCTATAGCTGTATTAAAATGAAATTGTCAACTTATAATAATTAAAGTTGATAATTAATATATCAACTCTTGGCACTTCCAGCTATATCCCGGAAAATATTTTAGCTGCGTTGGGAATCCTGACAAAGCTACAGTTATAGCTAAAAACCTGAGTGTTTCAAGCAAGTATTCACTTGCTTCTACACTATATCTCAACCATGTAGAAAGAAATGTGTGATGAAATGAATATTAAAATTGAAATGTTTAAGAATGAATCCAATAAACGAATAAAAACTAATTTCTACCCTCATCACAAACACGACCATAAGGTAATTTTGTCCTCAAAAGTCTTGTTTTATTTTACATTTTTTTAAGTAGGTGTGATGAATTGTCGCCGTGATGAATAGTCGTATGATGGAATGTTGGGATAAGTGATATTAGAAGTGTATCAAAAAGTAAAGTCGTTTTTTTTTTCTAAATTAGTCATAAATTACAATTACAAAACACTCTTTAATGAACTCACTTTATCCTTTATTCAGCGGTTCAATAAAATAACTATTTAAGTATGTTAATTTAAGTTAGTTACTTCATTTTTTTTAAGAACAAAGTTTGTTTTCGATATTTTTGCATTTTAGCAAGATTTCTTTAATTTCTAAAAAAAGTTACTTTACTAATCATTTTATTCTCTTCATTTTTGTAAAATTTTCGATTCAATTTTATACTGCATTGTACAATTAAGCGATTTTTAAGAGTTACTAATTTCGTATAAAAGTTGTAGATGTATCTCATTTCGTATTTCCGATTTCATCCCATATGTAGACATGTTGTAAATAACGGCGCATTTTTCTTTCAATCTTCCTCAACGTGTTATTTGAAATTTGAATATGTTTTTTAGGTGTAGCACAAAACGCACCGACGTGCAATGTATTTATTTATTTCACGTTTTTTTTATTCGATATTAGAATGTGTTTGTGCAGTTTGTGAAGATATTTATTAATAAATTTATTACTCTGTCCATTTTGTAGCTGTTTTTTAAGGATTTCACGACGTTGCATCACACGACATTTCATCACTACCACTATTCATCACACCTACTTAAAATACAGTGTGTCCACGGATGGGGTTGCCTATAGGAGAAAAATTTTTATTATTCATTTTACGACAAAAAGTCATTGTTTATAAAAATTTTTGCTTCTTTTAAATATGAGAATAACACTGAAAAATCTTAGATTAGATCTGCAGGGTGTTGTTAAATTAAGAAAACATGAAAATACCTCAAGAGAGAAGTACCATTATTTTTTATTTTACACAAAATTTTTATAAAAGAAAGTTGTTTATAATCTAAAATAAAGCCTGAATACAAATTTTCAAATTAAAATTCCAATTTTGAATGAGAAAATGATTAATTTTACGAGAAAAAAGTAATTCTTTATAAAAGAGAGATTAAAAGCATTTTTTTGAAAATAATAATGTAAGATAATAAATAAATTCTTTCTTTATGTAAAATAATAAAAATTCTTTCGTTCTTTCTTGACATTTTTTCCTGTTTCTTAATTTACTAACACCCTATACGTCTTATTTAATGGGTGCCGTCCCCGCGGGCATCGCCCGATTCATCGGCTGTTTTGATATGTGAATTTCATTTTCTCGACAAGTTAATTTTTTTATAAAGAATGGCTTTTCGTCGTAAAATTAATAATAACCATTTTTCTTATCTGGTCAACTTTATCTAGGGACACACAAAATTTGAATTTAAGTTTGCAAATTTGTATTCAGACTTTATTTTAGATTATAAACAACTTTCTTTCATAAAAATTTTGTGTAAAATCAAAAATAATGGTACTTCCCTCTTGAGGTATTTTCATGTTTTCTTAATTTGACAACACCCTGTAGATCCAATCTAAGATTTTTTAGTGTTATTCTCATTTTTAAAAGAAGCAAAAATTTTTATAAACAATGACTTTTTGTCGTAAAATGAATAATAAAAATTTTTCTTCTATAGGCAACCCCATCCGTGGACACACTGTATATTAAATAAAACAAGACTTTATAGTTTTTAATTTTATTCAAGAAATTATAGTTTTTATTCGTTTTTTGGATTCTTTCTTAAACATTTTAATTCTACATATTGAGATAAAGAGTAGAAGCAAGTGAACACTCGCTTGAAATACTTTCATGTTTTGTAGTATAAAGGGTGTTTTTTTAATAACATGCTAATACTGAAGGGGGTGTTTCTTGGATCCCATTTAAGAAAAAAAAAACTTTATATGAACATATGTCCTAAACCTAAAATTTATTATTACCTAATTTCTGCACAGGGGCTATAATGCAGCAGTAGAGTACAAATAAATGAATTTAATTTTTTTATGCGAAACGGCGAGTCGTACGAAAAAAAGTCAAGAAATCAAATTTGTTCTAAATTGAACGGGGTTTCGAAAAATATATTTTTTATTTCGAGACAAAGCAGTGGCGTGCCACTTTTACCCTCAAGAATATTTGGCACGAGTCCAGTACGGACGCCACTGTTGGAAATAAAAAATGTTTTTTAGGTCAAAAAATGCTCTTTAATGCAATAACGCCGTACACCAAATTTCATAAAAATATTTAAAGTGGTATGGAAATTACAGTTAAAAATTGATTTTTTTTTTCTTAAAACTTTAAAACTTTATAGATCAAAAGTTAAGACGTTTAGGACATGTTTATATGAAGTTTTTTTCTTAAAATTAGCGCAAGAATCACTCCCATTAGTTTTAGCATGTAATTAAAAAACACCCTTTAGCTGTAGTTTTGTTAGGATGCTAAAATATTTTCAACTTTTTGTCACTTCCAGATACAGAGTGTTGCTGTGTGTTGCTGCAGAGTGTTGCTAAATTGCTGTATAGGGCAAACATTATTGGGTATGTCAGATGGTTATTGAAATCTATAGGGTGATATTTTTTTAGGAGTCATGTTTCCTTTTCTCCCACCGAACATTTTTGCTGCGCGCCGCTGGTAGATTCTAAAATACAAAATGAATTGCCTGTTTTGTTTAGAAACTTTTTCTGATTGTAAACTTTTTTCGTATCTGTGACCGTCATCGAGAAAAAAATTAAAAACGATTTTCTGTACAAATGATTTATTTTACAATACAAAAACCCTAAATAATAATTATTAAACTAAATTATAACAAATGTCGAAAGTGACTACCTCCTACTCAAATTTTTCCCTATGTCCTATACCAAATTTGAGCTAAACATCTCAAAAAGTGCAGAAGCTCTAAATCAATTAAAAAACCTTGAAATTTGAACACCCTGTAGATCGGTAACGAAGCGTTTGTGGACCTATGTTTTTATGAACTTTTAGTCATAAAATGAGCTAAAGAATTAACCCCTTTCGGAAGTGCACGATGTTTAGGAACACCCTGTATATTCCAAAAGTAAATGGCAAAAAGTTGGTAATATTTTAGCTGCGTTGAGCATCCTGACAAAGCTACAGCTACACTAAAAACATGAAAGTATTTCAAGCGAGTATTCACTTGCTTCTATACTCTATCTCAACCAAGTGTAGGTAAATAAATGTGTGATGAAATAGTTGATAAAATTAAAATGTTTAAAGAAGAATCCAAAAAACGAATAAAACTAAATTCTACCCTCATCGCAAACACGACCATAAGATAATTTTTTCCTCAAAAGTATTGTTTTATTTTACTTATTTTTTTAAAGTAGGTAGGTGTGATGAGTAGTGGTAGCGATGAATCGCTGTGATGAATTGTCGATGCTATGGAATGTAACGTGATGAATAGTCGTGTAATGGAACGTCGGGATACGGTTTTTAGGAGAAAAATAATGGCGTATTGTTTAAATTTAAATGTTTACTAATCTGGGTACAAATTTAACTCTAATTTCTCCGGCTGGTCTGAGGACAAGGTCGACTTTATATTTCATATCGGCTGGTGTATCGACTGGTTCTAATTTGAAGTTTCTTAGTATTCCACAAAGAACCGCTTTTATTTCAAGAATAGCAAATCGTTGACCTGAAATTATAATGACAAACACTGTTTTTTCCACATCATAAATTTGCTAAGATGTTAACCCGAATTTATAAAAAGAAGCAAAACAATTTGCTTAAAAAAATGAAGGAATTGCTTCAAGGTATAAATGCATGAAAAGAAGTAAAGGAAGAGGTTTTGCTTCGAGTACTCTGCTATCACTTTAAAGCAAAAATTTTTATATTTTCCGAATTTATAAAAAGAAGTATTTGCTTAAAAAGAAAAGGATTTGCTTGTAAAAATGGAATCCACATGGCTTGTAACGTAAAATTTTTGTGTATTTTGGCTGCGTTTCACCATCAGTTGTTATGCCGACAGGCTACATTTAGAACTGTCTAGAACTATTTAGAACACTCCAGCATCATCCGGAACTGCCTAATCAAAACAAGACGCTCCAGAATCATTTAGAACGCACCACGTTTATTTAGAACTGTCTAGAACCATTTAGATTCATTCATTCAACGCTTAAAATTCATTTAGGATTGTTTAAAACTCTTAAGAACGCTCTAGAATTAGAGAGAATTCTCAGAATCATTTAGAACTGTTTGGAACCATTTAGAACGCTCCATAATCATTTAAATCGCTCTAGAATCATTTAAAACTGTTTAGAACCATTTAGAACGCTCCAGAATCGTTTAGAACGCTCCAGAATCATTTAGGACGCTCCAGAATCATCTAGAACTATATTGAATCCTTTAGAACGCTCTAGAATCATTTAGAGCTGTCTAGACCAATCCGGAATGCTCCAGAAACCTTTAAACGGTATAAAACCATTTAGAACGCCCCACAGAATCATCTAGAACTGTCTGGAATCATTTACAACAGGCTAGATCAATCTAGATTGGTCCAGAATAATTTAGAACTGTTTAAACAGCCGATAACAACGAACAACAACGAACAGAATAATTTAGAAACATTTAAACAGCCTAGGGCCTAGAACCACTTAGAACTGTTTATAACCATTTAGAACGCTCCCGAATCGTCTAGAACTGTCTGGAATCATTTACAACAGGCTAGATCAATCTAGAACGCTCCGGAATCATTTATAACTGCTTAGAACCATTTTGACTTCTTTCGACTAGTTTGACGAAATCGCTAATCTCTGTACCATATACTATACTTTATTTAAATATAAAGTACAGAACATTCTCATGCAAGGAAAAGGCGGAGATTATTTATATATGGATAAGAGCAAAACCTTTTCCTCTTACCTTTTCCTTCTAGCTTTTACTTCTAAGTAAATGCTTCATTTTTATAAATATGGGCTTATTACCTATACAATTTCTGCTACCAGCACTGAACGGCAAGTACGCAAACGGGTGTCGTTTAGCAACATTATCCGGTAAAAATCTATCAGGATCGAACTTCTCCGGATCCTCCCAAATCTCCGGCCGTCTGTGCATGTCGTAGAAAGAAATGTTCACATTACAGCCTTTGGGTATCGTGTATCCACTTTTCGTCATTAAATTTTCGCCTACTACTCTCCCTATCAAAGGCACAGATGGATACAACCTCAAGCTTTCCTTAATGCACCGCTCCATGTATTTCATGTCGTTGAAATCGTTGTAAGTGGGCTCGTCCGAGCTTCCTATTATCGACGTTATTTCTTGGTATATTTCTTCCTAAATTAAATGAGCTAGATAATGTACTTAAATTGCGGCAAAAGTTTTACCTGGATAACTGGTTCATTTGCAAGCACCATGAGCGTGTAACAAATAGAAACAGAAGTCGTATCGTGTCCCTAAAACAATCAAACCCAGTCATAGACCTATTAACTATGGACGCGGTTTAGACAAAGAGGTTGTGTTGTCGATGAATGAGAGGGATGCAGCTAGTTTGGGTATATGGCAATGAGAGATTGGACAATGCATTAGCCAATAGTAAGAAAGCAAAAGACCACGTGAGTTACGTTTTCAGATAGGCAAGGTAGCTGGGGTAGAAGAGGGTAGCTTATGGTAGAATAGGGTTGAGGAATGCAGCGGAGGGTATTGTGATTTATTATTTTTTTGCCGAGCAAAATGCATTTTTCAGCTGAGCCTAAATTCCCACGCATTTGCAAATACAGTTCTTATTTTGTATTGTTAATTGGAACATCCTACCTATTAGCCAGTACAGATTTCGCAATGTAAGACCTAACTGCTTTCTCTTGTAAAAAAATATGTTTCTTCCAGGTCATTCTTCTGTCCAAGTGGATACCAAGATAAAAACAATATTTAAATATTAAGCGTATAAATAATTTAACAGGTGAATAGCCTTTTTTTACGCACCCTGTATATATTTTATATTTTTTTTGGTCCCGCCTACTTTTAGCCCAAACTAGCTCCATCTCTCACGGACCTCTCTCTCGCTGAATAACCTCAAAATAACGATAGTGCCGCGTCCATACTTAATAGGTCTATGAACCCAGTAAACTCCTCAACAACCTCACACCAAGCAAACACTTACCTCGAAGATAAAAGTATCCACTTCCTCTCTGATACCTTCATCGTCGATATCAGCACCGTTTTGCTTGGCCTTCAGCATCAGATCCAGCAGAGCCAGTCTCTTCCTCTCCGCGTAGCTTCCGTCAGAGCTCTCGGCGAAGCGCTCCTTCCTCTCGTTTATCACCGACGTGGAGAAAGCGTGGAGGGTTTTGACGATTTGCCTGTCTTTCCTGTACGTTGGGCTCAGCTTGTAGATGAGGGGCAGCCACAACCAAGGGCGCACGCCCTTGTAGATGAACGAATGGCCGAAATCGTACACAGCTTGCTTGTAGCTGGGGCAATCCGGGTGGTCGCGCAGCGATACTCCGAAGGAAGTTTCTGCCATAGAAAAATAGCGATGATTTTAGTAATGCGATGATGATAGCGGGGATGGTACCTCCAATGGAGTAGAGAGTGAATTCCGTTATGGGTTTTACTACGTCGACGTACGGTTGGGAGCATGATTTGCTCAAATTATCCACGAGTATTTGCGTTTCTTTGTTTAGGAGTTCGACGAATTGTTGCAGGATGTTGAAGTGAAATGCAGGCGTTAGGATTTTCCTTCTACTGTGCCATTTGCTACCTATAAAACCGATATAATTACGCCGCTTTGAGAGGATATTATATGCAGTGTGGGCCAGAACTCACGCCCTACTGGGAAATGCCTTATGGAAACGGCAATGGAGATGCCAAAACTGCAGCTAAAAACATGAAAAAGTTGGTAAATAAAGAGGTTCAAAATCGACCAATCCCAGTAGGAATTCAAATCCACGAAAATGACGTGAATTAGCTATACACCAATTTGACATTATTAAAATATTCTATTTCCTTTACATTTTCAAGGTTTACAAAAGCTGAGAAAATCAGCTGCAATTGTTGATCAAAGATTTGCTTCCAAATTGATCATACAGGAGCTTCGTCGTGCTGATATCAAACCTGCAGAATTTTTTATTGCTTCAAAAATGGTTCGAATCGAATGATCCATTTTTTGATCGATGTTAAAACAAATCTTTGTTCAATAATTACAGCTGATTTTGTCAGCTTTTGTTAACCTTGAAAGTGAAAAGGACATAAAATCTTTCGATAATGTCAAATTGGTGTAGCTAATTCACGTCATTTTTGCATAGTTGAACTGGGGCCTGTTTCATATAACTGACAAGTCCTGTCGGACAAATGTAGTCTAAATTTGACTGGAGTATTTGACAAGTTTGTGTTTCATAAAATTACACGAGTAGATTATTAGTGACAAGTGACTAGCCTAATATTACAAGTCTGTTTTACAATTGTAGATAGGTTTGCGTTTCATAAAAAATAAATTAAACAACACTTGTCATTTATTCCTGTCATATATTAGTGTAAAGCGACAGGGACTTGATTTCCTGTCACCATCCGATTTTCTTGTAAATTTAAAAGAAAATGAGGTCTAGCGACAGTGAGGGGAAGCTTAATGAGAGTTTATTAAACGATTTCGAATGAATTCGATAAAAATGGAGGAAATATTAAAATCTATTGGTCCCCGCCTAATGTATAGAACCAACGTATAGAAATTATGCATTGTCTTTGTTCGTTCCAATGCTCACATTTTGTATCTTTTGTAGAAGTGGGACAAAATTTTTCAAACACAATGCCCATTCTTTATTAGAATAATTGAAAATTAAATAAATGTTGCTGCATTTTAGAAATAAGTTTTTTGTCAATAAACGAAATTGTCGTGGTTCACATCTAAAAATAGCTCCAACCAGGAAAAAAAAACAATTTCAAAGTAAAAGTCTCCCAATATCGAAAAACGAAGGTTCTGCTATACTTATGCTCCTCAGTATAGTAAGTACTATTTTTTTCTTTTTGGCTTAAGTCTGACGTTTAATTAATATTACAGTTGTAGAAAAACGGATGTCAAAAATGTAATTCGACAAGTGTCGAAATTTATTTCATGAAACGAAATTTTTAAATACTTGTCAACCAACACTTGTAACTTGTCGACTTGTAACTTGTCAACTTGTCAGTTATATGAAACAGGCCCCTGGTACTGAGGTTGGTCGATTTTAAACATCTTTTTTACCAAAGAAATAACTTTTCCATGTTTTCGATTGCAGTTTTGGCATCTCCATTGTCGTTTCCATAAGGCATTTCCCGGTGGGACGTGAGTCATGGACCACCCTGTAGAGTATAGTCCCATACCTCCGCTCGTTAGGAGACCAGTTCCCAACCAAGAATGTAGGAAGTTGTAAAACAAACTTTTGTTGATATGTTTGCTGTTATTCAACACCAACTAAAAACTATTTTAATTAATAATGAGTTTTTCCTCCACACGCGCATCCACACGCGTCCTTCCTCCACAATAATTCGATAATGACGATAATACATATTTACCTCAATATCATCCGGCGACATTACAAAAACACCTGCGGCATCCAAGGACCACAATTTAAATATAGGGTAGTATTCCACGGCTCTCTTTCGATCGCGAATAAACAACGATTCTGTAAACCAATGGAATGTATAAACAATTTAAGATAATTGCGTTGTTTGCGATAATTTAACAAACCTGGCGTGTGCAAAGTGTTGTTAGTACCCAAGATAGGCGAGCCCTGGGGGCCTGGAATGGCCATAATGTGCTTCCAGAATTCCTCATACCTTTTGTTCCGTCTGTATCTGTTTAGTAAATATAGCGGTATCGCGATTGCTAATAGAAATATGTACAGCATGTTTATGTGCGCTGCGATCGACGCGTGTTGGTAGACTGAAAATTAATCATCAACAGGAGATATGCTCTGTAGTGTATTTAAACTGGTTAGTCGAGTGTGTTTGGTTTCACAGTTCAAGGATGTGGGATGTGCACGTTTTCTTATTTAACGTAAAATTCGTTATTTTTTAGTTTCATATTGTTATTAGTTGTAATAATTTTACTGTTGGATGATACTTCATGAAAAGGTGAAAGATTTCGCTTCAATGGGATGTACCATATACTGGGTGGCACATTAGTATGGAAAAACTCAATATATCTGTTATAGTAGAAGAATTTATATTTGAACATTGACAGATGGTTGACAGTGTTGTTTCTCTTTTGATATTTCGTATTTCGTATTTCGTTTATTTTAAATTATTTAGACTGGAACTATTGAAATCTACATTTAAATTCAACATCAGACCATATTTCAAAATGACCGTCTTCTAGGATGTAAAAAGCCATTTAAAATTTGAAAAAAATCTCCATCGTCGGTTAATTCTTCTAATAATACGTTTATTTTGCACAATATATTATACAGGGTGGCACATTAGTATGGAAAAGCTCAATATATCTGTTATAGTAGAAGATACCAAAAATGTATAAAATGTATAAAATGAATATTTTTTGTCAATTTTAATCATACTGCTTACAGGGCGGATCCAAACGAAAAAGTAACATTTTTTCTGTTAATTTAAATGGATCACCCTATATTTTATATCGTTTACAGGAAGTATTTTTGAAGTACTTTAATTCTTAATAACCATTCCCTATACCTAAAGTTAACACTTTTCGAGATATTTCAATTAAAAAAAAACTAGAACGGAATACTGAAGAAAAAAAATCTTTGTCATTATAATCAAGATTGCACTACTACTGATACCTACATGGTTTATTACCATCAGGTTATATAATATGTAGAAGGTGCTGTGGTTTTTTAATAAAAAATTTCTTCATTGTGTCGCCACTTTTCGAATAACAGTATTTATATTTGTTTTAACATCATAAACAATTAAAATTTTCCTTATAAAAAACTCATCTGGGCTCAAACTTTACGCGTATCTCATCGAAAGGCCTGAGAACTAAATCGGCTTTGAATACCAAATGTTCAGGTCTATCGTAAGGCTCGAGTTTAAAGTTCCTCAATATACCGCACAGCACCGCTTTAATTTCCAACAATGCGAATTTCTGACCTAAAAAAACGTTATTACATTACACTACAAGGTGGCCCAGAACTCACGCTCCACCGGGAAAAGGCCTTATAGAATCGACAATGGAGATGCCAATACTGCAGCCGAAGACATTAAAAAGTTATTCCTTTGGTACATAAATAAAGAGGTTTAAAATCGACCAATCTCGAAATATTCTATTTCCTTTACATTTTCAAAGTTTACAAAAGCTGACAAAATCAGCTGCGATTATTGATCAAAGATTTGCTTCCAAATTGATCATACAGGAGCTTTGTCGTGCTGATATCAAATCTGCAGTATTTTTTATTGCTTCAAAAATGGTTCGAATCGAATGATCCATTTTCAGATCAATTTGGAAGCAAATCTTTGATCAATAGTCGCAGCTGATTTTGTTAGCTTTTGTTAACCTTGAGTGGTGTAGAGGAAATAGAATCTTTCAATAATGTCAAATAGATGTATACCTAATTCACGTCATTTTCGTGGATTTGAACTCCTACTGGAATTGGTCGATTTTAAACCTCTATATTTACCAAAGAAATAACTTTTTAATATCTTCGGCTGCAGTTTTGGCATCTCCATCCTCGGTTCCATAAGACCTTTCCCGTTGGGGCGTGAGTTTTGTCCACCCTGCATAATCAAAACAGTGCAATACCGATGCAATTTCTGCCTCCAGCGCTGAACGGCAAATAAGCGAAGGGGTGTCTTTTAGCCACGTTATCGGGCAAAAACCTATCGGGATCGAATTTCTCCGGGTCCTCCCAAACCTGCGGGCTCCTGTGCATGTCGAATATACCGAGGGATACGTTGCAACCTTTAGGAATGATATACCCGGTGTGCGTTTCCAGATTCTCGGTGGCCACCCTGCCTATGGTGGGCACGCTGGGATAGAGCCTCAGGCTCTCTTTTATGCACCTCTCCATGAACTTCAAATCGCCTAAATCCTTGTAAGTCGGAGATTCCGTTGGACCTATGACTGATACAATTTCTTCGTATATTTCTTCCTAAAAATAACGAAACTTTTACACGAGGAAACGACCCGAATTCGCCACTTTATTTGTTCCTACCTGTATATTTTTGTGATTCGCGAGGAGCATGAGAGTGTAGCAAATAGACATAGACGTGGTATCGTGACCCTAGCGAAACAACAAACTATTCGGTTTATGTTTAACGCGTTCGCTGCCGCGCGATCTCACCTCGAATATGAATGTATCGAGTTCCTCTCTTATTCCATCATCGTCGATATCGGCTCCGTCGGCTTTGGCCTTTAACATTAAATCCAACAGCGCCAATCTTTTGCTCTGCGCGTAACTCATACCGTTCTGCAGTTTCTTCTTCTGTTCGATCACGTTGGTGGAGAAGTCCCGCAGCGCCTTGACACCTTTGCAATACTGATTGTAGATGTCGCTAAATTTGAAAATAAAAGGCGAATACAGCCAAGGGCGCGTCGCCCTGTAGATAAAATGTTCGCCGTAATCGTACACAGCTTGCTTGTACTCGTTACATTTGGGATCTTCTCGAAGGGGAACGCCCAGAGCGGTTTCTGCAAGTAATATAAGGTCTTTAACTCATCAGGGATTCGATTAAGTACAAGGGTATAAGGTGGAAAGTTCCCGGCCCGACAATGACAGACCGCCATTTTCAGTAGAAAAATTAAATTATTCTGGAGCGTTATAAATAGTTATAATGTAATTCCATAATTATATAATAATATTCCATAATAATATAAATAGTTATATTATAATTCCATTTTGGAGCGTTATAATAGCGGATCATTCTTGAATCTGGAGCGTTCCAGAGAGTTCTATATGAATCTGGAGCGTTATAAATAGTTCTGAAGTGTTCTAAATGGTCTTAGACAGTTCTAAATGATGGAGTATTCTAGAGAGTTCTAAATGATTCTTAAGCATTGTAAATGGTTCTTTAGCATTCTAAATGACTCTAGAACGATCTAAATGGTTCTAACGCATTCTAAATGATTCTAGGCAGTTTCTAGGTTCGGGAGGATTCTAAAAGCTTCTAGAACGTTCTAAATGTTACTGAATCATTTAAATTCTAGGGCGTTCTAAAAGGTTCTAAACAGTTCTAATTGATTGTGGAGCGTACTAAATTGGATCTGAAGCGTTCTAAATAATTTTAGACAGTTCTAAATGAGTCTGGGGCGTTATAAATTATTCTAGATCGATCTAAATGGTTCTGAAGCGTTCTAAATGATTCTAGAACGATTTAAATGGTTCTAAAGAATTTAAAATTATTCCGGGGCGTTCTAAATGATCCAAGAACGATCTAAATGGTTCTAAAGCATTTTAAATGATTCTGGAACATTCTATTTGATTCTGAAGCGTTTAAAATGATCTGGACAGTTCTAATTGATTCTGGAGCGTTCTAAATATTTATGGAGCTTACTAAATGGTTCTGAAGGGTTCTAAATGATTCTGGAACTTTTTCAATAGTTCTAGACAGTTCTAAATAACTCTGGAGCGTTCTAAATGGTTCTAGACATTTCTAAATGATTGTGGAACTTTCTAAATGATTCTGAAGCATTCTAAATGATTGTGGAGCGTTCTAAATGATTCTGAAGCATTCTAAATGATTGTGGAGCGTTCTAAATGGTTCTGAAGGGTTATAAATGGTTCTAATTAAGTATATGGAACAGTTCTAAATGGTTCTGAAGCGTCTTAGATGGTTTTAGACTTTAGACAGTTCTAAATGATTCAGGCCGAGAAATTTTCACCCTACCCTTTTATAAAGATACTTTTGGATTAAATCACCAAATTACAAATATAGAATACAAATATTTCATTACCACCGATTGAATATAAAGTAAATTCCGTGATGGGTTTGATGACGTTCACGTAAGGATAACTGCACATGGGTTTTAAATTATCTACCAACAATAGGGTCTCTTTGTTCAGCATCTCCGTAAACTCCTGGAGTATGTTAAAGTGGAAAGCCGGCGTCAGGATTTTCCTTCGTCTGTGCCACTTTTCCCCTGCGAATTATTCAACAGTTACGGTCGATTTGTAAATGAAAATTTGCTGGTAAATTTACCGGAACTGGTCAATAATCCCGTTCCTAACCAATCGTGCAACAAACTGTAGAAGAAACTCTTCTGGTTGTACTTGGAGTTGCTTAGGATTAGCTGTAGGCATAAGAATAGTAAAATAGTTATAATAGTTTATTGAATGTTGAGAAGTTGTATTTTCTCTTCTTTATCTCCCTAAAATAAGCGTGATTAGAAAAGCTATTGTTCTCTACAGTTTACTTAAAGTATGTAGACATCTTAATTACATTGAGATTAGTGCAAACTATCCTACTAAACCTACAATATAACAACTACTTTTAAACAAAGAACTTACCTCCATATCGTCCGGATTGAAAACATGAACCATTCCCACGTTTAAACTCCATAATTTGTAAATGGGATAAAACTCTTTACTCCTTTTTCTGTCTACCTTCCATAACGCTTCTACAGCGCAACAAAATCGATCAATCACAATACAGATAAATCAAATCGATAAAATTTTACCTGAGGATTCAAAGAAATTCAGGTCCCCGAGGTAAGGCCACAATTTCGGACCAGGAATGGCGTACAAGTGTCTCCAGAATTCCTCGTAGGCTTTCCTGCTGTATTTAAAATACAAAATCAACAGGAATAGCGCGAGAACGAGCAGCAATGGGGTCGACATTTTGATATCGACTAACTGTTGTCGTTGTATTATTTTTAAGAAACGTAAAAATGCATATTTTATTGTGTAGAAATGTGACGAAAATGTGTTCTTGAATTTAAATATTATCTCATATAAGAACGTTGAATTAATGCTTGAGATAATTTAGGTGGAGATTTCAAGGTTATTGTTATATATGTATACAAGATTTAAAAATGGAGAATTTTGGGTAATGATAAATACTAGATATGTTATGTAGATATTATATTTTAATTTTAATTTACATTTCACAAAAGAAATATTCTTGATAAAATTCTCTGCATGACTTGTAGATCCACAATAAGGTATAAAATGTTTAAAAAATTGCCTTAAAAATAAAAGTAATTATTGAGGATATATTCATCTGGGCAGGAATTTCACTCTAATTTCCCCGACAGGCCGCAACACCAAATCGATTTTGAATTTCAAATCCTCCCTTCTATCGACCGGCATCAATTTGAATTTCCTCAAAATCCCGCACAACACCGTTTTCATCTCCAACATGGCGAATTTTTGACCTGAAACACACCTGTATACTTAGGCCCGGTTGTAAGTGCACAGTTCAACTGTGGTTCTGCGTTGAACCGAGTTTAATTGCAAATTTGTGTTGTAAATAAGTCACTAATAAAGTCACTATTGATCTGTCGTTCAAAAAGGAGTAAACGTGAACGGTCCTTGAAGAGCGTTCAAAGGTGATTCAAGTAGGTTTTCGTTCGTTTTGATAATTGACGTTGAGTTGTTAACCCCAAAAAAGTGAGATTGAATTTCTGATATACAATTCATTATTCAAAATGAACGTATTATTAGAAGAATTAACCGACGATGAAGATTTTTTACAAATTTTAAATGGTTTTTTACATCCTAGAAGACCATAAACCTTCAGAAATAGACCCAGTCATTTTGAAATATGGTCTGATATTGAATTTAAATGTAGATTTTGATAGTTCCAGTCTAAATAATTTAAAATAAACAAAATACGAAATATCAAAAGTGAAACAACACTGTCAACCATCTGTCAATGCTCAAATATAAATTGTAAAGTTTAGCATGGGACATTATATTTCTGATGAACATCGGAGTTCCGCCAAACTATGTTAATGTTAATAATATTGCACTCTACAACGAAAACCAAGATGATCTCGGTTCAAAGTTGACTGACAGTTTATTCATAGTCGCCTCCTTAAAATGATGTTAACACACCACTAGTTAGTGGCCACTAACATCATGCTAACAAGCCACTAACGTTTCCTATTCATAGTCGCATATTTCTTTCCCACTAATTAAAATAATGCTAGCAGAAAAATGAATGTGACAACAACGGAAATAACTTAAAATTTTATTTTATATTGGAGATTTTGGTTATATTATTGACGTTATTGTGTCAGACGAACGTGTTGAGATCAATTGAATGGGTGATGGGAAAAATGATAAAATTCCAGTGAACCTTATTTTTGAGAAAACAAAAAACTTTTTACAGCGAAATTATACACTTTGACCAAGTACGTTTGATACCAAAGTTTGAACGGTTTATACCTCTTTGGTAACTAGTTATTGGTATTTGAAAGTACAACAATTTTATCCTTTTTCCTCTCAAAACGCAAAAAATAGTTAAAAAAACTAAAAACTGTTTATTTTTTCAACATCTTTGCCAATCTTTTTGAAGTATTGGGAGTAGCAGCTTTTGAAATAAAGTATATCGATATTAGTTAGCTGTTAGATATTTATGGAAAGGTGCATGTAAGAAGCTGAAGAAGTAAATGAAGTATTAAATACGAAATCCAGTTGAAATTCAAATATTAATAACGATGGGATATATAGCAAAAGGGTAGTAAAAAACACAGTAAAAAGGCAGGAAAGACGCAGTGAACGCTTAATTTCACGCACTAGACGTTTGTTGACTGTTTTAAATTATGTTTAAAAGTAACTTAAACACCCCTTGTAACGCCACTAAAAAATTTAGTAGTTACCATAGACCTATAATATTAAGTATGGACGCGGCACAACAGGTATTTTGAGGTTATTCAGCGTTCCCAATGATAGAGAGAGAGGTCCGTGAGAGATAGAGCTAGTTTGGGCTAAAAGTAGGCGGGACCAAAAAAAAATAAAATATATACAGGGTGTGTGGAAAAAGGCGATTAATCTGTTAAATTAGTTATACGCTTAATATTTAAATATTGTTTTTATCTTGGTATCCACTAGGACAGAAGAATGACCTTGAAGAAACATATTTTTTACAAGAGAAAGCAGCTAGGTCTTAAATTGCGAAATCTGTACTGGTTAATAGCTAGGAGGTTCCAATTAACAATACAAAATAAGAACTGTATTTGCAAATGCGTGGGAATTTAGGCTCAGCTGAAAAATGCATTTTCCTCGGTAAAAAAAAATAATTCCTCAACCCTATTCTACCATAAGCTACCCTCCGCTACCTTGAATATCTGAAAAGGTAACTCACGTGGTCTTTTGCTTTCTTACTATTGGCTAATGCATTGTCCAATCTCTCATTACCATATGCCCAAACTAGCTGCATCTCTCTCATTCATCGACAACACTTTACCTCTTTGTCTAAACCGCGTCCATAGTTGATGGGTCTATGGTAGTTACTAACAAAAATAACATCTTAGTAGCCACTAAATGGAACTATGAATACGATTTTTTTTAGTGCGATGTTAGTAGTGCCTTAGTAGCCACTAAATACAACTATGAATAAGGCTGCAATTCACCTACACAACGCCACCTACCAATACAATTCCTGCTGCCCGCGCTGAACGGAATATACGCGAACGGGTGCCTCTTGGCCACGTTGTCCGGCAGGAACCTATCCGGATCGAATTTCTCCGGATCGTCCCACACGTAAGGGCTGCGATGCAGGTCGTATATCCGCAGCAGGATCTGCGATCCTTCGGGAATCGTGTACCCCGAGTGCGTCTCGATCCGACGCCCCGCCCGTCTGGATATCACCGGCACGCTGGGGTACAACCTCAGGCACTCCTTGATGCACATCTCCATGAACTTCAGCTCCCCCAGGTCGCCGAAGCTCGGCCTAGCCGAGGGCCCGAGGATCGACAGCATTTCTTGGTATATCGCTTCCTGCGAGGCAAATATTCAAGACAACGGTGAGATGTGAGGATAATACTAATCTACCTGGTGTTCTTGTTCATTGGCCAATGTTACCAACATGTAGCAAATTGCCATCGAAGTTGTATCGTGACCCTGGAAATTTAACCAGGCGTAATTTGCGTTACCTATGAATTATCTAATTTACTTCAAAAACAAACGTATCGACTTCCTCTCGTATATCCTCGTCCTGCAAACCGGCTTCCATCAGAACGTCTAGCAAAGCCAATTTCTTGCGCTCTGAATAGGACAATTTTGTTCCATCGATGTTCGATCGTGAGCGTTTCTTCGCTTGTATGATGCTCGTGGATACTCCGTGAAGATGTCGAGCAGCTTGGCTCAGCTGGGCGCTCTTGCTGGACATGGAGAACAAGAGATCGAAGTAGTAGAAGGGATTGATGAGCCTCAAAGCGGCTATCTCGCCGTATTTGTGCAAGGCTCTTTTGTAGGATGCGCTGTCCAGGTCTCTGAGATCCACTCCCAACGAGGATTCTGGAAGTTTAATTTGCAGTCCTGGTGGATGAGAGGAAGTGAATTATTTACCTCCGATAGTGAAAAGAGTGAATTCCGTTATGGGTTCTAATACGTTAACGTAATCTTGGTGGGATTTCTGGAGTAATGTGGTGACTAATTCGTCGGTTTCTTTGTTGAAGATGTCGACGAATTTCGGTAGAATGCTGAAGTGGAACGCGGGTGTTAGTAATTTTCGCCTGGTTTGCCATTTGTTGCCTGTTTAATAAAGTTAAATAATCAAAATAATAAACTCAAATACGCAATACAAACCGTTACTGGTCAACAATCCCGTTCCCAGCCATTCTTCCAAAAACTTGTACAACCCGCCCTTGTGATTATGAACAGAATTGCCCAGAATAATCTTAAATTTTTATTTTAATAACAATATTAATAACAAAAATGTGTTTGTGATAGCCTACCTCTAAATCTTCAGGACCAACGATGCATATAACATAAATATGAAGAGCCCACATTAAATGAATCGGATAATAATTCAATGCCCTTTTGCGATCGTCTTCGAAGATCGATTCTGAATTATTAAAGTAAAACTTAATCGCGCGATTAAACAAATTAAATTAATCTTACCGTAATCGAGATGAGCTAAAGAACAACCGATAATGGGCCAGCCTTTTGGGCCCGGTATTTTCATCACATATTTCCAGTGGTGATTGTAGGCCCATATTTTGTATAAGACGAATAAAATGAGGATTATTACGACCGCTGCTTCAATCATTTTTACGACTGAGATTATTTTTATCAAGCGCGCAGTCACAACACACACTTAAAACTGAGATAAATATTAACGAATTCTGTAATCAGTTCGGCAATACGGTAAATATGTGTACTGTTTTCAGGAATATTTTAATGTCCCAAATACCCGATATTTGCTATTTATATACCGACAGTTTAATTGGTACAAGCAGTGTTGTTAAAACTACATTTTTTGATGTGGTTAACTACAATTACAACTTTTTAAATGTTATAATTAAATGCGACTTAAATACAATGGTCCGTATTCAGCGCCTCTGTTTAACTTTAGAGTGACTTTAGAGTGATAGATTTACATTGTTGTTATGGAGTTACTAAGGACTCGAGGCGCGACTTTAGAGTCACTCTAAAGTTAAACAGAGGCGTTGAATACGGCGAATATTATTTATAATATTTATAAAAGTAGTTAGTTGGTTATTTAAATACAATAACCCGTATTCTGCGTTTCACTTTAATTTTAGAGTGACTCTAAAGTCGCGTTTCTAGTCCCTAAGTTACTACATAACAACAATGTAAAACTGTCAGTTAAAGACGAGACTTTAGAGTAACTCTAAAGTTAAACAGAGGCGCTGAATACGGGTCATTGTATTAAAGCAGCATTTAATTACATTTATTAAAAGTAGTTGTAATTGTAGTTAACTACATCAAAAAAGTATCATCAAAAAACACACTGCTTGTACCAATTAAACTGTACATAAATTGCAAATATAAATAGAGTATATTATCTTTGCAGCAAACGCTCAAAAATCTGACATTGGTATAAATCATACACGTTACTCGTTTTTCGACGATGCTGTGTTGCCATGTCTCTTTTCTTAACTGAATGCTCAACTGCAGCGTCATTTGTTTATTCGAAGAAACTAAAAAAAACTCCCAGAATCGCCAATTCAAGAAAAACATCTACATATATAGCTTTGGTCTAGGGTTACTCCATAATAACAATGTACAACTGCCAAGTTAAAGAGACTCTTTAAATGAATAAAGACCACTGACATCAAATAAAAGTTTCCTTATTAAAGTAATAATAATATTATAACAGAATATATTAAGTAAACGCAAGTATTATAATAATCACGACAACCACTATTATCACTGTGCCGGTAATAATTTTACACTGAAAAATAAACAATAATTAATAGGAAATTGAACCAAAACGCGCCATCTTCTAACCTTAATATATTTTCTCTTCTTTTTCGCGGCGGAGCTCAAAATGCCCGGCGCTTTACCGATATAATCCCTAGCTAAACCCGCCTGGTATTCCACCCTGTCGATTATATCTTGCTAAAAATCCAACAATTAAAAAATGTACATTTTTAATCGCGTCCAAAACTCACCTGCCCGTCCACCAAAATCGCCATTTGCAGGAACATATCTCTCACTTCCACCAGCATCCTTTCGATTTTTATCAGCTGCTCATGTCTTTCCTGTATATCGGCCAGCACTCGCTTGGCCTCATTAGTCTCTGCTAGAATCTGGAAGCAACATTGAACATTCATAAAACAGTTCTAGTGTTACTTTTTTTAATCACTCACATTATCTGTAAATACTTGAATATCCGCTCTATTGTCTAAGAGATGCGTGAGTTCCTCGTCGGTCGCTCTAACTCCTTTCGCCCTCAATTGAGCCTGTAAGTTGGACCTTTGAATAAACCTGGAAAGGGAAGGTGTTTAGAGCGTTCGTTAAGAAAGAATATCAGCAGTTGTGCACCTAAAATTTTCTAATTCTGTATTGTTTTTGTTAAAGGCCACCGTGTAGCTAGTTTTAATGCTATTATACTGTATGGTCTTGATTCTACCTTCTACCGATTCGTCGTTGGAAGATTTCAATTCTGCCTCGATTTCTTTGAGTTTGGAGTTTATATTGTGGCAAATGCTGGTGTTGTTTTGGAACAACGATTCTATTTTATCCGATAGGTCTAAAAAATTTAACACAAATCAATTGCTTCACAAGATTTCTATATCTAATGATCACCTCTTTGATTAACATTCACGTTATCCAATTTTTGGAGGTTGCGCCGAATTTCTATAACGTTATTTTCTATACTTTCGATCCATTGTCCCAATACTTCGGCTCGTTCGAAAGTTTGTTTCAAATTTTTCACTTGGTTATCCTGCAATAAAAATTTGATCAGTGAAAAATCTATACAAACATATACAGATTCGAGTCTGTTACACGTTGTATTGTTAATAGCATACCTGATAACACAGGTGTATTACAATTACTCGCTTGTATACGACTCACAAAGCAAATAAAGGTTAGGTTCATGCAATTATGTACAAAATTATTTTAATTTTTTGAGTTTTATTACTTACATTGTTAACGTCGATGGCAACTTGATCGTTACCGTTTTTCTTTACTTGAGCCTGTAAAAAATACAAGAAGTACTCACTTCGTTTTTAATAAGAATTGCCTACCTTCAGTTCGTTTAACCTATCTTTAGCCATGTTCAACAAATATTGTTATCAAATGCTGTTATCAAACCGTGTCATCGTTTTCAGCGTTTCTGTGATCATGAAATTCCAGAAAATAACACCAACGCTGTTATAGCTAGAAAAAAGCTATAAAAATTTCGAACTATATCCAGTGTTAATTCAGTATTCAGGCTTCGTTGTCAATTTCCGAGTAATTATTCAGTTATGTAGGTTTATGGCGAAACGGTAAACAAACAATACTGGATGTTTATTATACGTTATTTTTTTTTAATTAACACGCAGTTCAAATTAACTCGCACATGTTCCTTATCCTTATATGGTTCTCATCCTTTTGATGAAGATGATGTAGTAGCTGCTGTGGATTCTTTTCTGAGACGGGAGATTATAAATATACAGTGTGCACTTAATTTTCTGCTATCGGAAGGTTATTGTTACCAAAAATTTACATTTACATCGTAAATTAGTATGTTAATTTTCGAGCATGTTTCTTAATAGCAGCCGAAAATATTTTTGTGCGGGAAAGTGCACGAAATTATTGAGCAATCGTTCGCTTCAAGGTTAAGAACCTTCGACGTTAACTTTCCTTCCTAACGAGCCTAATTAATAAATCGCTAATTATGCATTTTTGGTCGACAATTCGAATGGGGAAATTGGAGCAAAAACTTTGCAAAATCCTCGCCAACCCAAATGTTTAATCGATGATGATTTATTGGTACAATATCGGTCTTTCCGATTAAATATACAGGGTGTGCTATCACTGAGAGAATTTTTTTAATTAGACCTTTAAATCTTGTGCGCAAGTTATTGTATAGCCAAGCGGGGTTAAATCACTCTGTATAATTATTACGATTCCGCTTTACCGGGCACTTTTGATTTCATGATTTCCCGCTTGCTAAATATATTTCAAGCATGTTCAAACATAGGAGTAAAAGTGGAAAACGAGCATCGGTCGCACGCAATTCGCCCGGGGATAAAAGAAATTCGAATCGTACTTTTCCAAATGGCAATTAACTCCAAAATAGGAGGAGGCGACTCTTCAATAAATAAATTAAATAAGTGCGCTTATCTACTATACCTGCAGCTAATTTGTATCGAAAGAAGTTGCAATTCTATTAGCCAACTGTTCGGATTTAAATCCAAGTTAAGAAAGTAGATATTACTAAATTGTGATAATAATTGAAAATAAGGGACTTATAAAGGAAAATTATTATCAAAACAACTTAAAAACAATTTTTCTAATTACAGTTGTAATAGAATATTAGAATATACAAATTGAATGAATTTTTGACATTATCAAAAAAAAATCAATCGGTATCAATTGGTAGAAATACAGTAATAGTTCAATTTATAGAACAGTTCTTATGCCATCTTTTGCTTCCCTAATATATCTATAAAATATACCTGGATTCACCAACGACAAATAAGACCTTATTCGATGAATAAATTTAACTCTCCAATAAAAATACATAATTTTGTTTCACCAACAACATTCGACGATTAAATTGCTGTTTAAATTAATCAAAGAAATTTGGACAGTTAAAGTTTTATTTGAAGTTGTCTAAGCTCAAAAAACAATATTAATTGTGTAATATCTCTGCAAGTGTTTTTCAAATTGTGAATTTTTACTTGTTGGCTGTATTTTGTATGTTTTTTTTTTTTTTTTGTTTGAGAATGATGGATATTTATTAGATTTATTTATTATTTTTTTATTAGATTTTTAGCATCATCTTCATCGTCATCTTCAACATCATCTGATGAAACTTTTCATTAAAGACGACCTCGATTTCTTTTAGAAAGAAGGATCGTTTTTAAATTTTCCTTCTCCTCTTCCAAGAAATTTTTGCTTCTTTCCCTTTTTCGATCCATTTTAAAATCACTCTCAAACTCAAACTACAAATACAGGGTTGGGCAAAAGTCCGGAATAAAATTATTATCTGTTAAACCAGTAATTTAAACAAAAAACGCTGAAACACGTAAATTGATTTTATATTGGACGGATTTGTTGCCAATAAAATGATTTTTTTTTCTTCAACCCCTTAGTTGCAACCCTACCCAACTTTATTTTTTCAAATGCAAAGGTATGTCGTGTGTAGGGTCATTGAAAAGCCCGTGAAAAATGGAATCTAAAACATACCTTTTTTTTTTTTTTTCTCATGTTGTTATTTGAAAATGGACAAAAAATTCTTATAAAAACAAATATGTTACAAATACTTTTTTAGTGGTATCGACGTGTGAATTAAGGCTTACTCTACTTAACAGGCTCCAAGGCAATGGTAAAACCTAATATCGGTAGCCTATCTTTAATTCTGAATGAACTTTTATTAAAAGCAGGCGAGCCTGGTCAGGCAGCACACCAAATTTTATTGATTTACCGTTTAAAACTGATAAGGCAATTTAGCATCAACATTCGTTGAAATTTATGTTTTAAGAAAAAACAAAAACATAAAATGGGTTCAAATCTAAGCCATTGTTGATCAGTGAACTTCAAAAAGGAAAACAGGTGTTGCATTTTTGTACAAGTTTTTTTTTTACCAAAGGTTCGCCTGTTTTTATTAAAAAGTCATTCAGAATTAAAGATATGCTATCGATATTACGTTTTACCAATGCCTGGGAGCCTGTCAAATAGATGGTGAAGGGCATTTTCAACATTGCTACGTCGATAGCACTAAAAAGGTATTTGTAACATATTTGTTTTTAAAAGAATTTTTTGCTCATTTCCAAATAACAACATGAGAAAAATAAAAAAAAAAGGTATGTTTTAGATTCCATTTTTCACGGGCTTTTCAATGACCCTACACACGACATACCTTTACATTTGAAAAAATAAAGTTGGGTAGGGTTGCAACTAAGGGGTTGAAGAAAAAAAAATCATTTTATTGGCAACAAATCCGTACAATATAAAATCAATTTACGTGTTTCGGCGTTTTTTGTTTAAATTGCTGGTTCAAAAGATAATAATTTTATTCCGGACTTTTGCCCAACTCTGTATAATAAAATAACAATACTCAACAGTAGTCACAGTGACAAAAACCACAAAATAACCTGACCAATTCAGTTCGAAATCTTCTTTTTTTGGAAAAATTTGAATTCTAAATGTTGGTTTATTACATAGACCTAATAGGTCTATGGTTTATTAGAAATATTTGCTTAAACTATTAAAAAGCTAACTAAAGATTAGAAATGTTGGTGAAACGACAAAGTATTTAAGAGCGTACCGGGCACCTAGAAAACTGATTTTACTTCTAGAATCGTTAGTTTTTATCTGATTTTTATGAAATTTTGTGTAGATACTTAAAAATAGTAATTACTTCGTGCAGACTCCTTAAAAATTTTGTAAACCTTCTATTTTCAATATAATTTTTAAAATTTTTGAGATTTTAGAAAAAAAAGGAGTCCACGCAATTCTATAGATTACTTAAATAATTTTGTCGGTCTTATACTTTAAAATTGTGTCGTAAATTTTAAACGAGAAGCTTTACCACCTTTTTCATTTAAACCCTTGTAATGTGCTACCACCGCGAATTTTGAAGTTTCTTTTCAACTACTAGCATTATTGTGTTCGCATTTCAAATCGATAGCTTGGGCCCCGAAATTTGTTTATTATTATAAGGTGTGATAATAAGACTGAAATTTGGTTGCCCGAGAGCTCCGGTACGCTCTTAACTGGAGCTTAAAAGTTATTCATCGAATAACTAAACTGCTCCTCAAAAAGTTAAGGAAGATCGCAAATTCTGCGATTGCTTTTAAAGTTACAGACTTTTTGACCCCCAAATTTTCAAATATGCGAAATTAAATGTTTTCTCTCACATCTACAACCCATACTAAAAATCCTGCAACTTTTAAATTAATCTCAATATTTGTGAACTGCCTTAACTTTTGTGGAGCAGTATATTTATTTATCGTTGGTGAAACTGGGCATAAGGGAATTATTATTGTGTCTTAACCATACACCATAGTATACCATAGTATCTACAATTTTGTGCCAAAATGAGTAAAATACTCCACATAAAAACGTACAAAATCCGGAGAATCCTCCATCGACAGGGCTCGGACCTCCATCTCTCCTTATCGCGGACGGTCCGAGCCCGCTTTTGCGGTGCTTTCTCCGCGCTCCGGGGCCCACATCACACTTATTCGGTCCACTCCGGGTGCGGTGCAAGACGCGCGGAGAGCTCCGTGTTCGCGATTTTCGGTGCCGAATCGAAGAAGATTCGCATCAGCTAACGGCCGGTTCGTTTGTTCGTCGGTGGTTTTTTCGCTGTTGAGGAAAAGGAAATTTCGAGGTGAGATTCGATTTCTACGAAATTAGGTGTTTGGTTTTTGTGATTTTTAATTTGGGAAAATTGTTGGTTGTAGGTGGAATGAATTTTTGGGATTTTTTTTTTCGTGTTAGGTGCATTTATCAGTTTAATTTTTAAGGGCGCCACTTCAAGGTATTTTTAAATGGGAAAATTTAGGTTCAGTAATTCCAGTAAGATTCAAATTTGACTTCATCAATTGATTTGAATCTTTCTTATACCTAATATAGAGACTCCAAGCAATGATATCTTCTATTTTTAATCTCTCCTACTTCATTATATATTTAAGAAAATTGCAATCAAAAACTGTCATTTATTTGCAATGCTATTTAAAGACCCGAGTTTCCTCGAACGAATGTGTGAATAATTTTAGTAGGATGAAGAATACTTATTACAGAACGATGTCTCCTAGTTTATATTGATCCACACAGGTTGTATTAAATTGAAAAAAAACCTATTAAAGTATTTTAGCAAATGATAATGATAGATTCCTTGTTAATTATAGTGTCGCCTGACATAAATGTCAAATCACAGAGCAATTTTGAAAATTTGACTAGCTACAGCGGTGCCAGTAGTTTCCGTTTTTCAGATATTTTTGGATAATTTGCAATTTTTTAAGGGCAGGTAATATGAAATAAGGTATTTCCAGTGCACCGGAATACTTTTAGAGCACTTTAATGAGTATTTTTAAAACCCTACTTTTATCTTTTCACATTGCAGGAAGGAGAATTGAATTTAAAAAATTCTGAAAAGAATTTCTCATTTTACTTTCTTGTGCGTTTGATTTTATGTCAAGTGTAATTAAACACGGAACTTTTACTAGTGAGTTAAACTAATCTCATCCCATCTATGGCGGAAAAATTTTACCAAAAATAATTCTATATTACCCCACGAATTATAAATTTGAGAGCATGCTTTGGCGGCCTTAAGCCCTCCAATTTTTTTTGTTGGTGGTAATGACTGAAGATGATAAATTTACAGAAGAATTTCCCAAACGATTCTTTTTTGTAAATCTAGTGGGTTCCTTTTGAAGGATCCCCGACAATACGTAGGCATTCGTTCCAGCAGAAACGCAACCAGCGTTTGTCAATAGGCTAATTAAAATTCGAAAACAACCCGCCTATTGTCATTGATGTCACCTGCATCAAGGCGATGCGCCGCCTAATCGGGCTACCATCGTTTTTCGAGTAGGCCAGCAGTATTAAATAATCCTTTTTTTTTTTCCTTCTATTCGATCCCTATCTAAGCGGTTACCGGCCGTAAAGATGACTTCCTTTTTTAACGAATGTACATTTTTCACTTACGAGCAAAATTTATTAAGGGAGAGTGTATTTTGTATTAAAGAAATTTCGACATAATCATGCATATACAGTATTGGAAATAAATTCGCGCATAATAGGGAAAATTAACGTTAAATTCTTAGCCGGCTAAAGTCTAAATCCAATCTACCAGTGTACATTTCAATAGAACGTCGCGATAAATTCTAATAAATTTAATTGTTCCACTGAACCACACTCCGCGCTTTTGTTGGGTTATATTGGTTTACCTATTATGCGTGAATTTATTTCCAATACTGTATAGTCGGTGCAAAACAAATATCAATGCACGTCACAAGTAGGCAGTGTTGCCGAACTTTTATAGAGTGTACGAAATCTAAGAATTTTCTAAAATTGTCAAATGGCAAAATGACTAGAACAAATTGAAAATTGGAGGTACCTGTTTCACGTTTCTAAACGGCGGACGTATTTAGGGGTTCACTACAATTAATCATTAAATTAGTTAGTCATCTGAAGTATATTTAACAGTGCGAGTAAAAAATTTAGTGTAAAATTGTCTCACATAGTGAAATTTCTGAGAAAACTTCTGAATCTAAATTATTTCGAGCTCAAATTGTGTCACTTCTACCATGTGGAAAAGATAACTACGCAAAAAATTGTTATTTCTTGATTATTCGGCTGAATAGCCTTTAGTAGAGTTGAGGCTAATAAAATAGAAAAAAAGAAGAAAATCAAAATCAAAAGTATAAATCGGATGACAACGGCAACTATGAAACTTGACAGTCAGTGCCTACCAACCTACTATAAAAAAATAATAATAAGTTTATATCGTTTGCTCCATTTCTGATTGCAACATGGTCATTTCTATGAGTGGAACAAAGAAAGATTAATAAAATAACAGTTGTCAGAGTGAAAAGTTACAATGACACAAATGCCACTCTTTCTTTTTCCTTTGTAAGTGTCTAATGGAAGTTGTCTTTATCGCACCCATGGCCTATATAACCTATGTTGCGATCAAAAATGGAGCAACCTGTATACAAACGTTGAATTTTGAGAATATATATTTATTTTCGATGATTTAATTCTGCTTTTTAACTATCATCCCATGTTAATATTAAATTAAATTATTAGGCTTAATCTATTTAGTGTATTTATTTTTAAAAGTTGGTCACAATGCTTGGCAAGTATGACGACAGTAGTGACATGCATTGATATTTGTTTTGCACCGACTATATCACCGAATAATTGCTAGCTATAAAAGCTTGTATCTGCAATGTGTATCGGTGTAATTAATGATAGTTTGTTTGGACCATCAGTACAAAAAATATGTAAGTAAGTAAATACTTTGTGAATTTCGCATGAATATTTCGAAAACACTTCCCATCTACTACCAACTTATACGCGGTAGCGAATTTAAATTTCACATGCATCGCGATTCTCGGCATTGCAACTTATTGTCCGTACAAGGCGCACTGTGTTAGATAACGAAATACAGACAGGATGCGGGCAATCCTGAGTAAATAATGCGCGTCACGTCGAATTTTCAGGTCCCAACTGTACCTACTTGGAAATGCAAATAGAGGAAATGTCGATGACACGATCGTGTTTTTTAAACCGAAATAATATCGATAACCGATGCCGGTGTTCAATACGGGAGTTCATCTGTATGTTGACCCCGCGAATTTGAGCGTGTGTTGGGCACGACCCGAGCCGCTCCTGTTATTAAGATATTTATAACTAAATACCGGCTAAGTGCGGCTGCAACAGTAGTTTAAATTTATTATTATATTACTTTCTACTAATTTAATTCGCGAGATATCGAATTGTAACTATGTATTTTCTATGACTGACCCAAATAATTTCCACGATTTTTCATAACTCGCCAATTGCATATTTTCTAATTGTTGTATAATCTGCTATGTTGTAGGTAATTTGCGAGAATATTAGGGTTTCGCAATTGAAAGAAAATTAGTTAAATGAAATATTCGAAATATTTTGTTCAACTCGCTGAATCGTGAAAAAAAAAGAACATTATTTGATATTAAACTGCAAATTTTTGAATATAATAACTAGAGCTTGGAAAATACCATAATATTCATGCAAATATGCACTAAAAGCCTTCGAAATGTGCACTGATCTATGCGATTATGTACAATGAAAAAATCAGAAACAACCAGATATTAAATAATATTTTTGAAAATTTTATTAAAAGAAACGAAACAGATTGAACATAATTATACACTATTACTATCAGACTATATTACATATGGAACATTAGAAGAATGGGATAGAATAATTTAGAACTGTCTAGAATTAGAACCATTTAGAACGCTCAGATTCACTTAGAACTGTCTAGAACCATTTAGAATGCTCCAGAATCATTTAGAACTATTTAGAACACTCCAGAATCATTTAGAATCGTCTAAAACCATTTACAATGCTCCAGAAGCATTTAGAATGCAACATAATCATTTAGAACGCTTATTCAGAATCATTTAACTGTCTAAAACCATTTAGAACGCTTCAGAACCATTTAGAACGATCCAAAACCGTCCAGAACACTATATTTAAGAGTTCTCAGAATGAGCATCGGGTGTTTCTTTTAGTTATCCGAATTTGAAAGTAATTGTTAACGTTTTAATTTTATTATTTGTTATTAAGTTTAACGTGTTTTAATTATTTATCGGCGAAATATACTGAGTGACAAAAGTAAAAGAACACCAAGAAGCAAATTTTATTTTTCATTCAAACTGTAGAGAGTGTGTACAGCACCACGGTGGTGCAACACATTATTAATTTTTTTTAAGTTTCGTTGTTAATTTGATGAATTAATTTTAATCATTTGTTTATTTTTCTCTTATACATGTAACTAGAATAAATTTCTAGGTTAAATTTCAACAACTATTTTTTGGTATTCTTTACATGCATTTTGCGTATTGTCCAGACTCTGCTAATAACTTACTATTTTTTCTTATATTTTATACATTAATAATAAAAAGTAAGTACTTATTTGCTTTCTACTGGTAATAGAACGGTGCCTTAAAAATTCAAGTACCTGCCTATCCACCTACTTTCTATGCAATTCATATGGGCACGTCGTAAAATTCTTTTACCGAACAATCGCATTTGCATGCAGGCATAATTCGCTTCATAAGTTTAGCAGTAAATGTTCAATTGTAGAGTTTAATCTAATTTGTTATACACCGTAATTTCGGTGTAATTTTTTTTGAATTGGTGTAAAAAACAAGTGCGTATTATCGGGCTCACAGATGCAGAAACATCTCTTTTACTTCCACTTTCTAATCTGCGAAACATGAGAAATTTTATCGACCAAAAATCTATTTGGATATTGCTTGGTTATTTTAGAATTTATTTACTCCAAAAATATTAATAAATTGTATTAAATACTCTATAGGTATTTATGATTTAATTAGATAATAATGGTTTTATTATACGAAACAAATTACAAGTCATTTGTATATAAAATCCCTAGTTAATAATACAATCAAATTGTAATTAACATACAATTAAACGAATTATTTAGTAACCTTCAAAAAAATTACATATTTTTAGCATTAACAGAAAATAATATATTTCGTGTAAATTTAGCCATGAGTTCATTACACCTTTTTTATTAACCACAATTAAATAAATCATCGACTAATTCGTCGAAAAACATCCGATTCGGTTTTTCACATTAATAGTCAATAACCATCGATCTTTGAGAAATTTTTTTCGCTCTCTTACCAACGAATTAATTACCATTGTAATTTTAATTGCAATTAGTGTTCGATAAGTAAAAGTATTTAGCCGAACGGCATTTCAAAAATGTAGCGTGTCTCGCTCGATATCTGCTTAAAAACGCAAATAAAGAAAGTATCTAATCAAAAGCAAAAGTATATTTGGTCTGACTTTCATCTGCTCAGCCTATTGTTATAATTACCATTATAGTAGATGAGGTTTTTTTTAATCTGGTAATTACAACATTAAGTTATTATACAGGTGTTTACTCGAATTAAAATATTCTTGCTTATAAATAATGATGGGTACTTGTATTTTTATATTCTGCGGTTACGAAAGTGTATATACAGAGTGTTTGCTAATGGAATGAAGATGATAAAAGGGACTAATAAGGGGCATTAAATTTATGAGGAAATTAAAATGTTCAACAAGCTATTTAAAAAGCGGAATAGATCGCACTGATATAGAGGTATTATTTTGATGGTAAGAAACCGCACAATAAAGTTATCCGGTATAAATAATGAGTATAGGTATCTATTTTTATCAGATTAAGAAATTATCATTTTAAATCAACTAATTAAAATCCCCTTTTACATTTTCTAAATTGCGCAAAGGCCAATTAGAAAATATTCCTATGCGCTATTAATATAGTCAAAAAAAAAAACTCGTTTGGTTTGACGCACTTTGAGGATGCGACATATGAAATTCAGGCGATCGAACCGAATTAATTAATAGAAATTTTAGTCACATATTTATTTCCAATGGAATAATCGATGTTCACATTGTGTATTTATTTTGCAATAGCCAATTTTTAAGCGTAAATTAAACATACCTACTTTACTTCTATTTACCAATATTAACACACTTTCTTATTAGTACCTACAAGCTTAAATAAATACTCTCAAAGACACTAAATCGCGTATTTATGAATAATAAACAGACAATATAATGGTAAAAATTTAAAGTCAAAAACACCATTACATTTTAACGAAATATTCAACAGTTATGTTATAACGTATTAAACATCGCCATAATAAATAACATCCTACGCATACAATTGGACAAAATATGGTTGAATTTCAACGATATTTAAACGCAGATCATGCCCGAGATAGAGCAAAACTGACCAGTCACGTAATGTAAAGAATGTCCAACATCATCAAGGAGGAGACTTAAATAATTCGTCGACAAAAAACCCACGATTCCCGTGATATAATTTAATTTTTATGATACCCGCCGTTCGCACTTTAACTAAAACACACCGGACGCTTTGTGTTCGTTATGCAATTCACGCAAACGAATAAAAACGGTAACGTCTCGAGAATCGTTTCGAAATCGCGAAAAAATGAAAATACTCCCACGATTTGTTTGCGATTTACATGGAGCTAAACGCTTCGGTTGATGGGCGTGATGATGTCATCTCGATCGGACATGAGATGAGAAAAATCGCCCGATTGTTCGAAAATTATCCAAATACGTTTACAAAGAAAACGGTGGGATGAGCTTTTATGGAGAAGTATAATCGTAGATTTGCAAATTTGTTGCACTACTCTACACAGTTGCATGCTGCAGTGAGATGCACTTTGTGTGATTCCCACAAAGGTATTGTTGGTGCAAAACAAATGTCACTGCACGTCACCTATAATCTACTACGTCACAAGTAGGCAGTGTTGCCGAATTTTTAGAGTTTAGAAAATGTAAGAATTTATCTAAAATTATCAAATGGCAAAATGACAAGAACAAATTTAAAATTAGTGGTACCTGTTTCACGTTTCTACACGGCGGATCTATTCAGGGGCTCACTATATAATCAATAATCAAATTCCTTTATCATTTGAAATACATTTAACAGTGCGAGTAAAAAATTTAGTGTACAAATGACCCTTAAAAGAGTAGGTACATAGTAAAATTTCTTAGAAAACTTCTGAATCTGAATTATTTGGAGCTCAAATTGTGTCATTTCTAACATATTGTTGAGTTGAGGCTAGTAAACTAGAAAAAAGAAGAAGAAATTGAAAATTATAAGTATCGATCGGATGACAACGGCAACTATGCAACTTGACAGTTAGTACCTACCAACCTATTTAAGGAAAATAATAATAATTTTATAAACAAACGTTGAATTTTAGCAATATATATTGTTTTGGATGATTTAATTCTGCTTTTTAACATTTTCTATCATCCCTTGTTAATATTAAATTTAATTCTGCAGGTATTAAGCTAAATATATTTTATGTATTTATTTTTAAAAGTTGGTCACCATACTCGGCAAGTATAACGACAATAGTGACATGCATTGATATTTGTTTTGCACCAACTGTACACATCAGATACTCAACTTTTAAAACATGTTACGTTCAAGTGATTGATTCTTGATGAATGTTCTCAGTGGACATCAAAACTCGTGATCGATCATTTTCCTTGTAGGTGAAGAAAAAAAAACCGTTCTCTCGAGCGATATTTCTTAGCTTGTGTCAAGTACTCTAGACGATTTGAAAGTGGATCACGGCAAAAGGTACACATACTGGTTCGGTTTGCTGAAAATGGCGATAAAACCTGTACACGCAATTGAGCGCTCTGTGAAATTTAGAAACTAGAATTTTAAGAAGCCGCTAATTGATCGATTAAAATTCCCCTTCGGGGTCGACATTTTATTCTCGCAATGTTAAATGTTATCTTCTTCCCCGCAGATTTAACTCTAAACGAAGATGCCCGGAGATTCGTATTACTGGAGCCCGGAGCACCCGGACCCCGACGAATTCCTGGAGAAAGACCCCTACATCGACCCCTGGGACCTGGAGAACTACGCCTACATCAGGGAGCACCTGGAGTCCATGGAGATCAACTCGAATCCCAGCGTTCCCAGCGGCAGTTCGGGGGAATTCGCGGAGCCCACGAGTTCCTTCGACTATGTTCCAGCTAGAAGACGACCAGGTAACGCTCTACAATTAAATAAAATGTTTAGGGGGGAAATTTTAACGTTTCTTCTAGTCAGCGTTCAACCTAGAGAGGAGCGATTCGATACATTGATGAGCGATCACGAAAGCTACGCAGCGATCGATGATTTGAATAACTACTGCAGGAGGAATAGAAGGACTACTGCAAGCGAAATCTACTGGCCCACCAGGAAAAGAATGACGTATGATTACGAAATAGGTAATTTTTAGCTACGTTTGTCTCCATAAACCTTATCTAAACTAAATTGCCACATTCAAATTAAATCTCGATCGATATTCGCAATGGAAAGAATCGATTTTTTGTTGCGTTTTAGTGCCTCGTAAAATCGCAAGTACCCTACCCGCTTTCGAATCGAAATTACATAAATCCCACCTGCTGATCAAATATTCAGGCCCCGCTTCCTGCAAGGAATATACAGTGTGTCCACGGAAGGGGTTGCCTACAGGAGAAAAATTTTTATTATTCATTTTACGACAAAAAGTCATTGTTTATAAAAATTTTTGCTTCTTTTAAAAATGAGAATAACACTGAAAAATCTTAGATTGGATCTACAGGGTGTTGCCAAATTAAGAAAACATGAACATACCTCAAGAGAGAAGTACCATTATTTATTATTTTACACAAAATTTTTATAAAGTTGTTTATAATCTAAAATAAAGCCTTAATACAAATTTGCAAAGTTAAATTCAAATTTCGTGTGGCCCTAAATAAAGTTGACCAGATAAGAAAAATGGTTATTATCTATTAATTTTGAGACGAAAATCCATTTTTTATAAAAAAATTAACTTGTCGAGAAAATGAGATTCACATATCAAAACATTAGATAAGACGTATAGGGTGTTAGTAAATTAAGAAACAGGAAAAAATTTCAAGAAAGAACGAAAGAATTTTTAATATCTTACATAAAGAAAGAATTTATTTATTATCTTACATTATTATTTACAAAAAATGCTTTTAATCCAAAGTAAATTAAAATAAATGAATAACGTAAAAATTGAATTTTTGTTCGAAAATTTGTGTTTAGGCTTTACTTTGGATTAAAAGCATTTTTTTGTAAATAATAATGTAAGATAATAAATAAATTCTTTCTTTCTTTCTTGAAATTTTTTCCTGTTTCTTAATTTACTAACACCCTATACATCTAATGTTTGGTATGTGAATCCCATTTTCCCAAAAATGTTTTTTTTATAAAAAATTACTTTTGGTAGTAATATTAATAATCATTTTCTCCTCTGGTCAACTCCATCCGTGGACACACAAAATTTAAATTTTAATTTGAAAATTTGTATTCAGGCTTTACTTTAGATTATAAACAACTTTCATTTATAAAAATTTTGTGTAAAATAAAAAATAATGGTACTTCTCTCTTGAGGTATTTTCATGTTTTCTTAATTTGGCAACAACCTGTAGATCCAATCTAAGATTTTTCAGTGTTATTGTCATTTTTAAACGAAGCAAAAATTTTTATAAACAATGACTTTTTTTCGTAAAATGAACAATAAAAATTTTTCTCCTATAGGGAACCCCATCCGTGGACACACTGTATATGCACTCCTGCGATTGATTGGCCATTCCATTGTACCGAGTCGCATATAAAACGCACTCCGGGCTGGAAATTGGCATTGTTTGTTCTTTACTTTAAGGCCTTAAGTCGCAGGCTAATCAAATAATTTCAATGGCTGTAAATCAGCGAAGATTAGAGGGGACAGTTCGAATGTAAATGTCCCTTCGGATGGCGCTTTGATTTATTGACACTTTAAATTTTAATGGAAAGTGCTTTAGCTTTTCCATTACTGTCGCTGTAGGGTGGTGTACAGATTGCGTGTTATCTTTGCAATTAAGTACTTTTTAAATGCTGTATACAGAATGTTAATTAATTGAGTGCCGATACTTCAGGATGTGAATATTTGGGTGATTTTAAGAAGAAACGTTTTTATCAATATATGTCCTAAACCTCTTAGTTTTCGAGCTACAGGGTGTTAGAGTTTTAGATAAAAAAAAAATTCTATCATAATTTTCTTATTACTTCAGATATTTTATGTTATAATTTCGGATGTGGACGTCACTAGTAATAATGGAAAATTAATTTTAATCCTGCAAAAAAAAGTATTTCCATGCATGGTGGGCGCCTACCAAATTTCAATAAATTATCAAAAGCAGTCTCAAATGAACTTGGAAAAAAATTGTTTTGGTTTTTATTTTTTTACGCGAAAATGGTGCGTCTTACGAAAGTAAGTCTTCTGATCGAATTTGTTACAAAATAAATGAGGATTTTAAAATAAATTTTGGTTTTAAGAAAAAACAGTGGCGTACCATTTTTTTTAAACATATTCAGTTCAAACCCCGTACGTACGTCACAGGTAAAAAAATTTAAAAATCTTTAGCCTCAAAAAATGGTCCTTAATAATTAAAAAGTACGTACAAAATTTTATAAAAATATCTGGAGTAATAAGAAAATTATGATATAAAAGTTTTTTTTTTCTAAAATTGTAGCACCCTGTAGCTCGAATACTGAAAGGTGTTGGAGATATATTAATATAAACTTTTCTTTTTAAAATCATCCAAATATTCACATCCTGAAGCTGAAGTATAGGCACTCTATTAATTAACACCCTGTATGTGTTGGTTAATTGGGAATAATGTAGAATAGTACTATTGCACAAATTCTTGTCTCTATTATAGGTATTGAATTTACATTGGAAACACTATACACACATATCCTACATGAATAATTTTGTGAAATTGTTTTCGAGGAGCTATCGTGAAGTCCATCTTTTTTTTAATTATTCGTTTATAGATCTGTGCGTTCGATAACCGGTCGTTAAATTTTCTAACATAACAAACGCGTCCTCAAACACAGGAAAAAGTAATTGTTTTGGAAACCTTCGGGCCGAATTCCCGTTGATATTAATTTGCAAGTCATTAACGAACAGTAAATCGTAGATAAAACGCCATTATAACGTTGCGCAATTGCAAAATTCGTAGGCCATTTTACGAATGGAGAACGGCCGTTTTACAAACAAGTATTATTGTTGAATTTTTTAATAAAATCGCAATTTATTACAGACCATTTGGAATAGGTATTACCATAATAAAATTTCAATAAAGCATTAAAGTATACCAGAATGGATTTACATTGAGTCAATAACACGCAGGTACTATCGTAATTATTATAAAAATCCCACACTTATTCTAATCTTCGATCGACGATATTTATTCAAATATTTTTCTGCCGCATTAAATAACAGTTTCACTATTAAAATCAGTGCATTAATCGCTTCTGCTTAGCGCTTAACATGCCGTAAAAGCAAAAGTAAAAATTCGCCGAGCGCACTTTCCCTCTTAGTTTTATCGGAGCAGTTAATAGCCCGAAGGTCGGGTATTGTTTCGAGCCGAAGAAGAACGATATTTATGCTAATTTAGGTAGCGAAAAGTCAGGATAAATCACCAGCAACAATGGGACTCTTCTTCTTTCATCAATTTTCAACTCGTTAGATCCCATTAATTGCCTACAAAAAAGCATCCGCAACAAATTAGGTGCCTGCTACAGAGGTGTATAATTTTTAATTTTCTACTGTGTTAACAATTGTGTTTAGTTGTAGAGCAAATATTATGTAAAGCATAACTCGACTGCTCCGATTCCATCACAAATAACAATATTCGATGGAATTAAGGAAACGATTAATTAGTGTAAATGTACGGTTAAAATTGCGAGTTACGCTACGTTGTGCTCTATAATTGGGGAAAAAAAATAGGTTGAAATCGATTGCCCGGAGTACGCGTTAAGTAATCGTCGATAATTCTATACGCTGCGCTGGTATATTAATTTTTTAATCGAACGGGCAAATGAGAGCGGGAATTGTTTGGTCGGTTTTGCATGTAAAATCCGTTGCGAAATATCGATCGAGAAACCGTCCAAGAGACAAGCCGAATGAATTATATCTTTGAGATTTTATGTAATGACTGTTATTTAACAATTATATCTCGATAATAATAAGTTTGTTGTTGTTGCAATTGCGTGCGGTTTACAGTCGAGATGATAGAAATTAACGCATTGTTATATTTTTTAGATGGTGAAGAAGTGAGTCCTTACGCCGAAGGGGTAATTCAGGAAAATTCTGTTTTTGGTATATACGACGAGAACGGCATCTTTCGAAGGGTAGCCGTTCCGATCGGCTACAAAACCAGAGATCGAAGCCTCAGCTATTCATATGGCGATTTTGAGTAAGCAAACAAATCTAGTACAAATGCGAGCGATTTTTCCAAAGATCTGAGAATTGTGATATATTTAAATTACGCAGAACTTGTAAGAAATGTCACAGACAAGTTCAAGTGATCGATTGATGTAGAGGTGTTTTCATAGCACAGTTTTTGTAACCATGGAAGACGCAACAAATTCTCAAAGACAATAATTTTCTATTTATGGAAAAAATGTGTGTGAAAACATCAGATATTATTCAGCGTTTGCAAGTATTTGGTGAGTCTGAAGAATCCAAAAGTATTCTCTATCGGTGGATCGATTTTAGCTCTTTCAGATTTTGCTACATCTTCCATCGTTACAAAAATAGTGCAATAATAGTTAATATTTTTAACTATATCAAGTTTCTGTATGTAGGTAAGACTGTTCTTAATTAGCATGCAAAAAATTGTAGAGATTTTTTCAATCAGTTTGGTTGTAGCAGCTGATTGAATCAGTTCATCTAAGTAGTGCTCTACGAATTTTGCAATAGACAAAAATAATGAACAAAGAATTTGTCTTTTGACCGGAATTTCGTGGAGCTGAATCGATGCAAATGCTTAAGGTGACTCTGTTTGATCAAAAATTCTTATTTACGAATGGTACAAAACTTTTAAAGTCGGGAGACCGCTAAAGACTTGCCTCGTTCCGGACGGTCTTCGACCTCTTCAACCAATGATAAAGGCGAGAAGATGAAGGAAATTGATTTCAAAAATCATCATGCTAGTGATAGAAAAATAACATTATTTGACCTCAACATCTCCCCGTTTGATTTTGCTCAATCAATCAGGCATGTTGCGAATTGAGGATCGCCATTGACCAGCCGCTTTACTTACCAGATAGAGCCCCGTGCGATATTTTTTCCCAAACTGACTGCGTGTATAGCCTCAAAAGGAACATATTTTGAAAGAAATTCAAGAAAAATTAAAAAAATATTAGAAATTTTGCGTTTAATTCCAATTTTTTGGGTACTTTTTTGCCACTGTGTGTATCAATCGAACACCTGAATCAGATTGAACAATGTTGCACTGGATAGTTGCATAAACATGTATGTTGGTGTCTGTTACCAATAACATTGCCTATAAGTTCTGCGTAATTGAACTAGAGCACAATTCCCAGACTTCGGAAACATATTTAATGTACCTACAGAACTCCTGAACCCTTGGAAATTATGCTAAACTTGACAACAGTGAATTTAAAAAGAACCCCAAGAGTTAGCGAAATTGTACATAGCATAGCAACACTGTATCTTCAAAAAAATAGACCCTTTTAATAAAAAAACCAATCCAAAAAAAATACTAAAAATGTTTGTCATTTCCAGTCATTATCAGCACTTCAACCAGCGAGGGGGCGATTCCAGTAGCACGTTGGAGGAGCTCAGGGAGAGGATCGACAGGCAAGATACGACATTGCCGATTTACGATGATACGAATCGTTACAACAGAAACAAACCGCAGAATTTCGGCTTTAGCAAATACGGGCATTTAAAAATCGATTATTCCTGCAGCTGGAACAACTTGAACAAATTCATGAAGTACAACTGAACGAAGTTCAAAGTTAAATTAATAGGTAACATAGATATATTAGTAGTTGTTAAAGATTTTATGATATAAAAGGCTGCATATTTGGTAATTTATTGGCCACAAAAAATATATCTCAAACATTGTTGAGCTATTAAAATAATGTTCGTTTAAGAATAAAATCTTATAAGAACAATTTCTGGAAAACTTGTAAAAAATGTATTTATTAGTTGTTATTTTACACCTAAATTACATCTCTTTGTACGATGTAAAAATAAACACTACCTTATGATATTTATGCTGTATATTTAAATATAAAATATAATATAAGCATTATATAAAGTATTTTATTTCAAAAATGCACAATGCTCGAATATGTATATGGGTAAGGGCAAATATGGTGTTTGCAGTATGGTCAATTGTATGAGTTGAACAAAGAAAAATTAATAAAATAACTATGGTTAGAGTGAGAAAGTCGCAATCCCATAATATCACCCTTTCTTTTTACTTTACTCGAGACTAATGGAAGTTGTCTTTGTTGCACCCACAGCCTATAATATTAGATCTATCTGTATACAGGGTGTATCTAAATAACACCGAAAAAATTTAAGGGGTGCTTCTGTGATGAAAATTAAGGTGAGTACTTGGTATAAATTTTTTGAAAAAAAAGCAAGTTTTTATTTGGTTGGCATCTGTTCATATTAAATGCTATTTAACAGGAGCTTTTGCAAAACATTTACTTTTTTTCTCGTAAATGCTTCAGTTTTTGAAAAAACTTGTAGAGATACAAAAGTTACTAAATAAATTGGGTTTTTAAGTCATACTTTTTTAAAAGAAAAATATTGATCTAAGCAAACGTTTTAAGGAAAAATACTTATAGGTTGACTATTTCAACCCCTTCAAAGCATACTTCAGCGTTGAAAAAATTTTAAAATGTGTAGTTTCATTGACAAATAATATTCCCCAAGTTTTGTGCCTAATTTAGCTTAATATACAGGGAAAATAAAGAAGAAAAACCATTTTTTATTTTAATCTTCGGAGGAGAAGGTATAACTTTTCCAGGATTTTTTTTCTTCAAAAAAAGTTATACCAATTAAGTGATTCATCACAGAATCACTCCATTTTTTTGGTATTATTTAGATAAACCCTGTATATATGCAATAATGTAAAAATAAGAAATTAATGAAATTAAGTGTTTCCATTATTTCTTTTATCTTCAACTTTAACTGGAATTACAGAGGCTACATATTAAAACCACAATCAAAGACTTATTCAACTTTTAATTAATCTTAATTACAACCAATATAATATCACAATTAATGGCAAAGTAAACATAGCAATTTATTATTTTGCTTTGCATATTTTAGTAACATGCCCTACTCCTTGGCATTTGTTACATGCAATGTCCTTGTACTTGCAGGCTATCGATAAATGGCCTTTGACCTTGCAGGAGGAACAAACGGCCCATTCGAAGGAGCACGGTTCATCAGCATGCTCGCTTAAGGCTACGGAACATCTGAAACATTTCGGTACTCTGTTTATTTTTGCTTTATGGTTCCTCTTCCTGGGAGGAGCTTCGGGATTGATAGACTTGTCCCACTTTAAACCGACTTCGAATAATTGGCTCAACGATACGCTGTTTGGGTTAATGGTCTCTTTCAAGCTCTCCCCGATGCCTGATACGATTTGGTTTCTCAGCTTACTGGGCTGATTTTTCTTGGAAAACCGGCAATTGGGAATTATTTTGCGAAGGGCGCCGACGTAGTGGAAGAACGATTCTCCGGGCCATTGCGTTCTCATAGTAAATTTTTTAATGTAAAACGCTTCGTCTCGTTTCGGATACAAGTACTTCTCTATAGATTCTACTAATACTTCGTACGTAATGCTAACATCTTCAAGAGACTTTGGTCTTACCGCAGCTTTTGCCATTTTTATCGACTTTGCGCCCATGGCAGCCAAAAATATTTTTTTCTTATCTTCATCCGTAATGCAGCAGAGTCTTTGACGGGCGAAAAGCTTTTCCATCTTGTAAGAATATTCCAACCAGTCGTCTTTTCCTTGGGTAAATAGCCCCATATGGTTAATAAAAAGAGTTTTACACTCAGAATCTAAAGGAGGTAGTTTACTTAAGTCTTTCATTGTTGCAAAAACTTTACAATATTTACAATTGAAATTGAAATTAACGGTCGCATATGAAAATGACAAGATACTGTCAAGTGTCAAGTTATGTCTATTGATCAATGCAGCCAACCTTAATTTGTCAACATATGTCAAATAAGACTAGTTACTTATAAGGTAGAAGGCATGAATACTGTTATTTTTGATAATGTAAAGAAGAAGAGTTGTAATAAATGTAAATAAAAAAGATTTGTTTGGTTTTATTAAAATTAATTTAAAACGTAAGTTATTCCAAAAAGTGTAAATAAAAATTATAAAAATCCAAAATTTTGTAAAGCGTTTAATTGACATATTGTCAATCAAACCATCAAAGTCATTTTAGATACATAATGAAATTTGTGTGAAAATTTATAGTGTTTAATTCATTGTTTTAGCAAAATCAACAGCAATGGCATCAGAAAAATCACTGTCCTACGTCCCACTAAGCTCGGCAATTAATCCCAGTTTCTTTAGCAAATTGTCTCAATTGAAATTGGAAGTTCTCAAATCTGAAGAGAAATTTGTCCCGATTTGGGGATACACCAAATTGATAAACGATCTGAATCTCCCCGTAAATCTGATAGAAGTAGACAGTACATCATTTAACTTGTAGGTTAATAAATTAATATACAATTAATGTTTCTCTGAGGTTAGATATATTACAATGCTGTTTTATTTTAGGCATTTTTTAGAACACGAAACGCACATACCATTCTACGGAAACGTTCAAAATGTAAATACAATCGAAAAATTCAAAAATTGCGACAAACAGCTACTTGTCGATCTAGAAGGCGCCAAGTTCCACGAAAAACTAATGAACGGAGACATATTAAAAAATCCATCGTTGATTAATTGGTTTCACTTACTGACCTATGCGGTAAGTATCCATTCGAATCGTAATTATTGTACATAATGAAATATGTTTATAATTGTAGGATTTAAAAAAGTACCAGTTATATTACTGGTTTGCTTTTCCCGTACTACAGAACATCGTACTCAGGATAGCCCGGACTTGTAACATTACTGAAGAATTTTCAGACAATTTGGTAACTTATTCACCTAATACAGGGTGGCCAACTAAGAATGCGAGGTACTGTATCTGGGAAACTGTGCATTGTAGAGGATTGCGGTAAAAAAAGTCAGTACTAAAATGGCCAAGAGAAAAACCTGGAAATTATTTTCTAGTTTCTCAAATGCCTAAAGTTTAGGTTAGAAACAAGATATCGAGAATTGGTTTTCGCAAGCTTGTTTAGGCAACGTTTAGCTACTTATTCATGAAAAAGAAATCATACCGATGCATTTAATTTTTTTGAAAAAATTAACCATTTCTGTCGGAGTGTCAGAAAAAGCTCTATACTAGCGACACGTCAATCTAACAAAACTTAAAATAATATAACTTTTGTAGCCCAAGAATAGCTCTTTTCAACTATCCCAAGTTTGTTCAAATCGGCTCAGTCGTTTCGAAGATACAGGGTGTTTTGTAGGGAAACGTTTGAATAACACTCGCCACTTTATTTTTAGAGATACAGCAAACATTATTAAACAAAAAAGGTTAATATTGAACTCGACTTTAAAGATCTGGTATTTTTTGTTAGGTTAATATAGCGGAATTCACAGAAATATCACTTTTTTAGATTCAAGATTGCTGTTACACCCCCTAGCGGCCATTTGAAAAACTTAAGAATATTTTCTAGGTTTTTCTCTTGGCCGTTTGAGTAATAACTTTTTTACCGCAATCCTCTATGATGCATAGTTTGCCAGATAAAGTACCTCGCATTCTTCGTTAGCCGCCCTGTACTTTTGTCTAAAACTATAAACGCTATATTTTCGTAGGTAAACGATTTGTACAACGAGTTCAAGAAGCTGGACAGCAACCAGAAACCCTATTTCGCTGTAGTAAAATTACAAAATTTCGTTCAAGTGAATTCCCTGTACGAAACGTGCAACGATTGGTCGTTCTTCAAAGAGCGCGAGCTGTACTTCGCCTTTATCAATTTCGCTCCCGCCGATAACGTAGGATCTAATCTAAGATTATACGCTGCTTGTTTAGTGCACTTCCAGTAAGTTACTCAAAGATAATATACTATACAGTGAGCATCATAAGTGTAGCATCATAGGTCATTTGAGTAAATTTGAGGTAACACGTAATGAAGCAATTTTTTTTGCATAGTTGAATGGAGAATAAAAACCCCTTTTAAATGAGCTATCACTCTCCTCCATGCTATTTAAATTTTTCGAAAGGGTTGCTCTCCTCCAGTAAGGGTTGAAATTGGGAATAAATTATTCGTACCAAAAAATACCTTGTAAAAATCAAAAGTCGACGTGTCTCAGCGATTTTCTTAACAATAATGCAGTAACGAGTTAGATAGGGGGGGAGGGTAACACTTATGATGTTCACTATATACAGGGTGTTAATTAATAAGTGCGACAAACTTTGCAAAATCTGCGACCAATGCTTCGTTTTCGAGATACAGGGTGTTATCCCTACATATATCACTCTACAGAAACCGTTTTCATATCTTTAAGGGGATCCTCGTAAAACATTATAAGGGTCTGCATCGGTAATATTTTTCAAAAAAAAATTAATAACTCAAAAATTATGCATTTTTGGAAAAAGTGTTTTAGACAAAAGTATCCTGAAATTTTACGTAGTTTTCAAAAATACATCAATATACAGAGTGTTCTATTTGAAACAACAAAGTTGACGCCTACTTCCGGTATATCCGGAATATTTTATGACTAAAGGTTCATATAAACGTGGGTCCACAAACGCTTCGTTACCGATCTACAGGGTGTTGAAATTTCAATTTTTTTTTGCTTTTTCTTTGTAGCTTCTGCAGTTTTTGAGATATTTAGCTCAAATTTTAAATCTAGATTCATTTATAGGGCACAAATTATTGGGTATGTCAGATGGTTGTTCAACTCTACTGGGTGTTATTTTTTCAGGAGTCATGTACCCATTTTCCCCCGGAACTTTTTTGCTGTGCGCCGCTGGTAGATTTTAAAATACAAAATGAATTGTCTGTTTTGTTTAGAAACTTTTTTATTTTTAAACTTTTTTTAAACTTTTTTAAAACTCCTACTCAAATTATACTCTATACATTTTATCCTATACCTAATTTGAGCTAAATAACTCAAAAACTGCAGGAGCTTTAAAAAGGAAACAGAAAAAATCTTGAAATTTAAATACCCTGTAGATCGGTAACGAAGCGTTTGCGGACCCACGTTTACATGAACTTTTATGCCCGATTTCACCAATATGTTCTTAGGCATTTCCTAACTAAGGAATTACTTAAATCGAATACTTACCTAAATCGAGTTTCACCAACATTAGAAATCCCTTACTAAGAAATACCTAGGTAAAAATTTGATTTTGACAATTTTTTGAATTTTATTGGTAGCATTGGCTAATTTTAATGTGTAAACCGAATAAGCGGAGATCGAAATTGAATATGTTGAGAGAAAAGAAGAGAAATTGACGATCCGGGCCATCTTTAAACAATGTTAGTTATTTTTAAATCTGCTGAAGATGTAGTCTGTACATTATTAGAAAAATAACCTTTGTAAAATATTTCTACATCTTCTTCTCCAGGACTATGGATATTTACATGCATGTGTACAGTCAATAGTTCCAAAAACTTTCTGTGTATCAGATTAAAAATCATCTTCAATTCATTCTAATATTTGTAATGCCGTATTTTTATATATCGAAAAAGGCGAAAAAAACAGTTTCGTCCAGTTTCTAAAAACTCTCCTCCCATTTTAAATTTTCATTTAAAAAGTCTAAATACAGTCAAGACTTAAGTCACAAGAAATCACATGAAATGTATGGTTAAGTATTTCCTAAATGTTTTAGGCAAGCCCAGTGAGCTGTCCTAACTTTAGGCATTTCCTATTACCTTTAGGTATCACTTAGTGCATGGTGAAACGCAAATTGTACTTAGGAATTCCTAAATCCGGTTTAGGTATTACCTAACTTTAGGAACTGGTTGGTGAAATCGGGCATTAGTCATAAAATAAGCCAAGGAATCACCCCCTTTCGGGTGTACACGATGTTTAGGAACACCCTGTATACAGATAATTTTAACTCGTCGTGTAGAGTAGGTAGTCTGTGAAGTTATTGTCGCAACGCGAGACTTAAAAACACTAAAATCATTCGAATCGTCAGTCCAGATTTGGGTAACACGGAAGTGAACTTCATAGCACTGAACCTGGGAAGGAATAAAGACGGTGTAACGTTGAAGAGCAGTACCGTATACAAACTGAAGCTCCCCGACAATGCCTCGATCGATTGGTCCAGATGGCTGGGCTGGGAGAAAAACGAGAAGAAGAACATGGGACCGCGATTCGTTAATTTGAAGAAATCCATCGATCCGGAAGAGCGAGTAGCACGATTTTTTTAACGGAGCTTTGTCGTTATTCGATGCGTTTTATTTTTCAGGATCATGGAATTGTCGACGGATTTGAATTTGAAACTGATGAAATGGAATATGGTGCCGAACTTGAACTTGAACAAGATTAAAGCGGCGAAATGTCTTCTATTAGGAGCCGGAACGCTCGGTTGCGCTGTCGCTCGATCCTTACTGGTACTATATTTAATTATACAATACTATACACTGTTGGAAAATTTTTCGCGCATAATAGGGAAATCAATGTTAAATTCTTAGCCTGCTGAAATCCAGTCTACCAGTGTACATTTCAATAGAACGTCGCGATAAATTCTAATAAATTCTAATCAATTGTTCTACTGGACTTCACACCGCGCTTTGGCTTGGTTAGATTAAAAATCAAATAATTTCGACGGTTTCGACACTTCGACAGTATCAAAACGGGTTCGGATGGGTGAACGTCGAGTCGATTAAAAAGAAATGAGAATTTTTAAACGATAATTTATTGAAAAAATATTACTAATAATAAAATAGAATTATGTAGATATGTCTTTTTGCCACAATGGCTTGAAAAAGAAAGTAAATTCTAAGAAAATAATAAAAAGGAAACTCCAAAAATAAACTTAAAGATTATTTTAAAACAGAAAATAAAAGAACTCTAAAAAATAGTCCACCGCTTTCTGCTAAACAATAGCCAAACCTGTCATACAGATGTCATCTCATATTACTGAGCTGAGGTGTAATTTTAGCAGAAAATTGAATTATTTTTTCCTTATTTTTCCTTATTTTAACAAGATTTGTTGCTCTTTCAAAACTGTACCTACCGATATACACATTATTTTGAAATATCCCCAAAAAACCAATTAATTGTAGTTTCTAAATAATTTTGTACCTCATACCTAACACAAATAACTTTGTACCTCTACAAATCGCGGCGTGCGGTCCAGTAGAACAATTAAATTTATTAGAATTCATCGCGACGTTCTATTGAAATGTACACTGGTAGACTGTATTTTAGCCGGCTAAGAATTTAACATTGATTTCCCTATTATGCGAAATTAAATTTCTAACAGTGTATAATACTACAATACTAATATACAGGGTGTTTCATTGGGAAAGGGCAATATTTTAACCCTATGTAGAGGTCACCCAGGGGATTACAAAAAACCCATATGCTATGGGTCTTGTGCCCTTTATAACCGAGTTACAGGGTGTTTTTTGAAGCCCATTTCTTTCGACACCTATAACTTTTGAATCACTCAGTATATTTTTTTGATATTTGACATAGATATTCTATACCTTTAGGACAATTTATTGCCACATTAAAAAATTACAAAATTTAGGTCCGGATTTAGAAAAATTATTAAAATTTGACCGACCCTAAAACAACACCCTATACATCACATTTTTAAAAATTGAATTTCAAATTTAGAAAGAGCATAAAAAACTGAATGTATTCATCAACTTTTTATTTTCCCGCATGCCGTTTTTCTACCAAAATTTAAACATTAAAATGTACATTATGAGATTTTTGGTACATTTAAAATGTAATTGAAGGGATTCTAATTATTTTTTCTTTAATAAAACCAAGTTTACTTAACTCTTTCAAGGAAATTCCTGAAATGAATCTATTGAACTTGAATTAACATTCACATAAACCAATAAAAATTACAATTACAGATCCGCACTTAATAAAATTAAAATGATTTCAATTCATGTAATAATTAATCATTGATTAATCCATTTTTACATTTCTACATGAAAAAATTCAAAAATTAACTAAGTCATTTTTTAATAAAACTGAAAATATCTCAGAAACGGTGATAGTTAGGTATAGGGAAATGTTATAAAAAATGATTCAATAAGAAATATAGGCTTCCCATTGGATATTATTTATATAGGGTGTTCCATTTAAATTAAGCGAGTAATTATTATGTTTGCGTTTTAACTCACCCTGTATACAAATTGCAATTTTGTCAAAATGTAACTAATTTTTGTGAAAATAGACCATTTTCAAAAAGTGCTGACACAGAAGAATTCACATTATCTGATACAGATTCTGATATACAGGGCCTTAAAGTCATGACGATTTGAACATAAAAATGGCCATAACTTTTTAAATACTCAGTATAGTCATAAGAAATCTTATATTGAGAAACTCGTGAAAACGAGCTGAAATCGAATATGAAATAAAAAATATATCATTGCCTTTAAAAAAAGGTATGTTTGGTATGGCTTCGATTTATGGGCCACCCTGTATATTTCGAAATAATTTTAAGTTATGCGCCTAAAGGTGCTTAACATTTTTCCTATTTACCATTTTTTCGTATCTATTATAAAAAACTGAGTAAATGGATACCCTGTATGTACAGTAACCGAAATAATGAATTTATTCCATTTGGCGTTTCCACCCTTAATTTAATTGTTCCTTTTAAAATGATTGTTTTGTTGAAGGGTTGGGGCGTGAGACACATGACGTTCGTCGATTACGGTGTAGTAAATTCATCGAATCCTGTAAGACAAAGTTTGTTTACATTCCAAGACGTGCTCGATTCCAAACCTAAAGCTCAAGCTGCCGCTGATTGTCTTAAATCAATACACCCAGGAGTGGTAAGGAGGCTTTTAATTTGTATTTAACGTTCAAATAGTGTTTATCTGCATTTTTTTTTAGGTAACTAAAGGTTACCAGATGAGTATTCCGATGCCTGGACACCTAGTAAACGGTGAAGATATCCAAGAAGCGATCGAAAGCGTGGAGAAACTGGACAAATTGATCGATACTCACGATGTAATATTCCTTTTGTTAGATTCTAGGGAAGGTAGGTGGTTGCCTACCGTACTAGGAGCGCGTAAACAAAAGGTACAATCGTCTTTTAACAATCATCTTTCATTTTTAACGCTGTAAAAATCGTAGATTGTGATAAATGCGGCCTTGGGTTTCGATTCATATTTGATAATGAGGCACGGAATACACGTGGAAAATGCCACGACTCCACAGGCGCACAACACTTCATCTCGCGATTTGAAATCGATCAGCGGCGTCAATTTGGGATGTTATTTTTGCAACGATGTCGTTGCACCGGGAAATGTAAGCCTCTAATACTAGCAAAGGACCAGAGTAAGGTGAAGGGTTCTCGGCCTGATAACGAAATACCGAGATTTCCAATTGAAAAATTTCTTTTTAATTACATTAATTTCTTTAAATTACATTATTCTTTTTACATTCAGTCGAAATCTTTAGTTCGAGACAGTTCTAAATGATTCTTGAGCTTTCTAAATTACTTTATGGAAGCGTCTAAAGTACTATATGGAGCGTTCTAAATGACTTTCGAGCGTTCTAAATGGTTTTAGACAGGTCTAAATGATTCTAGAGCGATCTACATCGGACAATTTTAAATGATTCTGGAGCATTCTACACGGATCTGAAGCGTTCTGATTGGTTGTAGACAGTTTTAAATGATTCTGGAGTGTTCGAAATGACTTTGGGGTCACTTTAGGACTTAGCTCTAGGTTCTAAATGGTTTTCGACAATTTTAAATGATTCTGGAGCGTTCTAAACGGATCTAAAGCATTCTAAATGGTTTTCGACAATTTTAAATGATCCTGGAGCGTTCTAAATGACTTTGGGGCGTTCTAAACAGTTCTAGACAGCGTTTTAATTGGTTTTAGACAGTTTTAAATGAGTTTGGGGCCTTCTAAATGACTACAGGGCTTTCTAAATGGTTCTAAACAGTTTTAAATGATTCTGGAGCCTTCTAAATGGTTTTGAAGCGTTTGAAACAGTTCTAGACAGCGTTTTAAATGGTTTTAGACAGTTTTAAATGGTTCTTGAGCGTTCTGAATGACTATGGAACGTTCTACATGATTTTAGGCAGTGCTAAATGATTCTGGAGCGTTCTAAAATGACTATGTAGCATTCTAAATGAATCCTGGATACTTGGGTACTTTCTAAATGTCTATGAATCGTTCTATATGGTTTTAGAGTATTCTAAATAATTCTGGAACATTCTAAATGATTCTGGAGCGTTCTAAATAGTTCTAGACAGTTCTAAATGATTCAGGCCGAGAACTTTTCACCCTAACACCCTCGTATTACATTGAATAAATTTCATCTCGATTTATAGTCTACGAAAGACAGAACGTTAGATCAACAGTGCACCGTTACCAGACCCGGGGTGTCTCAAATAGCCGGAGCTTATGCCGCCGAATTGGCTGTGTCTCTGCTAGTCCACGATAAAGGGTAATACATTCGTAATGTTAGTCACATTTGAGCTCATTTCGGGTTGTTTTAGGGTAGCAGCGCCCGCGTACTACAGCTCGAAGAATAACGAATTAGATGTAGACGAAACGGAACCGTCCGTGCTGGGATTAGTTCCGCATTCGATTCGAGGATTCATTTCGTCTTTCGAGCAATTTTGCCCGGCCACTGAGAAGTTTACCAATTGCACAGCTTGCTCGCAGTTCGTGATGAAGAACCTCTTCCTGAACGGCACGCAGTTTTTGCTTAGTATTTTTAACGATTCCAAGCAATTGGAGAGAATATCTGAGGTGCCGAAGTACTGCGATAGTATTGTAAGTTTGTTTGTAAGCCTATACAGTGCATTTCTTTAATGTCCCCCCCTTTTATTTTTTGAACGGATCAACTTAGAAAATTGAAATTTGGGATAATGAAACTAATGCATGATTACTATATTTTGGAGTCAAATTGATAGATGAAAATTTCAAGATGGCGACTGGGCGCTATATTGAGAAATAAATTTAAATGGAAAGGGTCTTGTGACACATCATTTTGAAGCTCCTGACAAATACTGTACAACCCTGGAATATAGAGTCAATATCTGCACCCATTAAAAAATGGCGGAACATTTAATAATTACCTGAATACATCGACGTTTAATGTCATAATTTCTTGAACATTAACTTCTTGAACTTCTTGATATAAGCCTATCCGAACATTTTCGAACATAGTAACGTCGATGTTTCTACAAATATCTGTAATTATTTCTCGTATATCCAATATTGAAGCAGGTTCAGTTTCGTACACTTTTTGCTTCAAATAACCCCATAAAAAAGTCTAAAGGTGTCAAATCTGGCGAGCGGGCTGGCCATTCCGTAGGACCTCGACGACCAATCCAACGACCATGGAAAATAGCATCCAAATAGTTCCTTACTTGTCTGGAGTAATGTGGTGGTGCTCCATCTTCCAATGGACGAGAATTGGCCATTTTAGAGTTAGTTCACGTGCTACCCAACTACAATAAGAACAAACCACCAAAAACTAAATGAAAATATTTTGAACACTAGGAAAACCAAAAACTAAATGAGAATATTTTGACTCAACAATTAATGTTCCTTTTCGTACTTAAATTTTTTGGATTTTTTTAACCAAAAATAACCTGTCAAACCTTATCGGTTTGTTAGGATTGCTATTTGGCATAGAAAAACAAATATTTCTAGAAAAATTGATATTAATTTGTATGTATTCAGGTAATTATTAAATGTTCCGCCATTTTTTAATGGGTGCAGATATTGACTTTATATTCCAGGGTTGTAGAGTATTTGTCAGGAGCTTCAAAATGATGTGTCACAAGACCCCCTTTTCCATTTAAATTAATTTCTCAATATAGCGCCCAGTCGCCATCTTGAAAATTTCATCTGTCAATTTTACTCCAAAATATAGTAATCATGCATTAGTTTTGTTATCCTAAATTTCAATTTTCTAAGTTGATCCATTCAAAAAATAAAAGGGGGGGGACATTAAAGAAATGCACTGTATAAGAATAGGGTTGTTAAGGTTTTGTTTTTAGGACAATGAAGCGATTTTGGACGAAGAATTCTCCGATTGGGAAATAAAGTGATCTGCTTGATATTCTTAATTACATTTATTTAAAAAAAAATTAAGTTCTTTTAAGGAAATATATTCAATAAAGTTATCAAAAATGTGTTTGTCATTATTTAGGAAATTAATTTTGCTTAAATTGGCAATTCCTGGTGAAGTATTTATCTCGCGATTATTTTGTTTTTAATGACAACTCCACATTTTGACTTGTTAGTTCATTTTTAATGTAGTAGCACATTTCGTCAAGTACCCGTTTTAATAAATTCGTTGTAAAACTATAACCACAAAGAATGTCCCAGTCGAAGGAGTATTTCTCTTACTTTAAAAATTTCGATGTGGTTGAAAAAACCAGATGTCTCATATTGGGAGCCGGTACGCTCGGTTGTTCGGTGGCCAGGTCTTTATTGGTACGTATTTACACGTTAATTATAACTATAGGGTGATAATTAATCCAATGTACATATTTTAATGGGTGATTCTTGAGTTAATTTTGAATAGAAAAGTTCATATAAAGATATGTCCTCCGAAGCTCGGTTTTCGATATACCTACAGGGTTGTATTTTTATTTAGAAAATTTGAAAAACCGTTTGCGATATTGCGTTATTGAATTCTAGGATAATATAGGATATTATGAATTTAGGTAAGTAGATAGTTTTTGGTGTGATGTTTTATATGTAACAACTAGAGTTTTTAATTATGTTCTTTAATATGAAGTCTTACGGCAAAAACGAAAGAAACTTTTTTTGTCTAAAATGAAATGGTTATCATTAATTTATAAAGAAAGTTTTTAAAAAATAGTGGCGCGCTACCTGTTTAGATAAAATTGTAACCAAAACCTACCCATAACTACGCCACTGATTAAAACAAAAAAATATTTTTTGTTTAAAAAATGCGTATTTATACCATAATATGTTATCCTAGAATTCAATGTAATATCGCAAACGGTTTTTCAAATTTATGAAAAAAACCTAAATAAAAATAAAACTTTACAACCCCTGTATATCGAAAACCGAGCTTCGGAGGACGTACCTTTCTATGAACTTTTCGACTCAAAATTAGCCCAAGAATCATCCGTTAAAATAAATACATTGCAATAATTAACACCCTATACAGGGTGTCCCTTAAAGTGTGGGAAATCTGTCGGATCCATATAGAACATGAAAAAATAAGATGAGAAGTTCTTATAAAAATTTTCCCTACAGGCCCTCCCTACGAAGATATGAGTCCCAGAAGAGCGCCACTGGAAATAGGTTTTCCTAAAATATCTTCTAAAGTACTTGATATAATTAAACAAAAATTTAATATGATGGACACTACTGAGGGCCTCAAAAATTAGTGTCCTTGAAACATTTAGCTTTGTTAGTTTACCAGGGCCGGGCTAAGGCTAACACCTTAATGCATAAATTTTCAACACCCTGTATGATAAAGACTTAAAAAACATAAATCTGGAAAGCTTGAATCATAAACTTATAAAAAGGTACTCCTCTCAATTGTCGATAAAATGAACCGTTTACAAGAAAAACAATAATAAACGATTTATTTTTACCAGAAATGGTATCACAAATTTACACAATTTACAGGTATGGGAAGATGAATATCTGCATTGGATAATTTTAATCGGTAACTTTACTTCAGAGCACTTTTCTTGATTTAATAGAGCACTTGCCACTTAAAACCCACTGAAACATATGTATACTTCATGCACTATGGGGCAACACCGTTTCTGGTTTACAAGTACTGGTTTACTCATTGATTATTGTTTTTCTCGTAAACGGTTCATTTTTTCGACATTTGAGAGTACATTTTTTCTAGTTTAAGATTCAACCCTTCCAGATTTATGATTTTTAAGTCTTTATCATACAGGGTGTTGAAAATTTAGGCAATAAGGCGTAAACCTTAGCCCGGCCCTGCTAAACTAAACAAGTTAAATATGTTTCTAGGACACTATTTTGTGAGGTCCTTACTAGTGTCCATCATAAGATTTTTGTTAAATTATATCAAGTACTTTAGAAGATATTTAAGGAAAACCTATTTCCAGCGGCACACTTCAAGGACGCAAATCTTCGTAGGGAGGACCTGTTGGGAAAAACTTTATAGGAACTTCTCATCTTATTTTTTCATGTTCTATATGGATCCGAGAGTTTTCTCACACATTCAGGGACACCATGTATATGATTCTTTTTTCCTGCATTTTGCGCAGCCCTGGGGAATACAACACATAACATTCGTCGATAAAGACGTGGTGAGCCCTTCGAATCCAACAAGGCAGAGTTTGTACACCGATCAAGATTGGCGCGAGGAAAAACCGAAAGCCGAAGCTGCGGCTGATAACATCAAGATTATATTTCCCGAAGTGGTAAGATGATAACTCTCTTAAAAAATATACTTTTATAAATATACAGGGGGTTAATTAATTGAGTGTCGATATTTCAGAATGTGAATGTTTGGATGATTTTACTCACCTTAATTTTCATCACATAAGCACCCCTTAAATTTTTTCGGTGTTATTTAGGTACACCCTGTATACAGGTAGATGTTTGCATTATATGCAGGGTGAGTCACGACGGACGCAGCGGAATCTTATGGCGAAACTGTGTATAATGTTAGATTTCTGTAGAATTTTTTTCCTATGGAACACCCTATATTTGATGATATTTTTGAATTGTCCTTAAAAATGAGCTATACTTTCATAAAGGGTCCCTATACCTAAATACAGTGTGTTCTGATTTATTTGGATATTTCTGAAAATGTAGAGGTTTGGGAAAAATTAAATATCTCAAAATCTGAACATCCGGTATAAATTTGCTCTTGAACCTAAATAATAGACTATTCCTTCTACTTATTCACGAATTTACTATTGCAAAATTATTTACAGGGTGTTCAATACATGCGGTTCTTTTACTAGCACATTCATAGTGTAATAACGTGCTTATTTTAAATGGTACATCCTGTATTTTAGTACCCTATCATGTAGAGAATTTCATTTTCTTTTAGTCTGTATGAGGGTGTCCTATACCTAACTTTTCAACTTTTATAGTTATTAACGTATTTTACATTTTTTGTCGATTTTTAATAAAAATCTTAAATTATCATGGTGTGTTGCTTGTTGTTTTGCATTCATTATGATTACAAAAGGATATATTTTGTATTATGGTATTATTTTTATTATTTTGTATTATTATAAAAATTTTTCGCTCACTGTTTCAAGAGCCCATAATACAAAATCTAGTATAGGTTACTCACCCTGTATAGGTTATTAATTTAATTGAATGCCGATACTTCAGGAAATGAATAATTGGATGATTTTAAGAAGAAAAATTTATATCAATATATGTTCTAGTCCTAAACCTCTTAGTTTTCGAGCTACAGGATGTTACAATTTTAGAAAAAAAAAACTTTTCCATCGTAATTTTCTTATTACTCCAGATATTTTTATGAAATTTCGGACGTAGACGTCATTGGTAATAGTAGAAAATTAATTTTTGTTTCCAAAAAAAAATGTTTCCATGCATGCTGGGCGGCTACCAAAATTCTACAAAACAACAAAAGAAGTCTCAATGAACTTGGGAAAAAATTGTTTTGGTTTTTATTTTTTACACGAAAATGGTGTGTCGTACGAAAGTCAGTCTTCGGATCGAATTTGCTCCCAAATTAATGAGGATTTTAAAAATAATATTGTTTTTTAGAACAAAAAGTGGCGTAACATTTTTTCTTCAAACATATTCAGTTCAAACCCCGTACGGACGTCACTGGTAGAAATTTAAATAAATCTTTTGCCTCTAAAAATGCTCCTTAATAATTAAAAAGTGTATACAAAAGTTCATAAAAATATCTGGAGTACCTAATAAGACAATTATGATAGAAAAGTTATTTCTTTACTACAACTGTTACACCCTGTAGCTCGAAAACTATAAAAGTTTTAGGACATATATTCATATAAACTTTTCTTCATAAAATCATCCAAATATTCACATCCTGAAGTATCGGCACTCAATTAATAAACACCCTGTATGTATTTTCAGAATATCGTGGGACATCGATTGAAAATTCCTTCGATTGGACATTCCGTAGAAAAAGAAACCATCGAAAGAACTGTCAAGGAGCTCTCTGGGCTTATAGAAAACCACGATATTATATTTTTGCTGACGGATACCAGAGGCAGCAGATGGTTACCCACTGTTCTGGGGCAATGCATGCAGAAGGTACCGATTTAAGTTTAAAATTATTCTATAAAATAATTCCCCCTTCAATTTCAGATAGTAATAAACGTATCTATCGATTTAGATTCTTACACGGTATCGAGACATGGAGTCTACACCGAAGCCGATCCTGTCCCTAACACAATTCTAAACAACGAGACAGGATTAACTTCGATAGACGGAAGGAACCTGGCCTGTTTTTTCTGTACAGAAAACCTTTTCCCTGAGAAGGTAATTAAGTCAATCAATTAATTTGCAATATTTAATAATAAGCACATCCTTAGCCCGTTCTACAAGAAATCATCAAACCTTTGGACAAGAAATACACAGTAACCCGACCAGGAGTACCGTTAATAGCAGCTACAATGGCTGTAGAATTAGCCATCTCTTTACTTATACAAACTTCCAAGTAAGCGAATATACAGTATGTCTGAAAAAGTTGGCAACATATGGGAAACTTTTGATAAGTTTTAAGAAAAAAAAATATTGAAAATGTCTGCTTTCAAAAATAATAATATTTAGGTATTTACATTTGACATTAGATGTACATGGACTACAGGATGTCCGCTGTCCACAATATGCAAAACATTAATAGGAATATTTTGACCACTTTAATTTCAACTAAATTTTGCAAATTTTAGTTGTAAAACACGTAAACTTTTATCTTATTTAACAAGTCAACACACCTCAAATGTTCATTTGCTGTTTTGAAATGTTTATCAATAACTTTAAAACAGTAATAAATGAGTAATACCCAATAGAATAATGTATTTTCTACAGTAATACACAAAAATAGTGTAAATAATTTAAAGCCTAGGTGGCTCTGACAACGACATTTCTCTTACCGAAAGTTAGTCTAGCAAAAGCTTTCGAGAAATAAATAATACATTTCATCTAGTTAGTGTGCATTGAAATTGAAATAATAAATATCTAATTGTAACTAATGTAATCAAAATTGAAAACTTCAGTAATTGAACTTCAAAAAGTAGCAAAAATGCATATTAAAACATAGTTTTCCATTTCACAACTTCACAACTTCACAACTTTTCATAATTAAAGTTTTCAATATTGTAAAAAATAAAGGTAAGTACTTTACTCTTGTATCAAATTCATATTTTTTGACAAACGTCGTATATGATTTACAAAATTGACATCTGACATTTGCGTTTTACTTTATTGGCCATACAGAATTTTTCATAAATAATTTTTTTTTCGTAACATTACTAATAAACATGTTTCCCATAAGTTGCTAACTCTTTCAGCCATACTGTACACTAAAGGGGCACCTTAACAATCTGTTTACATTTTAGCGTTTCGACTCCGGCGTTTTTCTACGCCAACAGCGATAACAATAAGGAAAACCTCAAATATTTGAACTACAATCAAATGGGCCTGGTGCCTCATGTTATAAAAGGCAACATGTCCACGTACGGGCAACTTGTAACGGCCTTTGAGAAAAACGCCAAGTGCGCAGCTTGCTCGGACACCGTTGTGAAGCAGTACCAGCAACAGGGCAACGCGTTTTTTATAAAGGTGCTCGAGAACCCGAGACACTTGAAGAAATTGTTGAAAATGGAAGAGGGGTTCGACAGAGAGTCGATTTTAAACGACGTAAGATGCAAGTTTCATTTAATATTCATTAGAATTAATTATATCTTAAATTAACAGACTTATGCCAATGAGGACCTATTGTGGACAGAATTTTAAGAAAAAAATGCACCTATTACCTATTACATGATACGCCTTATAAGAAGATGAAATGTAATGTATTAAAGAAACTTATTCTACCTATAACATTGTTTAATTATTTTTATTATCGAATTTGGTGTAAAATTTAAATAAACAAACACAAACATAACCTTTATATGTCTTCTTTTTTATTTTATTTGTAAATTTATTTAAGAAAGTGACTATGTTTAAGTATGCATTCAGCAACATACGATCTTAGTGCCATCTAGTTAGCAAATCCTCAGGTGGACAAGACTTGTAAAATAGGTTGCATAACTATGCAGTTTTGGTAATTGACTGAATTCACGAACTTTAGCTCGTTTAAATTTGAAATTGGAATAAAAAAGAAGTTAAATGATGATCGAAAATTGTAATTTACCAGACAAACTAGAGATTTTTTTCAACTTCATTCATTTTATCCGGGCAACTTTCTCAAATCGATAGTAAAAAACGCTCAAAACTAATTTCACCCACGGTGTCCGATCTCCGGCAAATTATTTTTACCGATTCAGCGAAGCCGCGTTCACGCAGCCGAATAAAGTACGGTTTCTTTAGCGAATCCAAACGAAAGCGTGATTATTCGAGTGTAATTAACGATTAAATCATTGATTACACTATTTGCTGGTAATGATATCGATTAGTTGTCGATTCGACAAACTTCTAAGGCGTAGGGACAAAATAATCTTCAATTTTTGTTTGGTGTAAACGGGGTTTATTCTTTGGGAGGTTTTCCAATAGATGGACAGTGTAAATATTTGACATTCCATGCATACCAAACTCACAGGTTCGACCGAAATGTCAAATTCTTTTAACAGTTTTACTTGTTAGTGAATATTATCGGGAAAAATTGTGTTATTAAAAGTAAATAATAATTGTTAATTGATTGTTTAGCAAGTTTAAGGACTCGACAAGTCTTAAGGTTAGTTGGAAACGTTTTAAATTGAGTTTATACCCAATAAAAGGGTATCGATTTTAGGGGTGTACGTTTTGTGATTGTTTTCAGTAGGGTGAAAAGCATCGTAAATAAGTATTAAAATCTCATTTATTTTAGTTCAATACTTTGGAGTTTTTAATGCGAACATTCCTTTCATATTTCTGTAATAAACGCGTTTTTTCTGTAGCTTATTATCAAAAAATATTACTAAAAATACAACGAGATATGGAATGCTTTAACGAAATGATAGTGTGATCGTACAATTTATTATTACTAATCTGATATGAACATGACCTAGTAATTTTTACCGACAATTGTTATGGAATTCGAAATATTTTTGTAAATGGGGTCACAAATGAAATGTTTTTCCCCCAATTTTACTCGTTCACATCCTTTTCACACACCGATTGTTCGTGATAATAATCATAATTTAATTATGCTTTCGTGGTTTCATTTTCCACAACTATTAGGTATTAAGTACATTTGCCGCATTTATTTATTTGTTTTTATGTATTTTAGTAAAATTCGCGTTAAAGTAGGTCGAAATGTGGCCCTAATATTAATTGTTTACCAGACGCTTTCTTCGCCCGTTCCATTTTCGTCCAAAGTCACATTTTTCACGTTACAATTTTTTAAAGATTAATAAACCGGGTATTATTAGAATTAATTATCAGTCTGCTAAGGTAATTGACTCGTTGGTAATTTTCCAAATTCGTTTTTTTTTTGTCGAATAAATAATTTTTTGTTATTAGTTTTATTGTGTATTTATACAATGAATTGTGATTTGTTAGTCAAATATTTTTCAAGCAATCTGTTTTGCGTTGAAGCATATGCGAGACATCTGGCCCGTCTCTCGGTAAAAGGGTAAAAGTAAAAACCGCTGCTCAGTTGGGCGTCTTTAGGGAGACATTCCCTTAGTCGTGGCTTGACAAATCTCGAAGGGTGTTCAGTATGTATTTATAAATTATTTTGCAGTTATAATAAGTTGTTTTTTGTACTATATGGGTAAGTGCAAATTTGTCTGCAATATGGTCAATTCTACAAGTTGAACGATGAAAGATTAGTGGTGAGAATAAGAAAGTTGAAATCTCACATTATCTGTATAATAGAAGCTGTTTTTGTTACACCTAATATAGACCATATTGCATACTAATTTGCACTTATCTGTATATGAAGAGGCATGTTTCATTAGTATGTTCCAAACATTTATGTTTTGCGTCATGTTTACAACACAAATTTGATTGGAATATGACTATAATACTAATTGATAGATTGCTCGCATTCATAAACTATTATTTGTGAATTTTTATTTGATTTTTAAGGTGTTATTTTAAAAATTTTCAAGTAAATTGGGCAGTTTTTTTTAATATTTTGCTTAAGTATAAGATTTTTCAGACGGTTTTGAGGATTTTACAAGTAAATTTGACGATTTTTTAGATAATTTCACAAGATTTTTACACGTACCTTTGTGATTTTTTGGGAATATTTTATTGAGTCGATTTATCAGAGGATTTTATAAGATATTGTGTGTAAATTTGCCCTTTCTGGTGAGGCTTATCTTAAATACTACTTAATATTCTTACTTTTAAAGTGAACAATTGAATTTCAACCTAAATCACCAATTTTTAAGTAATTTTTCTATTTGTATTGTACGATCAAAAAAATTTATAAAATTATATGTATAAACTATTATACACAAACTATAATATGTATATTAATATTGTGTTTACTTGGCTCGCCGATGGCGAGATCCGCTTATATCAACGAAATAGTTGAATAATTGCCGAGCCCGAGACAGTCGCACTTATTATACATTATTATTTATTTTAGATTTATACATGGATATCCAGAAATTCTCGCCGACATACCGCCCGTTCGTATAGCATTCAGTTCAGCATCGATTATTCACCTACGCCGTAAATATTTCGAATTCCCCGTGGTATTTATCTCGACGGACGCGCCTCATCATCGGTGTAAATTGTAAATAAAATCCGGCCGCTGCTAGGAAGAGATCTATCGGTCGGTTTCGATTGATTAGCATTCCGTTAACCGATAAGGGAGGACATGGAGAGCGGCGAGTCCCCCTTGGAAGTCCTCTCCAGGGCAGCGACGATGGTGCAGGAGAACCAAACCCTCGGCGTGTCAGGTTCGCATTTTTTTCTTTTTTATTTAGCAGTTTATTTAGCGGTATTGTTCCGGTGTCGGGACGCGGCGTGCTCGCGATCTTCGGCGCTGAGATCAGGGCGAGAGATGAGAATTTTTCGAAGCGGTCGGAGAGCATGGAAGGCATGCGGTCCGACTAGTGCCGCCCGAAGATAACGAGTTTGTATTATTATGTGTGGCTCGTATTGATGCGAAAATATCGCTTCGAACAATGAACGAGGAACGCTTACTTAAAATTGAATCGTTCGTTTTAAAAACGCCGCGAATTCGAGCCGAAGTTTCGAACTTCTGCGTTTTCTCTCTACCTTTTTAAGCGACTCTTGTAACTAACAAATCTTGTTGTTCTTCTTCTTTGAGGTTTTTTTTTTTGATCCCGCAAGGACGAATCGTTGCACAAATTGTTGACGTAATGTAAGAATGTATTTTTATGCGATAGCTATTGTACGACTAAGCACCAGACAGGTACTCGATTTGAATGGTTAAAGAGTCGAAATCGATTGTAATGGTTTCGACCTTAAAAGGTCGCTTTTGGGGTCTACGTTAGTGGAGTTTTAATAGGAAAATAGGCGAAGTAAAACAACATGAAAATATTGTAGATTTATTTTCTGCGTAATGTTGAAATGTCGCTTTTTTTTTACAGAATTCAATCGGTAATCGCCTTCTTGGTAGTGTACGAATTCGTGACGAAACCGATAAATTTAAAACGTACAAACGCGGTTTTACAGGAAACGGAATTTCTGCAAATCGAATTGTTTGAACTAGATAAAAATATCGATAAACGCACATTTCACATATTATATTGAAAAATAAACCTGAATTTTCAAGTAAACGAAACACCGTTTTCGGAACATTTTAAACTAAATATACAGGGCGTGCCGTAAAAATCCGGATTTTCCCTTCGTTAAAGAAACATTTAATAACTTCTTAAGCTCTGTGCGTGTAGAAAATTTCAATTAAACAAGGTTAATCGAAATAGCTCCGCTATTTTCGCGTCACTTGTTTTTTTTAATATCCAAACAACAACTCAATGAAATTACATTTCACGGTCACAAAAATATTTAAAACATTCTAGAGCCGGGAAACAAATACATAATGCTTGCACATTTTCGCGATCGCATGCCGCTAGAACGGAATTTTCTAATAGGAACGCCGAGTAAACAATATATTACGTTTTTTTTTCTTGTTCGTTGAAAAAAACATGAATGATTGAATTGCTAATTAGGATTCTACGAGTATTTTAACCCCTGAGGCATGAATGTCCCATTGAGGAATAAATAAATTGATTTTTGTTAAGTTGAATTTGGCGTAGGTACTTCTAAATTTTAACAATGGTTTTTATAGTAATTTCGGCTATTTAAAAGTGGTATACAAGTAATGAGATAATGATCCACAAAATGGATAACGATTAAATATTACTTTATACCACTTTAATTGACATAATTACATCATCGATTTAGTCTCTTATCATTATCTTAACACACTCAATTATATCAACCTTATCGAGCGAAATAGTAATATACAGGGTGTCTCTAAAAAGTTGAGACATGGCTTAACTGCAGATTTCTGGGACAAAAGTAAGATGTTTAAACCTAACTTATCCAAAAGTGCAAAGCAAAGAGGTTATATGGTGTTAAAGTTGAAAGTAATAAAGAGATTTATTGATGTTGGGACAGAATATGGCTGAAGACTTTTCATTAAAAATTTTAGGTCCATTTAGTTTGGAAAATTTTTTGTCCGTTATTTATAATAAAATTACTCATAAAACCTTTTTAAAATATTAATAAATTTTCAACAAAAATCTATTTATTAATCATAATACTTGTATATGGAAAATGTTAATATTAAAAATGAGACATCAGTATAATTTATAAAAACTGTTTTATGTGGCCTTAATTATGAATAATAAATAGATTTTTATTAGAAATAACTTAATCGGTTAAAAAGGTGCTACGAAAATAATTTTATTATCAATAACCGCCTGAAAATTTTCCAAACTATGGGGATTTAAAAATCGTATAATTACCAAAAAATGAGATTTATTTCCAAAAATGTGAGTTTAAAATAAAGATATTCTGTACCTACAAATTTTCAAGCCATTCTTATCCACTATCAAAAAAACCCTTTTTTATTTTCAACTTTAACACCCTATAACTTCATTACTACGCACTTTTGGATACAGCTAACATTAAGTCAGGTTAAATCATTTTATTTTCGTCCCATCAGAAGTCTGCAAATAAACAATGCCCCAATCTTTTAGAGACACCCTGTATAGAGTGGTTGTAATTCTTTGGTCGCGCCGCTGCCTCACAATCTCCGAAACAAAAACGAAATATAAAAACAAAAAAAAAAAAGGCAAACCGGTCAAAAAGCAAAGCAGCGCCAGTCAGTCGACTTTGGTCCGTACGGCGGTGGGACATAGCGAACGCGAGCGATCGGGAGAAGAAAAAAAAAATTGATTACATTATACGACCTACCTGCGCCCGGCCTCACCGCTCTCTTCGGGCAACCTCTCTACCTGGGCCGGAATCTTATGAATGAAACTCCTCGCGGTTTACTATCATCTCCTGCGCGGATGGTACGCGTGCATTGTGCGTGAATATAAACAAATAGAAGTGCGTATAGGCGGTGGGTTTATTCGTTTGATTCTTCGGTGGACATTATGAACGGGGAGGTGGTGCAGAAGTTGATCAGGGTGGCGTTGATGATGAGAGATAACGGGAAGACGGCCGGGGAAATCGGGAACGAGAAAATGAACGGGTTGTGGCAGCCTTGGCTCGACGAAGGTAAATTTCATTGATGAATATACAGGGTGTTTCACAACTTATCCGACAAATTTTAACCACATATGCGGTGTTACGAGAGAAGTTAATTTCCCAAAAAAATATGTAATAAAAGTCTTACAGAAATCGAGATAATAAAATAATAGTTTAACAGTTCAATTACTTATACAAGATGTTCAAAATTGTTCCCATTTACTGCAATGCAAGTTTGGGTGCTTGTTTTTTTTGTTTTAACCATTGTTTTGGTGCAACATTTGCTACAGTAAAGTATTAAGGCAAAATTATGAACGCAAAATGCGGTATTTATTTTTCAATTTTTTATTGAAACTCGGGTTTATAATTTTATTTCTGTAGGACTTTTATTACATTTTTTGAGATTTCTCAAAGAGAGAGAAGTTGGTTTCTCAAAAAAATGTAATAAAAGTCCTACAGAAATAAAATTATAAACCCGAGTTTCAATAAAAAATTGAAAAATAAATACTGCATTTTGCGTTCATAATTTTGCCTTAATACTTTACTGTAGCAAATGTTGCACCAAAACAATGGTTAAAACAAAAAAAAACAAGCACCCAAGCTTGCATTGCAGTAAATGGGAACAATTTTGAACATCTTGTATAAGTAATTGAACTGTTAAACTATTATTTTATTATCTCGATTTCTGTGAGACTTTTATTACATATTTTGAGAAATTAACTTCTCTCGTAACACCGCATATGTGGTTAAAATTTTGTCGGATAAGTTGTGAAACACCCTGTACATAAGATCGAATGCAAATCGATACTCGGCGTTCGATTTTAATTATTGGAAATGCATGTTCATCGTTATGATGGTTCATTCGTTAAATATGTAATAGCGCGGATAATTCGTTTGGATTTTTATCATTCTTCTCTGTATGCGGGAATTTATGCGTTGTGCGGTGGTTATTTGTTGAATGCCAGTTAATAGGATTAAAATCGTTGAATAATAATTTAAACTAACTGGATTCTTTACGTTTGTATTCATTCATATGCGAACTCGTTTCATAAATAAAAATTATTTTGACATATAAAATGTGGAATGTAATTTACAGTTTTTTTTGTGAAACAAAACACACTGTATATTCGATATTTTCTACAGTTTCGAATTTTTTTTATAATTCGATATACCTACACACACTCAAAAATGTTTTGCATATTTTTTATATGAAGTTGAAATGCCACTGGCCATTTGTTAATTGAAATGCCTTTTGTTAAATTGGTTTTATCATATTATGGTTTCTCATGCATTGAAACACCTGTCTTCAAATTTTCACTTTTGTACATCCAAAATCTTTTAAACTGCTGCAAAAAATCATTTTTTCTTAATTTTAACTTTGACACTTTGTATCATTTTTATTTTCAATATTTTACTAAAGCAAGTTGGCTCAGTTCGTAATATTTTGAGGCCCAGAATCTACCACTACACTTTTGAAGCATTACTTTCGGACCACCCTTTGTATATTCTTAAAAATGTTTTGCATAAAAGAATAAACACTTAACACAACGAATTATTTGTAAAATTGCTCATCAAAATTAATTTCCAAAAGGCATAAACATCATTTAAAATAAAACAATTTAACAAAAGACATTTTAAATAATAAATGGGCAGTGGCATTTCAACTATATAATATGCAAAACATTTTTGAGTATTATACATGTATTATTATTTTCTCTATATTTACGATTATATCCAATTGTGTATAATATTTTTATTTAAAAAAACCAGAGTGTAATTTAAGAGGAGAGATCTGGGTATTTATCTATCGAATTAGGCGAGACTGTGGAAATTTTCGTGAAGCGTTTATAAACAGGACGGCGCTCTTCCGTGACGAAGTCAATTTTCTTTTATACGAGGGCAATCGTTCGGAATGGACTTAATAGGTAATTTAACCGACGAAGGACGAATTAGAAGAATCGACTTTTCTATATAACGTAACGAGCCGGTCGTCGGATATAGGCATCCGGTGTTTAAAATTTTTCTATTCGTCTATACTTACATGCAGAGTGTCTTTCTTAAAATATACATTCAATTCGGCTTTTAAATGCGAATTAAATAAAAGCATTAGTTTTTTTTTCTAAAAAGAAGCGCCGGGGATTAATTAAAATTGTTTAGGTACTCCTAAAAGGATGTTCTTATAGCAATTGGATCTAAGTACTAATTACTTGTGGAATACTAGGACGTACTGTATATAGTTATGTGCAAAATTGTAGGCAATATGGTGTCTATGGGTGCAACAAAGACAACTTTTATTAGTCTTATACAGGGTGATTCAGATTGTATCTGAATAACATCGGTAGTTGATATAGAACATGTAAAAATATTGTTAGTTTGTAATATTTTTTTTTTCAAAAACCTCTTAGTTTCGGAAATAAAGGGCATCGAGGTTGAGTGTATTTTTTCCTTTTTTATTCATAACTTTTGATTCAGTTCTCCAATTTATTTCAAATCTAACATCGAAACACTTCTTATCGTTCTGCATAATCCTTCAAAGTATGAAACCCACTCTTCATTAAGTGGATTTTTAGGTGTTACCCTCTCCTACATTTTTTCATAACTTTTGCAAATAATAATTTGTAATGCTAATAACTATTTAGGACTATACTTTAATTGATTTTAAAACGATTTTTATTCTTGTAATCTTTTGATATTTTGCTGAGTTTTTGAGATATTTTATGAAATTTAAGCCAGTGCACCACTGTAATATTAATTAAACGTCAGACTTAAGCCAAAAAGAAAAAAATAGTACTTACTATACTGAGGAGCATAAGTATAGCAAAACCTTCGTTTTTCGATATTGAAAGACTTTTACTTTGAAATTGTTTTTTTTCTGGTTGGAGCTATTTTTAGATGTGAACCACGACAATTTCGTTCATTGACAAAAAACTTATTTCTAAAATGCAGCAACATTTATTTAATATTTAATTATTTTGATAATGAACGGGCATTCTATTTGGAAAATTTAGTCCCACTTCTACAAAAGCTATAAAATGTGAGCATTGGAACGAACAAAAACAATGCATAATTTCTATACGTTGGTTCTATACATTAGGCGGGAACCAACAGATTTTAATATTTCCTCCATTTTTATCGAATTCATTCGAAATCTTTTATTAAACTCCCATTAAGCTTCCTCCTCACTGTCGCTAGACCACATTTTCTTTTAAATTTACAAGAAAATCGGATGGTGACAGAAAATCAAGTCCCTGTCGCTTTATACTAATATATGATAGGAATAAATGACAAGTGTTGTTTAATTTATTTTTTATGAAACGCAAACCTATCTACAATTGTAAAACAGACTTGTAATATTAGGCTAGTCACTTGTCACTAATTACCTACTCGTGTAATTTTGTGAAACACAAACTTGTCAAATACTCCAGTCAAATTTAGACTACACTTGTCCGTCAGGACTTGTCAGTTATACGAAACAGGCCCCAATATTGCCGCCAAATTTGCACTTACCCCGTATGTATTTTCTTTTAATAAATCGTTTCTTTAGACGATCCCACGAAACCGTACACCAAGCACACGCCGAAATGGAAGCGCGACCGGCGCCCGAGACCGCCCGACTACCCTCGCAAAACCTCCGATCCCAAGTACCCCGAGCAACGTCTATCGGGCGAGTCGTCGCCGTCGCCGCCGGCGTCGGCGTCGCCCGACGTCCCGACGTCCGTCGACGCGCCGCTCGACATGAGCGTCAGGCAACGCGGGCTGCCGCCCTCGTACGCCCAGACCATCAGCAATCCCGGCTACAGGTCCAATTACAGGCCGTCGGTCATACACAACGGCGCGCCCAAAGACGAGCTGCCTTCAGGTGGGTGTTTATTTTTACGAGCAGTGTATGTATAGTGCAAATATGTTCGTACACTGTTGGTCAAAATTAGTGATTCGGTTTTTTGAAGCACTGTAGAATTGAATATAGCCAAGCTAGAGACGTGAAATATTCTGTAAACGTAGCCTCATGTCTTGTCTTGGTATCTACCAAGCATCATCCAAAATCAATTTTAAGGGGTTGATTCGCCCCTTTGAATGTGATAAATCCTCATGAACCTCCTTATAAACCTCTTTAATAACCTCATCATGAACCTTCTCATGAATCTCTTTATTAACCTCTTCATGAACCTCTTTATTAACCTCATGAACCTCTTCATGAACCTCCTCATAAACCTCCTCATGAACCTTCTTATGAACCTCTTCATGAACCTCCTTATGAACCTTTTAATTAACCTCCTCATGAACCTCCTCATGAACCTCCTTATAAACCGTTTATTAATCTAATTTAAACTCTATAATTTTAATTCACAGAAACACGAACTTAGATAAATAATGTTGTGGTCTTTCAACAAAGAAAATGTAGTTGAATTAAACTGTAAGGAGTAAATAGAAGTCTCCCTAGATCTATGAGCTACTAAAATAACATAGTTCGGTTTTTTATCCATTTATGTGTATTAAAGCCGCACGCTAGTGCATCTTGGTTCTTAGGTTCGTGTTTCTATGAAATAAACTTATAGAACGGCCCAGAATCATTGTCTATAATCATTTAGAATCCTCCAGAACCCTTTAGAAGGCCCCATCGTAATTTTTTACGTTTCAGAATCTTTTAAACCTGTCTAAAACCATTTAGAACGCTGTAGTCATTTAGAACGGTTCAGAATCATTTAGAACTGTTTAGAATCATTTGGAACGCTCCAGAATCATTTAAAACTAAAATCATTTTAAATTGTTATGATACAGACAATTTTGTAGGTCTTCAAAATAAGCGAGCTGCTAATTTTGACAATTTGTGTATAATCCCACTGACTATTATGATAAATATCGTTAGATAATAGTCTGGACGATTAGGTCAAAAATACAACAAAATCCTACTACAAGCAAACTATCATCCTGCATTAGTTGAAATGATTAAAAATTAAAAACTCTTTATACAGGCCGTATCATTAGTAAACTGTACTTTTATTCGATATCTATATGATTGAATAGGTGATTAGAAAAAGGATAAAATTTTAGTGAACCTTATTTTTGGGAAATGAAAATAAACTTTTTTTAATTAAACAAAAATCATAACTATTGGCCATTTATAAAAAATGACAAAGTAAGTTTTGATGCCAAAGTTTGAACTGTTTATACCATTTTGGTAACTAGCTATTGGTCTTTGACAGTACAAACATTTTATCCTTTTTCCTTTCAAAATCCAAAAAATAGTTAAAAATGTGAACTGTTTTTTTTCTTGTTTGTTTCTATCTTTGCCAGTCTTTGGCTAAACTTTGGGATTATAGTTTCTTGTGAAAAATTTCTGTCACAATAAAAATATGATCTTGGATAGGAAAATATTGATGAATTAAATTAAATCTGCCAATCCTGGTCAGCGCAGTAAACAACGTGGTTAAAATTCCAGGAATATTATCTTTTTTTCCACTCACCAATAAAATTATGAGGTGAAGGAGGCCGATAATTTTATTTCTTTTGCTCTCAGCGAAAGGATAACAGAAATTAGAAAAAAACGGCCAACTCACTTTAATTCGCCATATTTTTGCAATTTTACCATAGACCTATTAAGTATGGACGCGGCACTATCGTTATTTTGAGGTTATTCAGCGTTCCCAATGATAGAGAGAGAGGTCCGTGAGAGATGGAGCTAGTTTGGGCTAAAAGTAGGCGGGACCAAAAAAAATATAAAATATATACAGGGTGCGTGAAAAAAGGCTATTATTCTGTTAAATTACTTATACGCTTAATATTTAAATATTGTTTTTATCTTGGTATCCACTTGGACAGAAGAATTACCTGGAAGAAACATATTTTTTACAAGAGAAAGCAGTTAGGTCTTAAATTGCGAAATCTGTACTGGCTAATAGGTAGGATGTTCCAATTAACAATACAAAATAAGAACTGTATTTGCAAATGCGTGGGAACTTAGGCTCAGCTGAAAAATGCATTTTGCTCGGCAAAAAAATAATAAATCACAATACCCTCCGCTGCACTCCTCAACCCTATTCTACCATATGCTACCCTCCTTTACCCCAGCTACCTTGCATATCTGAAAACGTAACTCACGTGGTCTTTTGCTTTCTTACTATTGGCTAATGCATTGTCCAATCTCTCATTGCCATATGCCCAAACTAACTGCATCTCTCTCATTCATCGACAACAATACCTCTTTGTCTAAACCGTGTCCATAGTTAATAGGTCTATGAATTTTACCCTTTTTTTCCAACCACCCATTCAATTATCCCTCATATTTCAGGCATATCGATGTGCGATCCCATAATCGACGAGCACTTTAGGCGATCGTTGGGCAACGACTACCACATCGTGTTCCAGAACAACAATTCCTCCAAAGAGGCGTCGGTGACGCCGCCCAAATCGCCGCCGCCTGCGCCGCCCACCGTCCCCGCGCCGGCGCCGGCGCCGGTCAAAACCACCAGCAGTGTTATCGAATTAATGGACGGCACCGGTTTGTCGGTGGACGATCATTTCGCCAAAGCGCTGGGCGATACGTGGACGAAGCTCAATCGAAAGGACGCCGATAGGCAGAATGCCAGCGAAAACGGATTAGTTTCTACTTAAAATTTAGCGTAATGAGAGAGTAAACTAGCAAGGATTCGAGGCGTTTTTTTTTTGTTGGTAAAATTCAGAATAGCGGATTTTGATTATTTTTTGGTTTTTTTCTATAGGGTGATACTGAAATAAGTGGTCAAACTTTGGGAGCAAGTAGAGAACTTCAAAATATTACGAAAACTTGGATGTCATTTTTTCGAAATGTTTTTGGTTATTAATATGCAGCAGTGATGTTAAAATTACGTTATAATATGTAATTAATTACAATTACAATTACGTTTGGCAAATTGTAATTAATTGCAATTACAATTACAATTACACTCACAATTACTTTGCTTTGGTGTCAGTTTTAAATAATTATTTAGGGATTTGCAATCGGAATTAAACTTTCCACGTATTGAAAATATTAAATAAGTACTTTTGTGTCCAATGTAGAGAAAAATAATTAACACAACAAAAGTATAAATTTCGGTACACCTTTTTGATGGAGCTAAAAAATTTCCAGCATTACTATCTAAAAAAGGGCACTTTAAACAGTTACAGCATTAACGGAATAAAAAAATTGGAAAACTATTTTTTGTGCATATTCGACAATCCATCTTTAACACCCTTTATACTAATAGTGAAGGACAATTCGAAAAAATGACATTTAAGTTTTTATCATATTTTGAAGTTCTCTACTTGCTCCCAAAGTTTGACCACTTATTTCAAAATCACATGTATAAAAACATGTACAGTGTGCATATGGAAAAATTTTTTATAATTAACTTTTCGAAAGAAAGTTAGGTTTACGGGGTTTGTCAAAAAATATGAGAATTACTTTAATTTTTGACAATATCAAAAATTATTACAAAGAAAAAATGTTTAAGAATTAAAAATAACTGTCAAATGTTTAAAAAAGTTTCCCACATGCCGCCAATTTACGGGGGACACACTGTATTTTATGGTGCAAATTTACTGTATCCCGCTATTCTGCTCAATTAATTTGTTGGTTTGTTGAAAAATTTCATTTTTGATTAATTATAAGGGGAAGGGGAGTGGAATCTTTGTTAGCTTACCTACAATCGTTGGAAATAGTTAATGTTCGGGGTTTGAATTATTTTTTCGATGGGGGAAAATTGGTGGAAAAGTGAGGAATCGTCGAAATTGAAGGTGTTCGATTTAAATATAAAATAGTAAGGTAGTAAACGTTTGTCGAGCTGGCAAAGTGATATGAGCAGAATTTAAAAATATGGGGAATTTTCGATTTTTTGCTAATTATTTGGTATATTTTTGAATTTTTTGTTAATTATTTGTTATGTTTTTGGTTTTTTTGCTAATTATTTGATATATTTTGATTTTTTGCTAATATACACATCATAGCATGACGTCAATGTAACATGTACATAATTTTCCGGAAAATTACTTGAGCAACAAATTGCAAATCTAACAAAATATTAGTAAACAATTAACAAAAAAATCTCATGTATTAATTTTTTTAAAACAGTAAAAGGTTCAAAAGTACATGCCAGTTTTGTAGTCGTAGCAAATTATTAGCAATTAAATAGCAAAAAATTCCCATATAATAGTAATAATTTTTAGAAAACAGTAAAAAGTTCAAAACTATATGCCATTTTATATAGTCATGCTATGATGTATGTATCAAATTCCGGAAAACTACATGAGCAAAAAAACCGCAAATGTAGCAAATCATTAGCAAATAACTAGCAAAAAAACACCGTGTAATACTTTTTGAAAATAGTAAAAGGTTCAAAACTACATGCCAGTTTTGTAGTCATGCTGTGATGTATGTATTAAATTCCGGAAAAGTACTTGTGCAAAAAATGCAAATGTACCAAATTATTAGCAAATAATTAGCAAAAAAATTCCATGTAATAATTTTTTGAAAATTACGTGCAAGTTTGACGTCAATCTAGCCTGTACTATATCATTTTCCGAAAAATCACTTGAGCAAAAAAATCGAAAATATAGTAAATAATTAGCAAAAGATTAGCCCCATATTTTGTTTTTATATTATGCTCATATCACTTTTCTAGCTTGACAGACGTGTGTAGTAACGTTTTTGTAGCGATCGGGATTGTTCGATGTTACTTTTCGCTATACTACATGCATACTTTCCTGTAAAGTTACTATTTGTATGATTAGCTTGAAATTAGTGCAGTTGTAATAGACATTAATTGAAACTTTGAATCGGTTTAAATTACCATAGAATAAGAATTTATAATTTTTTTTCTTTTTCAAATCTGTCATCGTCTGTTTGTAATGAATAACGTTCTGTGTTCTACGTACTCTTGCTAAACGTTACGTTAATGTAACGTAAAAGAAGTTTATTTTATGTATTTTTTTTCTGTATATATTTTTCCAGTTGTATATATCGACCATTAGTTTATACCTATATTTATGAGTAATAGTTAAGTTATGAGAATTATGCCTGTATTCAAATTTTTTTTTGAATGAACAACGTTATTGAATGTATCCTGATTGAATAATATATTTTTAATTTTAAAATTAGTTTGAATACACCAAAAATAACACACATACAGATTGCTCCATGGTTCATTGCAATTTAGGCTGTGGGTGCAACAAAGACAACTTCAATTAGACACTTATAAAGGAAAAAGAAATAGTGATATTACGTCATTGCAACTATTCACTCTGACAACTGTTATTTTAATAATCTTTCTTTGTTCAACTCATGGAAACGCCCATGTTGCAATCGCGAATAAAGCACAGTGTATAAAAAAAGGTATTATAGTACAGGGTGTCCCAACGAAAAGTAGTCCATTTAATCGGTTCGTAATTTTTAAACGCCTAATTATAAGAACATGCGGTTTTTGCTAATGTTTTATTTTGTTATAGTCGGTGCAAAACAAATATCAATGCACATCACGTATAATTTACTACTTCACAAGTAAATAGTGTTGCCGAATTTTTAGAGTTTAGAAAATCTAAAAATTTTCTAAAATTATCAAATGGTAAAATGACAAGAATAAATTGATAATTAGGGGTACCTGTTTCTTGTTTCTAAACGTCGGAGTTATTCATGGGTTCACTACAATTAATCATCAAATTCCTTTATCATCTGAAATATTTTTAACAGTGCGAGTAAAAAATTTATTTTACAATTGACCCTTAAAAGAATATATATGTAGTGAAATTTCTGAGAAAACTTCTGAATCTGAATTATTTAGAGCTCATATTGTGTCATTTCTAACCTGTGGAAAACATAACTATGCAAAAAATTCTTATTTTTTGATTATTTGGCTTGATAGCATCAGTAGTTGAGGGTAGTAAACTAGAAAAAAGAAGAAGAAATTGAAAATTAGTTTTGAAACTTTTGATAAAACACCCTGTATCTAGGTACTGCTGATACATAATTTCTGTGTCCTTGTAACAAAAATTATTGTAAAATAAAACAAATCTGGGAAAACGGCATGTTTTCATGATTAGGCGTTTAAAAGTTATAAGCTGTTTAAATGGGCTACTTTTCATTGGGACACCCTGTATTTTAAATTTACTCACTTTTAGTGGTACTTGATGGCTGTTTGTATCAAGAACTGATTTCGAATGGTGCTAGAATACGATACAATCTTGACACCATAAGAAAACAGTACTCAAATCCAAACTGTGAATCGATCCTTGAGCACTTAAATGTGTAGGAATTTCCAAATATATTATTGCAATCGATCTTTATACAAATATACTAGTATATCCTGAAATATCCTATGGCACTAAAGAGGGTCTTAAATAATTGAGTGTCGATACTTCAGGTTGTGAATATTTGGATGATTTTAAGAAGTTTATATCAATACATGGGGTTCCAAAATGACTTACTAATATTTAAGGGGGTGATTCCTGGACCCGTTTTAAGGAAAAAAGTTCATATGAATTTATGTCCTAAATGCCTTAACTTTTGAGATACAGGGTGTTAAAGTTTTAAGAAAAAAATCAATTTTTTGTAATAACTGTGATACTATTATAGCCATCTTTATAAAATTTGGCACACGTCATCTATGTATCAAGATGCATTTTCTGATGTACAAATAATTTTATTATTTTTAGCAGTAGCGTCCGTACGAGTTTTGCATTGAATATTTTTGGAGAAAAGAATGGTACGCCACTGCCTAATATTGAAATAAAAGTTATTTTCGAAATCCTCATTCAATTTAGAACAAATTTTATTTTTTGACTTTTTTCCGTACGACATTAAAAAAATAAATGCATTAATTTGTATGCTACCGCTAATAGCCGCTATGCTAACATTATAAAATAATAAATTTTAGGTTTAGGACACATGTTTATATGAAGTTTTTTTCTTAAAATGGGTCCAAGAATCACACCCTTAAATATTGGCATGTCATTATGGAACACCCTGTATATGTCCTAAACTTCTTAGTTTTCGAGCTACAGGGTAATTTTATTATTACTCCAGATATTTTTATGAAATTTTGTACACAATTTTTTATTATTAGGGAGCATTTTTTGAAGCAAAGGATTTTTTAAAATTTTTATCAGTGACGTCCGTACGGTGTTTGAACTGAATAGGTTTGAAGAAAAAATGGTACGCCTCTGCTTTTTCTAAAAACCAAAAATATATTTAAAATCCTCATTTATTTTTGAGCAAATTCAGTCGGAAGACTAACTTTCGTACGACGCACCATTTTCGCGTAAAAAAATAAAAACCAAAACAATTTTTTCCCAAGTTCATCGAGACCGCTTTTGATATTTTGTTGAAATTTGATAGGCGCCCACCATGCATGGTAAAGTTTTTTTTTTTTGGGACAAAAATTATTTTTTTTACTTTATTACCAGTGACGTCCACGTCCAAAATTTCATGAAAATATCTGGAGGAGTAATAAGAAAATTACGATGGAAAAGTTACTTTTTTTTCTCAAAACTGCAACTGCTCTCAAAACTGCAACACCCTCTAGCTCTAAAACTAAGAGGTTTAGGACATATATTGCTATAAACTTTTCTTCTTAAAATCACCCAAATATACACATCCTAAA